ATATTATTTCTAACCACACTCTCGAACCCAGCTAATACTTTCAATTGGTTCATTGCATCTCGCATCATAACCTTCGTCAATGAGTGATGATCAATGTTAGTACTTCCATTTCATATCTCTCGCATGCTCTCTGACCTCTTTGACAGCTCTTCATGGAATTTGGGCGAAGCTGTCCGAGGTCGCTGTCAAGGGTGCTCAATATAACTCCCGCGAACGTCAGCCCCATCCAAAATGTCTGCAAGGGACCCGGGTGGATCTCCTCAAATACATCCACGGATTCCTGGACGACACAGAGCAGAATCAGCTCGTTTGGCTGCATGGCACGGCAGGCGTCGGAAAGTCTGCCGTTGCGTTCACTGTTGCTGAAAGGATGAGAGGTATAAAAGTGACAGAAGAGACGAACGTCGAAAAGGCGGTTAGCGGGGACGTTCTTTTTCTCGCGCAAGCACACGAAACGCTGCACCGCTGGTTATTTTTTTACTACGATTGTTTACCAGCTTGCCACCAATTTCCCCAGCATCCGGAAGGATGTGAACAGAACTATCCGCGATAATCCCGCTCTACTAGACCCAGACACACCTCTCTGCGACCAGATGGAGGCTCTCTTTCTCCAACCTCTCCGATGGCTTCGACTCAGATTGCGCGGGGGTCCGCCTTTGTCGTTTGTCGTCGATGCACTTGATGAATGCACGTCCGAACCGGAGCTTATCGATCTCATCCTTTCCCTTGCACAGGCTCTTCGTGAACCTGATCTGCCCGTGACCCACATTCTGCTCACGAGTCGCTCGGAACCGCATATCTGTAAAGTCTTTCAGAACGAAGAGGTGCGCTCGCTGGTGTGCGAGATACCAGTGAAAACTTCTGGGGAGGGTCCTGCTGCCATTATCTCGCTAGACGGTGCCGATGTCGACAGTGACATCTATATATTTTTGGAGCATTCATTCGGAGAGCTGCAATACCGCCATCCCGATTTCCCGCAGCCATCAGGGGGTGACCTTGCGAAGCTGGCGAGCCGAGCTGGCAGACGTTTCATCGTGGCGTCTACAATGATGAAGTTTATTGTCGACGATGGATACAATGATCCCAGCGATCGGTTACAGCTGATGCTCGAACTGACGAGCGAGCTGCTAGCGGGAACGGAGGTGTACAGGTTATACGACCGTATCCTCTCCACATGTGCCGATCCCAAGCGGGCATACCTGCACTTGTCCATTGTCGCTGCACTTGCAGATCCTCTACCGCTATCACAAATCTCGAAACTTCTTGGCCCTGGTCAGGGCTGTGATGCCGAGGCAACGCTAGTGCAGCTCCGGTCTGTCATGGATATTCCTACCGACGCCAGCCTCCCCGTGAATGTATATCACTCGTCCATTCGTGACTATGTCTCCGACCCCTCAAACTGCAGCCTCCCTGAAGTGCATGATATGCCATCACCCCATTCACTACTCGCTGATTCCTCTCTTCGCTTGATGATGAAAGAGATTCCTGAAAGCACAGAACTACTGGACGCGCTCTTAGAACTGAAGAAGCAGAACCAAGCCATGCAACCTGGGGACCCCCAAAAATTAACAGAGTCATTAGCGTTCCTCGTTCAGCCACCGGAGCCAATGTCGGTCCTTAGCGGTATACTATGGCTTCGGGGAGATCGCACTTCAGATTTACAATTTTGGCTGGGGAGTGAGGATGGGTGTGCTTGGCTGGGGAGTGAGGATGGGAGTGCCTGGCTGGGGACCAAGAGGGGGAGTGCCTGGCTTGGGACCGAGGGCGGGAGTGCCTGGCTGGGCATCAAGGGTGGGAGTGCCTGGCTGGAGACCAACGACGGGAGTGCCTGGTTGCATACGAAGGGAGGAAAAGAATGGTGCGAGACCCAGAGAGGACTACTCTGGCTGAGGACAGAGGCAGGATTACACTGGAAGGGATGCTGGATGCCAGAATTGCGGAGCGTGTCAAACTCGGCATGCTACTCATGCTACTCATGCCGCCAGGCGATCGAGGAAGTGCTAAATAGCGAGCTGTGCACCCATGAGAGACAAAGCTGGGTTAAGATCGAGAGTGAACGAGGTTGGCTGCAAACTCGTCTAGGACGATACTTACTGCAGAGTCGTCTACGACGATACTGGCTGCAGACTCGTCTAGGACGAGACTGGCTGCAGACTGATAGGGGACGAGACTGGCTGCAGACAGAGGGACAAGACTGGCTGCAGACTGAGGGTGGACGACACTGGTGGCAGACCCAGGGGGGACGAGACTGGCTGCAGACTCAGCGAGCACAATACTTGCAGCAGACCCAGGAAGGACGAAACTTGCTGCAGACCCAGGAAGGACGAAAGTGGCCGCGGACTCAGCGAGCACGACACTGGCTGCAGACCCAGCTAGGACAAGAATGGCTACAGACCCAGCGAGGACGAGACTGGCTGCAGACCCAGGGAGGACGAGACTGGCTGCAGACCCAGGGAGGACGGGACTGGCTGCAGACCCAGGAAGCACACAACTGGCTGCAAACCCGGGGAGGACGAGACTGTTTGCAGACCCAGGGAGCACACAACTGGCTGCAGACCCAGGGAGGACGAGATTGGCTGCAGATCCAGGGAGGACGAGACTGGCTGCAGACCCAGGGAGCACACGACTGGCTGCAGACCCAGGGAGGACGAGACTGGCTGCAGACCCCAGGAGGACGAGACTGGCTGCAGACGTCTCATGGCCAAGCGTGGCAATTCACTCCCGCGGCGTCTTTCTGGGTGACTATGGAAGAATTCTCGAGCACGTTGGAAGCAATCGGCGAGTATACCATCGTTCCAGAATTGTCTTTACCGCTAGCCTTCCAAGTTATTCAGCAGTTCAAAACCTTGCCGGATTTCTTAATGCTGCCGGCGTTGATGGCGTTAAACCACCAGCATTATTCCGTCTCTGCATTATCAACATCTCGTCTGCCAAACAGGGAGATCATCCATGCTATGAATGCCTTCATGACTTTCACACGCAAAGCACATCAAAAAAGTCAATCATCTTCCGATGCTCTCAAGTACGCCTGTCAAAACTGGACTATTCATCTCTCATGTGTTCCAAATCTACGGGATGACACGCTCAAACGTAAATTCCACGCTTTCTGGAATCGTCACCTCCTTTCCTGGCTCGAACGGCAGTGGTGTTTGAAGGGTCTGCGGTCTTGTCTTGATATCTTATCCGAAGGGCAGAAACTTACAAAGGTATGCATTTTTCCAATATTTCTCGATTCACCCACTTAAATGTCCGACCGCATGCTGCAGGTATTGCTTTGTTCTAGGTTCGGTTTTTTCTTTTCCATTTTATGAAGCCCCTTGTAATTGTCTCTCATCCTCAGTGTAACCCGTCAACATGCAGCCTAATGAAGGGCGGCAACGAAAGCTTTGGTACCTGTGTTCATCTACCAAGAGTTATCCCCAGCTTCTTGAGTAGTGATACGTTCTAAATGCCTGTTCACTTGTACCACGATAGCATAATTATACTTAGTCTGACGACTGTCACGTAGAGAAGCGTCTTCGCATTTACTTTTGTTACATTCTGTATCATTCTACAGTAGTCTTATAGTTTCCACACCAGCCTTCGCATATTTCCAGTTCTCCTCAACACGCGGCACCAACAGGTACCAGTGCTTACAACTTGCTCATCTTGTAATGTATGGTATTTCATAGCCTAGTAAAACACCATGTCGCCAGTACTGTATGAAGCAGTATAGCTATGGACAAGTGAATCCAAGGCAGCGCCTGATGCAATCTGAAACTCCTGAGCGACTGATATCACGAAACGTTCCAGTGAGTATTCATAACTCATCACTATGCGGAGGTTGATAAACGTAACTTGCTGCTAGATGTTGCGAGGAACTTAACGCTGATGTGACTCCCACTACGGGAAGAGGGGCGAGGAGAAGCGCAAGGAACTTGAAGTCAGATTCGACTATCACGCCAGCCGGAACACGGCCTACGAGAAGCGCGAGGAACTTGACGCCGATGACTTCAATTATTAGTAGCAACTTTGCTCCGAGGGGAGGCGCGAGGAACTAGGATGAACTTGACCCTAGGCCTGATGCATGATGACTTCAATTACCGCGCTTACTGAACTTGACGCTACTGGTTCTATGCAGGTGAGTTATATATAGCTGAGCCGCTAGTGACGGGCATTTACATACAAAGGCACTGAATCTGATTCGGAAGTAGCGAAATGAGATCCACATCTGTCTTTAGCTACCTCGAGCCCGCCTATGGTGGTGATTTATCTCAGTCTTCGTCCCTCGCTGAGGTAGGTAGTTTTATGCATCTGGTAGACGAAGTTCTGGGGCAACCGTCATGATCGTTCATTGGCTGCCGATTCCAGAGTCCAATGGTCTTGGACGATCGTGCATTTAAAAGGGCAAGGGAGGAATAAAAAGAGGGGGAGACGGTGAACAGTGCGACAAAATAAGAGGCATTTAGGAATATTAATGAACGCGACAAGGACGGGATTAAAGTTGCTTGTATCTGAAACAAAGGATAAGCAAAATCCAAATGCCGAAGAGGTAGCGGGTGTTGCCATTTTAGCTGGCCCTATAAGCTTATTTGCAATTGGGTGGTGGGGTTATAGGCAGACGTCCAGTTTTACTCCCGACTTCTCACTACACATGAGATCGACAACTTAACCACAGAGTACGCTCCTTGTCAACTTCAAACGCTACTGGCCGTCCATTTTCCTATCTAGCAACATGTCAGGATTGCTCTATGTAGCAAAAAAAGCATATCTTACTGTGAGAACATCAGTAAAAAGCCTAGATCGTCGTAGCCCCGGTGACAGCTATATAGAGCTATATAGCCACCATAGCGCCATGTAGCCTCAAGCTCTGCTACATACTACTACAGTAGTCACAAAGCCAAACAGTGTGCTACAGGTGGCTACAGTAGCTACTACGGCCGCTACAGGTAGCTACAGGAGCTACCATGTCCGCTACGGGTGGCTACAGGTGGCTTCATAGCGCAGTAGCGTTCTGCAATTTAATTAGTGGCCGCTGATGCGCAAAACATCTCGCCGTCGATGAACTCGTTAAAATAAAAATCATTTGCGGCCTCGTATGCATTACCACTTCTCAACCTTGGCTCAACTGACAGACCCATCTTCGGTATAAGATGACAAGGCCTAATGATTTCGTCGACATGAATAACCGCAGCATTGCAGCGACAATGGCGGGTCGAGCGCGACACTTGTCGCATTCCAGAAGAAGGGTCTGGTGCCCTGAAAGGTGTGAACCACTCGATGTATGCGAGGGCTCTGGTGTATGTGCCGAACTGACGAGGGAGGGAGAATATAGCACGCACTTGAGCCACTCTCAGACCTGCAACAGTTACTATCAAACATCGCCCTTCAGATAACTCCCAACAACTTACCATCCAGAGTCCACAAACACGCAGGATGAGGTCTGTCAGATATCAACCCCATATCAAACCGAGCCGGACAACCAGGCTTACGGCCTGATGACAATATCTCAGGTGTTGCTCTAACGCGCCTCCGCGTTGGTATGTCACTAACTCAGAGGTCAGGTGGTGTCACAATGACCACTTGTCGGTAAATGTCAAAACGGTCCTGCACCCCTGGTACGACAGTACAGCCAGGGAGATTCTTGCGTATGAAAGACTGGAGAGCTGTGAGAAAATCAGTAGCCCCATGTGATGTTACAATGTCTTGAACCGCTCGATGTGGATGCGCTGGAGCCTTTGCAAGGACATGCGTCGATTGCGATCGTTCGGCATAAGTGGTATGGGGAGTAGCTGCATCTGATACATCACACCCTGTGACTGAGTCCGAGTCTGAGTCCAGGTCTGAGTCGTACGTGTTTGAAACATGCTTGGTCCGGCCTGCAGCTGAGAGAGGCACATGTTCCAGCCAATCCAGATATGTACCTGCAAGAAGACGGCTTCCTGGCGTTGAAGCCACAAGACCATTTGTTCCTCATAATCACGTTTATTGCTGGCACGGTAAGTGTCCTTTGCAAAGTCTATATGCAAGCGCTCAGGAAGTTCTGTGTTGAAACCATCAGCTGCACCAAACAATGTGATTGACTGGACGTAATGAGAGAGTTGGTGCAGTTTGGGGATGTTGAAATGTTCACGAATAGACAGTTCCTTGAGGACCTCCTTGTTAGCGTGAAATACTGATAGTGCTGTTTGTAGGGCTTCGAGCGAATCCGCTGTGTGAATTCGCAGTTGCGCATAATATGCGAAAGTCCAGAATCGAACGAGCAACTACCAAGACCTGACTACCCGGCATACGATATCAGCCACATATACCATGTTCGAGACTCGAAATACACACACCTAGGCACTGCTCCGGTGAGTAAGCCTACAAAGACTCGCTGCATTTCTTTATGTTCACTTCCGGTCCATTGCTTCACAGTCGATATTCCTTTCTTGAAGTGCCGGAGCCCTGGGTAATTTGGCATTGCCTTGAAACGTGCGTCCATCTCTTCCTCCCCGATTATTTGCTGACACCACCTCACAAGGTGGTCCTTGAACACACCTTTATGAACTTGGTGCAAAAGATCCGGAGTGAACGCTAGGAAGATGTCGGCATGAGGAATTTTGGCCCAGAAAGCTTGTAAACGCTATGTAGTCCCATTTCCTCGAATTCAGGCGGATGCTGACCGATCTTACGCCTTTGCAAGACATCCATCGTGGTCTCAGTATCACGCATAACTGAGTCCAGCACATCCCCTCGCTCCTCTGCTGCCACAAGACACTTCGGACATCGATTTTCCTTGCAACAGGCCACCAAACACTGTTCAGGGAAATCGGCCACGTATGCGGCCAGAATCGGGTACACACGACGTATCCATGAGTCAGCACACACCATCTCGACGCCATCATTGCCGGCGGCAATCAGAGGATGGAGCAGGAGAGCCATGCAGTGATGGAAGAGACGGTATCCAGCCAGGGACCGTTCTTCATGAGTGAAGCAGTCCAGCTTGACTGCAGGTATGTATCCGATCAGTACAGTCGCACGTGAAGACGCCTGATGCCTTTTTGCTTTTGTGACGTTGCCGATAGACATATACACGGGCCACGCAGACTTATCGCCTCGGAACTGTGACAACATCGTTTTGTCTGAAGACAAAATAATCGGAGCTATAGTCGCTCCTTCAGGCAATGCTTTCTACATGTGAGGTGAGTCAATTCCTTCAATGCTTCTCTAGATTAATCTTACCTGTTTCTCGCCCCACCAGTCTGCTGTCCCACATCTCGTCCAATAACTCTATGTTGGCCTGCACGGTCAGAATATGCTTTGGCAGGTGAGTAGGCCATATCCGCCTTGAAAGCAGGGTTTCCAATGAGCTCCTTCACACATTCAACAGGATCTCGACTCCACAGCTCAACCTCTTCTTCCAAAAATGCTCTGTCCTCGTCCTCACAATTACCACGGACAGTAACCTTTTTACAGCTCCACCCCCGGACCATGTTGAAGTTCGTCTATTCTTTGCAAGAATGAACGATTGTTGTGAAACGATGGCTTCATGCGGTGTTGTGTCTGTCGACAGCATCAATACGGTGAGTTCCATTCTTGTTCAAGGCTCTCGACGTACTATGGGTAGTTTTAGAAATTCGTCGGTCCATGTTTGTCCCAGATTTTTGACAATCCACTGCGCTAAACCCCACTCTTCCCTGGTGAGTCTTCTACTCAGTACATATCTGGCCAGCATGTCCAAGGACTTACGCATCCTCAAAGGGAGACCACAGATCTTTGCCACCTTGCTGTTGTTCCCTTCTACGTCTTTCAAATCTGGTCTCCCCTTCGCCAAATCCCCAGCCTGCATTTGGCTGGGGTTCAATATAGCGGCCAATGTTGAGTGATGTACCATCCTCGTCATCAACTTCTTCGACTGAAACGCGACAAATTTTGGTGAGTGTAGGGTTGGTGTCCATTTCAGGACCTGAGCGCGCATGAACATGGCAGTGGGACTATGTCTTCATGGCCAAAGTCTACATCAGGTGTGTGCAAATCCTCCGCCTCTATATCTTCAATCATTGATGTCCACTCCCTTCAGCATTCAGGCCGTCCTACAATGTGTCTTTTGAGACCCTCATGCGTAGATGTGACCTTGCCGCAAAACATACAATTAGGCATGGCAGGTTAGTTGTTGCCAACAGTGACTGGTTTCACATCCTAATATGCTGGTTTCCAGGCACTAGAACCACCAACACGGACGCAGTTCATAATGGGGCGCCACCTTTCATTTCACTTGGTTGGTTACTCGCCTCCTGTGGAATGCGTGTATCCAGGAATGCGTGAGTCCAGAGGCGAATGATGATATTGTATTTGGTTGGGATTACCCTGAGGCAAGCTGGAATGCTATCAGGTTCGTCCATTTTTGCTGCTGAAGGTCTTCGTCGCTAACCTTCGCATCCTCACCCACAGTTCATAATGGTGCGCCACCTTTCATTTCACTTGGTTGGTCACTCTCGCCTCCTGTGGAATGCGTGTATCCAGGAATGCGTGAGTCCACCATTTTTGCTGCTGAAGGTCTTCGTCACTAACCTTCTGGTTACTCACCTCCTGTGAAATGCGTGAGGCGAATGATGATATTGTATTTGGTTGGGATTACCCATCCATTTTTGCTGCTGAAGGTCTTTGTCGCTAACTTCGCGTCCTCACCCTTGGAGAACAACACAACCTTCATCTTTTGTTTCTGATCTTTTGTTTCTAGGGTGGATATGTTGCTGGTTCGGCAGCCTATCCTCCCTCTTACCAGCGGTGCACCACATTTCATTTCACTGGTATCTGGTTACTATCATATTTGGCCTGGTCCTTTTCTTCCTCTCATCTCATATCTTTCTCCCTTGGAAAATGCTGAATTCATGCATCGCATCGCATGGCTTTGCTTTTACTCCTCTTCTCGATTCTTTCATGCATTGCATGGCTTTACTTTTGATTTTGCCCATTAGGTTTCTATTTTATTTTGCCCATTTCTGTTCAACCCCATATACCCATGGCCTGGAGTCCATTTTTCATTTAAAAAGGCGAGTTCACACATCACGTAGCTTTCTTTCTATTGATTTCGCCCATGGCCTGGAGCCTGCAGTCCATCTTTCATTTTAAAAAGGCGAGTTCATGCTTCACCTAGCTTTTCTTTGGCTCATCTTCTCTACTCTGCAGAGTTCAAACATCGCATGGCTTTGCTTTTACTCCTCCTCTCGATTCTGTTGCTTACTCCTCTTCTCGATTCTTTTACTTACTCCTCTTCTCGATTCTTTCACTGCACACCTTGCCTTTTCGTTTTATCTATTTCATGCCCTGACTGATGACTCACTTCAATTTAATACCCATATGCGCCATCATTCATACCCAACTGATACTACTAACAGACTAAACAAGTGTGGTTATACCATGAGACGCGAGCAGGATTTCCAAAAGTTGGACTTTGCGTGCTTCTTCACACTTCTTCTTCTCCGCATTCCAGTGACCAATTATTAACTCCCTTACATATGCTTGGTGAGTTAGTGGACCTTGCATGTGTTCTGATATTTGCGCTTTGCAAGCCTCGTCACAACGTCTGAGCTCAGCATCCCAACGTTCCAACACCAGGGTTCGCAGGTAAGTCTGCAAGGTGGGGATGGGTCCTGGGGTCTGATGATGTGGGTTCAAGGGATAATGAAGATCAGGAGGATATGGTCCCTGCTTGGCGCGTTTGAGGCCTTCCTTAGCCTGTCCTGGTGCAACGACGACGTGGAATGGGCGACTTGGAGGTGGAACGGGCCTGCTGGATGGTCAGTGTCCATCAAGGCAGCTCTCAGAGGAACGTACCATTGCCTGAGTTCAAGTCCATTTTCCTCCATTTCGCTAAACTGCGGGAAGGGGTATCTATGAGACTGGTTAGTGTGTGGTGAGTCTCAGACTACTCGGTCACTGACTGTTTGTTCATTTGGGGATTGTAGGGTTAATGGTAATGTAATTCAGTCGCACTTTATAGTGTTGCACTGCAAATGAAAACACTAACTTGAATCAACAGAACAGTTATTTGTTGATCAGACCTTTGTTGATCAGACTCCACGGCACCGTATTTAAAGGCATGTCATCTATTTTTCTGCGCTGCAGACTACCCTGAACCTGATAGATGGCAGTGAAAATGTCCTCTAAAAGGTCGTCCTCTAAAAAGTCGCCCTCAAATGCCATATCGAAGGCCCAGGACGACTTATGTGCCTAGATGGTATCAACCGCTGGTCACACCGCGAGTGGTCGTCACCACCGGCCCACTGAAAAAGAGACTTATCGACATATGTAATCCTCAGGTGTTGCTTGTCATGTTTTTTTACTGACTTCTACCTAACAGTTTCGAAATCTCGGCAAGGTGATGAGCGCCATAAAGCTATGCAAGCAAAGATTGGAAAACGTAATTTAAAGGCACTGCGCACTACATACAGGACAAATCCAGAGGTATTTGATAACGGGCCCACTGAGCTGCTAAGTGATGTTGACAGCGATGAAGATAACATGGTCAGCATCATATTCTTCCTGGTGCTCCATTGCTCACTACGACGTATCAGTTCACCGATTGGTGTGTACCTGCCAAGCCATACGGGCCACAGGTACTCGCTTTCAGTTCAAGCAAAACACTTCCTCCGGTATTTGCTCGAAAGACAAAAGGTAAGCAAGTTTGGCTGGTTGTGTCTTGTACTAACTGTACTAACTATGTTTCATCAGATTCTCCCATATTGGCTCAAAAGACGAAAGGTAAGCCATCTGCGCTGGTCGTGGCTTATACTGACAGACTTTCATCAGATTCTGTCCCTGTGCTGGCTGCTGGTGATGCCAGCAGTGAAGACAGTAGCGACAGTGGTGACAGGACCTATGACCGTAATGACGAATGACCTGACGGGAAATTATTTCTCAGTGATGACGACTCCATTGATGATGAAGAGGTCGAAGACTCTTCACAACACATTGACAGGGTCAAGGACCAGCTGGAGATCTCCGATGAAGACATCAAGGCGAAGATGAAAGGTTTCAATGGAAGACGTCACTGATTAAAGGTGGGAGATTTTGATCATGTCACCAAGGATGTGCTCACCACCGCCACATCTGTTTACCGCTGTCTTGTCGTCACTCGGGCACCTTTTCCTGAAATGTTCTTGGTCAAAACCAAGCTAGCGAAACGTGCTTGGCATGAGGCATCTGATATCACTGGACTTACCATTCAACTCACGCCTTCATTGGTGAAAATGGTAAGCACTCTGTTAGGTTCTCATGCTGACCTTGTTTGATGTTTTGTGACAGCGTAGATGACGAGGCGCACATCCCATGTGCGCGGGGAGCTCAAAACGAAGATGTGTGGTCTCACAGCATCATTTTTTGGCTTCCGGTCCAGCCGTTCAATGGCGGCTATTAAGGCAAACCGTGACTTGGCCGAGTCATTGAAGGAAGGGAATTCATTTGTTTTTAAGGTATGTCATCTTGACCATCGTTAGGCAATGTCTGACTGTGCGAGTGAAAGGATTGGGAGTTAAAATCCGGCATATACAAAACGGAATTGATCCAGAAAGCAATTAATGATATGTGGTTTGCAAATCGCTGTGACGAAGGTATACTCTATGCTAAATACTTCGATCCTTTACCTGTGAAATTGATGGCGCTGGTACTCACGGTGGTGAGTACTTTGGAGATGTCTGATGGTTGGCGGCAGCTAACATCTGACAGATGGAATGTTGTGTCGACGAGTGGACCACTGGAGTCAGGGAAGACGTTAAATTCTCCTCGGTGTCTTATGGTCCGGTCTACCTTGCACATCTCGACTCCTTGCAGCGGTTCGAGGAGCGCACTGCTCCCTACAAATTACTGGATAGAATTCTTGATAATCTGCTTGACGTGGCTCGGTGCATATCCTACTTGCATTGATCATTAGCCTGACCTAACATTGACAATAAGGTTACATGCTGGTGGTATAAACCCATTCAAGACAGCAGAATCTGTCGACGCCTTCGCCAATGATATATTTGATGAGGCGATCCGAGAGTATGAAGTCGAAATGCAAGCGGCGCAGGATGGGCGTCCTGAAGGGGTAGAGGCTGGTGATGCTGCTGGTGATGCTTGATGCTTCAGGAGGCCACTGGTTATTACGAGTGTCAGAGGTACGGTTGTATTTTTGCCACCCTGAATACATTCAATTTCCCTGCTACTACTACGTTGGATCCTGTGGTACTATGATAAGCTACTGTAGATATATGTAGCGCGCATAGTGGCCTGTAGCTCTGTAGCCGTTTGCTACAAGATGCTACTGTAGTACTATGTAGCATGCGTAGTGGCCTGTAGCTCTGTGACCGTTTGCTACAAGATGCTACTGTAGTTACCTGTAGTACTATGTAGCACGTGTAGTGGCCTGTAGCTCTGTAGCCGATTGCTACAGGAGGCTACTGTAGTCCTATAGACCTAACCGTGTGGCTATATAGCAAGGTATAGTAGGGACTTGACACATTGGGCTACAGGTACTACACTGACTATATAGCTCCTTGTAGTCAAGGGTATTTTTCCTGATGAAGGCGCACGACGCCGAAGAGGACCCAATCGACGCAGACAACCCAGCCGGCGCAGACAACCCAGTCGGCGCAAACAACCCAGTCGGCGCAAACAACCCAGTCGGCGCAAACAGCCCAGTCGGCACAGACAACCCAGTCGGTGGAAACACAGACGATGCGAGTACACACGAAGAAAGTGTCAGCAGTCGCGTTCTTCAAAGACGGTCGACGGATCGTCACTGCTTCAGAGGACAAAACCCTGCGAATCTCCGACATGGAGAAAAGAGCATGGGTAGGAGGACCATTCGAGGGACACAGTGACTGGGTGATTTCAGTCGCTGTATCTCCAGACGATAGACAAATTGCGAGTGGTGGAGGAGATGGAGCCGTGATCATCTGGGACGTCGATAGCAAGCAGATGGTATTCAAACCGCTGATGAAACATAAAGGAAGGGTTGAGTCGGTGTGTTTCTCCCCCGATGGGAAGAGACTCGCAAGCGGGTCATTGGATTCCAAGGTTATTATTTGGGATGTGGAGACTGGCGCTGTCCTCTCAACACTCCGGGCTTGGAGTGCAGTGTTTTGTGCCTTCAGCCCAGATGGACTAAAATTAGCATCCGGATCATTGCATTCAATTAAGGTTTGGCGCGTGGATAACGCCGAGCCTCTGTTCAGCCCTCGGGGTCACGAAGGTTCCATTCGATGCATTGTGTGGTTGCCTGGCGGCCAGCAACTTGTCTCTGCATCAGACGACAAAACAATCAGGTTTTGGGACTCGCCGAATGAGACCCAGATCGGTCAACCTTGCACTGGTCACACTGACGAAATCTACTCCCTTGCCATCTCTTCTGATGGCTCCTTCATTGCCACTGCCTCGCATGATAAGACTGTGCGCCTGTGGAGCACGAAATTACACAGGCAGATAGGACAGCCATTCGAACACACCACACGTGTTTGCTGCGTCGCCATCTCTCCCAACGGAGAACTACTCGCGAGTGGTGACATTGACGGGAATCTTCAGCTCTGGTCCATCAAGAACACACTTTCTACAACACTCGGGACAGATTCCTCATACTTTGCGCACCGCAGTAAGGTGAAGTTGGGCCAAAACCTCTATGTGGAGGCCCTTTCGGACGCGGACAAGGTGCGGACGATACCCTTCGTTGTTTTAACATTTGTGATGATGTGCGCAGGTCGTTGAGCTCAACCCTTCGTCTTATCTTGGGTATGAACTGAAGCATGCAGCTCTTCATGGAGCACAGCGCTATGATGATGCATTCGAGGCCTTTACAATTATGCTCACCCTGTTGGACGATGCATCCGACCCACGGACACGACGTAAGCCCCAAACAACTCAAGCACCGACTTGAAGATGACATATATTTTGCAGAGCTACACCAGCAATACGTCAGTCGATCTGAAGTAGAATATGCTATTCAACAAGCCATTCATGCCCAACTGAAAAACGCTCCACTTCGCCTAATCGACACTATCACTGGGAACATATGTGATCGAAATGCACAGATCAATGGCTTCACGAAGAGCACAGAGTATAAAGAGCTTTTCCCTTCATTGGTGATGCATGCGCCCGTTCAAACGGAGCTCATCGAAGAAGTGGTCGCGAAGTACTTCAGTTGGGTCATGTTATCCCATAGTGGGGTGAGGAGTATAAGAGAATCGCTTCGGATAACAATATCATCGCACAAGCCAGGTGCATGGCTTCTGTTGATGGCATGATGGACGTCAGGATGCTGGAGATATTGTAACTACGAAGAACGGGATGTTTTCATTTCACGCCTTGACAACACCCGCGTGAGATCCCTAGAAATTTGCATTGCATTGGTCTCGATATCGCATCATATATTGTCTCGTAAACAAACAAGCTAATCCTCAAATATACGTCCTAGAGAAGCTTAGGAGAAAGCTCTGGTGCAAACGCTTTCTAGAACTGCGCTGTTTCAAGTTGCACATCTAGATGCTCATTCTCCTTCTCAATTTGTTGAGGAGCAAGAACTAAGGAAAGAGGGAAACGGTCCTATCGATCTTGGGTGCAGTATATGGTGCAACGGATGAAGAAAACCATATCAAACGCATGGGTCGACGCAGGCGAGCGCCGAGAACCCGTGTAATCCGCTTCCAAAATGCCCGTACTGATGAACTTGCTCACCTTGACACACAGCTCCTCGTATGGGTCTTCGAGACGACTCCTAGTTGTCGATACTCGGAGCATCTCAACATAGGACACCCCTGCTGCAGTTAGAAGAGTGTTATATACCTTGATCGCAGTGGGGTGACCTGACATAGTCTGCATGCGCTCGTATATCACCACCAGTACTTCCCCACCCTTCATTCATAGGTGCGTCTGATGTGCTCTTCTTCATGTCAGACAAAACGGCCTTCAGCTTTGCCCCGCCACCCCAAGGGCTTCATCTCGTGCTGCCTGCTCTAGATCAGACTCAGAAGAAGATGAGGAAGATAAATCATTATCGTAATCGGGGCACTTTCTGTTCCGTTAGGTCTCGAAGGGACAGATCTGTAAAGAAAAAACATGAACGAGGCCCATCCAACAAGAAAGCTGACCTGTCAGTAGTGGTGACAACTTCAGTGGTTGCCTCACCTGTTTCGTTCTCGGCGTTATCGGTGACTAGTAGTGTACGATATGTTCTGCGAGTTTTCCTTGCATGTATGAGCTGTCAACTTTCTCGCTGCCAAAGTATGTGCGGGTCCTCTGAGTGTGCATTTAACATTATGTGCTGACTAAGCTTCTCGCTCATTGACTACCGTAAGTTCCCAAGTTCATCTCAAAACCTTTGCAAACACCACCGCTTCAAAGCGACGTACTACCTGCATTGTTGAAGCATATTCGATGTAGGGCATTATGATGAATTTATCGGTGGTTTAATGTTGAACCTACAGGCCACCCAAAGGTACAACTAGGAAGAAGGCCGCGAATGACGGTTCCACCACTCATACGCCTGTTCGTGCCATTTTGTCACTCAATATGGTCGCTCAATACAGAGTATTAGACTCTCGCCGAGCAACTGTCATACCTGCATAGCCCTCGTCCGTTCAAGAATCCTAATTACACCAAAAATGCGAATCGTCGAACCAAGAACTTGAAAACCGTTCTAGGTCAGGAACGGGAGAAAGAACGCGTTGAAAGGGAGAGGCGGAGACAAGAGAGAGATAGTCAGGCGATGGATGTTTGTGAAGTGAAGAAAGAGCTTGTTGAGGCGGATGAGGAGATCTCAACTTGTGAGTTGAACATGGGTTTTCCATGCAGTCGGAACTGATTCTTTTAGACCTATCGATAGAAGCACCACCATCTGTTCTGCCACAAAGACACTACTGCGATATTACAGGGCTGGAGGTCAGTGTTCACCCGTTTTCTGCGAGGAAGGATATTTTGTCGATGTTAAATCACTAGGCACCATATACCGATCCTCGGACTGGACTGAGGTATCATGACAAGAGCGTTTATGAACTTATTAAGAACCTTGTAAGGAGTTGCTATCTCCCGTTTAAATTTAATTCAAATCGTCTCGCAGAGCCCAAGCGCGGCGAAGGACTATTTGGCTGCAAGGGGCGTAAATCCCGTCGTCCGATAGATAGCCTATTGATATCCCTTAAAATGGATTCATCATCATTCCCACTGCGGCACCGACTGCTATGCAATAGTGGCTCTAGTAAATCCCATGCCCGGGTGTACATGGCTATCTTGGATGCACAATTGTTCGCTTGAGCTCGCATTGCACCTGTTTGGGATATAGAGATTAAATGTGCGACTTTTCTTCAAATAAATGACTTGTTTCCTTGGTAAGTGATTCTCTGTGAATTCTAATCATGCACGTCGGTGAGAGATTGTTTATCATCGTTTAGTAAAGAAAGGCGCCTCGCCATAAATGACAACCAACAGATTGAATACATGATATTCGCAAAGGCGGACTGATATAGGGCTGGATGGCCGAGTGGTCTAAGGCGCTAGAATCAGGATCTAGTCCGAAAGGGCGCGTGTTCGAATCACGCTCCAGTCAATAAGTTTTGTCCTACCTTTTTTTGGGCTCAACTTGGCATCAGATCGGCTCCTAATTCCAACAAGAGCCGAGCTCAGCGTGTGAGCTCATGGGAGGCAGAAATATGCTTACTCCTTGTCGCGCGCCTTTCCCGTACTGAGGATGTTGTAAGTAGAGAGTAGTAACACTGATTATGAGACAGCATGCGGCCATGCTAGTAGGTGTTTAAAGGCAGATATAACATTATTTGACTACTCGCCATATTTTATGTGATTGCAGGTATTACGACCATTATAAGGTAGATATAAAGGTTGGTAACGCATCTTAGTTTTCAGTGATGAAGATCCGATATCCAACACCCAACGCTCATTAGGGCTTCTACGAGGGTGTTCGTGTAACGCAACCTTTGTGTCAAGGTTCTTTTCGTCACACCGGCAAACACACCTCACCATCTAAAAGCCTCCAGCAATTTCCCTACGCCAAACAGTCAAAACCACGGCCAACCTACGACACATCGGCGAGCGCTAATGTATGTGCGCTATCGTCTGGCAAACGATTATGCCAATGGCACGTTCGCACCCTTTGCGCTTCTCTAGGCAAGTCTTTTCTTTCTATATTTAGTGTGGATACACTACTAACAATGTAAATATATTATGATATATACGAGACTGCATCCTGATCACCTGGCGCGATAAGTCGTCGGCCTGCACGCCCTTGGTATTGTTTCCTGCTTCATCGTATGTACTGGAACAGTATGTCGATAGGTGCCCTCTATCCGAAGGGCTCTCTTTCATATCATTACTTATCAGGAATATTTGTAGGTCCAAAGTTGGTGGCTTTCAAAAATTTTACCTGACCACTGGGAAGCTCGATCGAGGGCTTAAATACCAGTAATTCGACTTACTAGCCGATGTACGTTTTTTTGTTGATTCAATTTTTCTGTCCTATGGAGAGCTACACTCTATGGAGGACAATACTATCTAGTCTAGGGGACCCCCGGTGTCCCCGACGCATCTCTGGGTCCGCGAATACCCTGGTGTAAGGCGTGCCCCCACCAGTCCGCCGTTCCCGCCGGCTGTTTTAGACGCGCGACCCTGTGAGGATGAGATGACTATGGTATACAGAAGCGTTTTGTGTGTCCGATGTACGTTGCTATCATCAAGCACGCCCTTTCATACTTGCACTGCCTTTCCTCTAGTACCAGTCCGCCAGGACTCAATCTACTTGTCCAAAATTTCAATCGGCACTCCACTCCAGCCCGCCACGAGTGCGGGAATTCGAACTTCTGTACATCCGGACATTTGCTTGCATACCGAAGGAGCGGGCCCGGGCTACCATGACGGACGTTTTTTTATGTCTTTGTTAATTTATGGTCAGTTGGGGTCATGCCCCGTGGTACACAATGTATACCTTTTTAAATCCGATTTGTGTCCATCTGGAGAGAGATATTAACTACGACCGCTGTCAAAAGTTCTTCCGATGGTCGTAGAACTACCTTGTTCAGTAGAAGTCCTGACTGCCTTCGACTTTTCAAGATATCAAATTAGATGGGATTTTATTGTGCGACAGCCTATAAGCACTATGGAACTCGGCTTATAGAAAAGTTATACGTGTTTGTAGTTACATTCGTGATGTGCTGTCATTCCCCCTGTGGATCCTCTATGGGTCGAGAACACAATCAAGGGGGGGAAGGAAGGTCAACATTACCCTCTTGGCGGATCAACTTTGACTGAGGGATGTAAACACGATGATCATCTACCCAATCCAAGATCTTTTCGAGGTCCCTACATTGATGAGGAACGTTGAAGTTTGGGTATGGGTCGTCAAGTCCCTCAACCCAATCATAAGTAACCATTGTTACATCAGAACGGCACATAATGACCTGTCTGACAAATTCGAGACAGTGATCTGATGTACAGCATTAGCAGGCAGGATGTAGGCTGGGAGGTAACAGTATGCTAACCCAGATGGATGCGCCATCCGTCAGGGGATAGGATGAAGTCAGGATCGTCTGCCAAGTAATGGTCACCCCAGCTGGATTGGCGAACCATGTTCTATAAGGGGTGAGTAAAGATCGAGTGGCCTCTTGTTACGACTGACTATGCAATGGAGCTGGTGAATGACCTCTACACTCGCCAAATAATTTCCGCTGTACTCTTCCGGATACCTAGCCATGAATGGGGCAGGTTCTTCCCCTGTTTTGAGTAGTTGTTCGAGCGTCATAGACATAAACCGCCCTGAAAAGTTTGTTAATCAGTAATTACCTCGATAGGCACAAAGATATGCAACCATCGGCAGTTACTCTATTCCAAGCTACATCGAGATCTGGAGACGGATTGCCGCGATATACCGAACGATGATCCCAACTTCCGTTGAATCTTACAATGCCTTTGGATTCAATAGCCTTATTTCCTGGAGCTGTGATGGGTCAGGAAGGCATTTCTGTCATCCCGTCTGTCCACGTACAGTACAAGAGTATGTCATCCTTCGAAGGTGCCCGTACCCATAGCGTGAAGAAGAGTAACGTTACGGATATCAACACACCATGTATGAGCCATAGCGACACGTGAAGGAAGCGAGCCTTCGAATGAGGTCTGGTTTCTGTACCCCTATAGAGAAGCTTCCCGTCCTCGTCGTCCGCTCCATTGACAGGATAATACTGAGCAGAATATTTCTTGCCCATAACGTACGGAGGGAGAAGAGGTATCAGTTGGATATGAATCGGACAGGCAGGACGAAACTTTGAAGCACTTGCAACATACGGCCTGTGGACCTCGGAGACCTAAAAGTGACAACAATTCAAGTTGGATCTGAACTAAGATCCTGCTTGAAATTTCCGCTATCCTGTGTTATCAGATCTTAATGAGCTGGCATAACATACTTGCAACCGACACATTGTGACAAGAAGTCAATTTCGGTACCGGATTCTAGGCACCAGTGTTGACTGATAATCAGTTTTCGGGTGGCCCATATACGTTGAAATTCATCGTGCTCGAGGAACATGATTCATCTTTGGTGGAGACGCCAGCTCATTGCTATTTCACTCGCCTGGGTGGCCTTGAGTGGAGTCACGTGGTCCGGAGCAAGCTCGGGTGGGGCTTCAGATCTTCAGAATCAGATGTCCATCTTCGTTCCAGTAGTTATACATACTCCGATTTGGTGCTTGTAATCTTTGCACTTCATGTGAAAACACTGACGGTCGAATGGGTGAGGATTGCAGTCCGAGACTGTAGTCCCAAGAGGTGGTTAAAAGATGAAGCCTAACTACTACTAGTATAAGTACAGGAGGATGTGTCGATAGCAATCAGAATGAGGCACGATAAGCAACCACGTCGCTAGAGCAGTTGCCGTCAAACGGCACGAATCCCCCGCATGGCATCATGGCCAGTTCGGACCGGAAAATTGACAGTCCTACATAAGGTGAGATTCTTGCAGCCCTTTCGGATCCCGTTCGGCACTCCGGCCGCACGGAGGCTGATTCTGGTGCTTGTACTCGTAACTCGTTGCACGGACAATGTATATTCTCATTGTGCCACTGACAGTGACACCTGCTCCTAATACCCAAGCTACAAGGTACAAGTATTGTTCGTAAGTGATTGTTTGAATTCGGATTCAGTTGCCAAACTCAACCACGCTGGCGCTTTGCAGCTCCAGACACAATCCTAAGAGGCTAAGACCGTTTGTAGAGCGCTGTCGCCAGTGGTCGCAGAAATCCGCAGATCATCAGTCGTCTTCGAGCACATCAGGAGGCCAGCAAGTTCGATGTGTCGTGAGTCATAGCTACTTAAAAGCCTTCAATTGCCTCTTGAAAACTGTCGTTCTGAGTCACAATGGGGACTCGTTGCCCAGTTGTCAGTTGCTGGTGTCATCAACTCCGCTAGCTTGAACCAGTGTCGAGGTTGAATGAAGCTGGAAAGGATGTATTAGCGCCACCAAATCCCCTTCCCACAGAAGATGATCGAAACGACATTGAAACAACATATTTCAATGCGTTTGGTGAGTAGCGACCTTGAGAAGTGTGTCATCTTTCTTCATTACACGTTTCAAGTTGTTGCATTGTCGGTACCAGCTCTCAAAACAGGCTGCAACGCGTTTACAACATGATATCTTGATATTCATCCTCCACATCAACAACACAGTGAAACATTTGCACGTAGTATCTCGCCGGCTTTCGTACGAATCAGCTCTGAGCAGTAGACGTAGCTGCTAACCGCAGGAGCCAGCATGGCTCAGGATTCTCCACACTCTCCTACTGATGTTGTCGATGTTGATGAGGGGACAATCTTTGGTGACGTAGACAGGTCCGGTGCAAAACCTCACCTCAAACCTCGCATTCAGAATTTCATAGCCTGTGGCTTTGGTTAAGCATTGGTTCGCTTATAGTCACCCGTGTTCTCCTTCACGCTATGGATAAGCACGCCTTCTGTATACTGTGAGTAGTCAGATGGCGCTAGATGGTCAAAATGTTGACCAATTGCAGCTCCAGCAAGTGTTGCTGGCGAGCCTGTTATTATAAGGTTCAATGGAACCGCCGATTTTCCTTCTATCTATCGTATTAATGGTGGACCTCCCGAAGCTCCCGACTATCATGGCCCTCCTCCCCCCAGAACTCGACGCTGCTTTGGCAAGGATTTCTGATGATGGTATGGCATTCAATTTTATTCCATTGTACTGTCGGTCGTTATTCACTTCCATGAAATCACAGTGCCACCAATCCGTGTCATGATTGATGACCTACGTAAAGCTGGAGAAGTGGATCTACCAGAGAAGGTCAAGTATCCACAAAGCAACGGTGGAGGTTTCATGGCATCACTGAAAGTCAATCCCTAACTGCGTCGTCTGGTACACGTAGAGCCCGGTCACGTTTGAGTAGAACTTCCTTCGCAAATACTCTTGGCGCGATCATTACAGGTTGGATCCCTGATTCCAGCGGGACCTCTCGGTAGTTCGAATGCATCTCGGTAAATTTCCCTCCTTACGTCCTGCTCATGGTATATTATGACTGCGTCGAACTGATCAGGCAGTTCTATCATGTGTGATGCCGATATCGCGATGATTGGGTAAAGAACCACCCGAAACCCTAACTTCAAATTTCAAACCCCATCATGCACGCAGGAAATTTGAAAACGTCATGAACTGGGCTGTCCAGCATGCTGATCGATCCGAAGTCACTGGGGGATACGATCGACCTTCTTTTCCCTCATCAGTACATGATGTATCTTGCGGCATGAGATCGCACCATGATAAGTTACTGTGATAAGTTACTCAATGATCGTGCATACAAACGGTGACCTTTGGTCGACTACATTTGTACACTATATTTGCGCCATCTTTCTCCTTGATTGCTCCTGAAGATAAGCACAGCATATCTCGATAGCTTTTGATGCGGGACAATGCAATATATAGCTGATCATGAGCAAAAGGATCAATTCCGAGATCCAAAACTGTGCAAGAGAGCGTGAGACCTTGGCAGCCATTGAAAGTATAGTCGCGTAAGCTAGCCTCAAAGGAAACTGTTTGCGATTCACCGTCCATTGCAGATAATAGCTGCTGCTTCTCGAATGAGATCGGCGTGTAGTGAAAATGGTTGTATTTTGGAGTGAAGATTAACGGCGTCACATCAGTGACAGGTATTCCGAACATGTGGTGAGGCTCCTGTGCGTCCACGGTCATACGCGATTGCACACTGCTGCCGACGATCAACACGTTGTCTCCGTGTGCTCGCAATGCGGAGGATAATGCTTCCACCAAAAGTCTTTCCTCGTCCTGGTCGACCCTCCACAAAGAAAGACTGCTCTCGTGACTCTGAATTGCATGGTAAATCTGTTCGAAAACACGCCGTTGTTGAACGTTCAACGTTCAGCATTGAACCGATTATACATGTTCTACACTCTGCGTGAAATGCAGCCTTATTCCTCCGCAAATATAGTTCTTCATTATATACTTCCAACTGTAATCTCTGAGATGTTTGCCACAGTGCGATAGATGGTTGTCGATGATTTACAACGCGTAGTCGTTCGTATCCACTGACATTATTTCCCACTCTGAGGATGTGATGAAAAGCAAAAAAGAGAAGGCGGCAAAGAATCACTGGGGAATATTTGCCTTTATCAAAGTTACGTAAGAAATGCCGCGGCCCTGAGTTCATTGCACAATTTGTAGACATTTGTGTGAATTAGCTCCCTATGTTGACCCGCGCGGCGTCCTCTCACACCTGACACACGATATCCCGATGCATATTATCAATGTGCTCCCCGATTTGAGTGGCAATCTGTCGCGGACTCTTATTTGGCTGTGTTTCGGGTGTCAGTGATAAGAGGTGCAATATATAAATGAACTGTAAATGAATCAGGTAAGGTCTAGCTTCATTCTGAACACATTTGCTCCCATGTCGACCAGTGAAGTTCTCCCCCAAGGCGCAGGCTATGGCGTCGGTGAGTTGGTTTCTGATTCACATATTTCAAACACTGACCTCCAATATCATTGTCAGTCATCGGTAAGACACATTGCAATCTATCCTCTGTCATTTGCTGAAGATATCCAGGGATCGGATTGTTCTTCAGTGCTTTCATGGTGTGTTTAACTGCTATGCAGGCACGCTACACAGGTGTCTCCCCCAAAGATTCTGAGGAGTTTTCGTCTGCTTCGCGCTCAGTGAAGCCTGGGCTTATTGCCTCTGGCATTGTCTCTGCTTGGACGTGGGCAGCAACACTAGTATGTCCATATTCAACATCCATATCCGCATGTGGCTTAGCGGGGTCCGGGTGATGTCGCTTAGCTCCAATCTAGTGCGATCGCTTATAGATATGGCATTGCGGGGCCATGGTGGTATGCCGCAGGTGCGACAGTACAGGTCCTCTTGTTTGCGCAGCTTGCTGCGAAGCTAAAGCTCAATGCTCCCTATGCACACACCTGGCTTGAGATTGTTGCAACACGGTGGGGAACTACAGCGCATCTTATTTTCATGGTTTTCGGTATTGCGACAAACTTGATCGTGTCCTCAATGCTTGTTTTGGGTGGTTCGGCCACTGTGACGAGTTTGACTGGGATGAGCACGATTGCTGCGTGTTTCCTCATCCCGCTGGGTGTTGCCATTTATGTTGTCGTTGGTGGAATGCGTTCCACACTGCTTTGCGATTAGTATGTGGATGTCGTACATGCCATGCTCCCTGACTCATGCTTTCATTTTCAGTACACATACAACCGTCCTCTTTGCTATCATCTTGACGTTTGTATTCACCGTATATGCAACCTCGGATTACATTGGTTCCATCAGTCGCATGCACTATCTATTGAGTGAGGTATCCCAGATCTCACCCGTAGTCGGTAATGCTGGCGGCTCGTACCTCACCCTCCGCTCCGAAAACGGCCTGATCTTCGGTGTTATCAACCTCATTGGCAATTTTGCAACTGTCTTCCAGGACCAGGCATATTGGCAACGTGCTATTGCCAGTCGACCTTCTACGACTGTCAAGGCGTACCTTATTGGTGGCTTGGCATGGTGAGTTGCTTGGCGTATCTTTGCCGGCATGTGCCGTTGTTTCTGATTCTAGCATACTAGGTTTGCTATTCCATTTGTATTCTCAACCACGCTTGGGCTTGCTGCGGTCGCTTTTTTCTGCGGTGCCTGCTGCCAACTCTTCGTCACAAGATCCACTATCAAGCAGCTTTATTCCCTTGCTTGCGCCACTCTCGCAAAATGACATCTCAGAGGGTCTTCCAGCTTCGCTAGCCGCTGCGACGTTGCTCGGGAAATCGGGCGCAGCTGCGCTTCTTATCGTCCTCTTCTTGGCTGTGACCAGTGCCACGAGTGCGGAGCTGATCGCAGTCTCTTCTATTTTGACTTACGATGTCTATGTGGTATGTTCTTGTCCGGCATTCAGCGTCAAAATCGTTCACTGTTGATTAGAGATATATTAATCCGAAGGCTACAGAGCAACAAATTCTGCGTATGAGCCATGCAGGGGTAAACATTTTTCCTGCAGGCATATCTAATCTACTTATCATCTGTCGTGATTAGGTTGTCATCTTTGCCCTTGTGATGGGCATCGCCGGTGTTATTTTCTACTATATTGGAGTATCCATGGGTTGGCTTTACGTCAGTGCCTATATCCGTACTACGTATTGTGCCTGACATGGTTTGCAGACATTCATGGGGGTTATCCTCGGCTCTGCTGTCTGCCCAATTGCCCTTTGCATTACCTGGAAAAAAGCTAGTAAAGTGGGCTGCATCAGTGGTTCGCTCATTGGTTTTTCCGCAGGTATCATTGCCTGGCTGGTCACCACCTCTACGCTTAATCAAAAAGTTATCAATGTCACTGTATGTCTCTTTTTTTCCTATTGTTTCGCTTTTGACCTTACTATGTTCAGACGAGCGGAGGTTAGATGACCGCCAACTTCAATACTTATGTGAAGCTGAATTTACCCAATGATTAATAGGCAACTACGAAATGCTCGCAGGAAACCTTGCGTCGATCGGTGTTGGTGCTATTATCTCAACTGCCGCTTCACTTATTGTGCGCAAATTGTTTCATCCCTCGATATAATGAGCTGATCAATCCTGCAGTGGCCAGATGACTACGATTTTACTTTGACTCGCGCAATTAATAACCGTGGTGCCGCCGTTTCCTAGTAGAAATATCAACGACGAACTAGAGGAACCAGAGTATGAGAAGAAAGTCCAAGATGTGTCAGTGTTATCCGTGACAAATGAAGCGCAAATCGATCCCGAGCTGGACCCAGTTAGCCTAAATAAGGCATTCAAGTTCGCTGCCAGGGCATCAATAGTACTTGTGCGTGCTTCAATGTTTCCTTGTAACTGCTCAGATACTGAAGCCACTTGCTCCACAGACCTTGGTACTGATGATACTTATCCCTCTCCCCCTCTTTTTTGCCCAGACGGTCTATAGCGTTACCGGCCTTTCTGTATGGGTGATAGTCGGTATCATTTGGGCATTCCTGTCGGCGTTCACAGTCGTGATATACCCCTTGTGGGAGAGCAGAGCTGCGCTTCTGCTCATTTCGAGAGGGGTGATCATGGTAAGTGCGGCATTTTTATCTTAGAGCTCATCTGATGGTGTGCAGGATATTTTCTCTCCTGGGAGTGGTAAATTTGTTGCGCCATCTTCAATGAGGAAGCCTGGCGAATAAAGTTCCGTGACAGAAGAGATTTTGGAAACTTTACCGACGACGATAATTGTAGGCAGGACTCTTCCGTTATTGGTGGCCTGCATCTCCTAGTATGAAAACATTTGTAGATAACAAATGCATCAGTATACACGACACAATAAAGTTCTAAACTGGTTTCTTCGTCTGCAGTGGTAGTAACTACGAGAGTATCGATGAAATGGATACCATCTTCATGCGGTGCGTTTCTGCGCGACCGCGCGAAAATGAAGATGGCGATCACTTCGCCGTCTTCTGGATCAAGGGACACCCGCACAAACCTATCCATCTTTTTCGCGGCTCCGAGGAGTAGCATTTGAGTGATCGCATGTGACGCTCAGAAGATACGCATTGGAAAAGGTGGAGTACAATTGCAAAAGGAGGAGTAGACACGGAAATAAGCGAATAACGGACACATAGGAGACGGCGAATTGCTTCCGCGGGATCAAACGTTCCGTCCTTACATATGTCAGATATCCGAAAACAGGGTTGATATCGACGAACAGCACAGCACAGAGGAAAGGAGGAACTGCATGTGTCTAGCTTATGTAGTATGCATAGACCGCTGGGAGAAAAGTTAGAGGGGCACGGGCCCGGGGGTGGTCCGAGCGATCCTTTTGCGTAACTAGTGACTAGGCGCGCTACCGTGACGCATGCACTGCATTAGCCCAGAAAGTCGTCGGGTATAATTCCTCTCAAAAGCCTTCATAGGATGAGAAGACTTCTCCCCACAGGTGACTGGGCTGGAGTCTGATATTCGATCCCTGTCTTAAGGGCCTTACCTTTTTAACTTTGCCCGCAGTATTAACTGTTAGTATGTATACTGATTATGACATGCAGACGATCGACCATTCAGATCATAGACACTATCCACTATCACTTCTGTTCGCAGAAACAGACAACTGAGCGATGGATCTACGAAGATGCAGGTGTTCGCGTGCACTCATCATGACTCGAAGAAAGCCGTGGTAGTTCCCGATCGGACCCGCATGCTGCAGTACTGATGGCACGCAGGCCACGAGGCGTTATTTATCACTGAGACTTTGTTGCGCGCACCATTGAACTCGCGAGTTGGCGCATCTGCTTCGATACCTAAGACAAAGGGTAAGACAAACCGTGGATATAAGATTGGTGTTAGACGATCTTCCCGTGGATACAGGAAGCTTTGATTTTGGAGGACCTCTATGTTTTGATGGTATGTCGAGTGGTCGTTATGTTCGAGGTGTATAGCCATTTTTTGGTATCAGTTGGAACAAGCTATCAGATAATGGAGTCATGATATGTAGTAATACAGGGAAGTGACCTGTAGGCGAGGCTGTAGCGATGCCAGACCTGATACGATGGATGACTCCCACATAAAAAAGACATACGGCTATAACTAACATGCATAGAACCTGGCGTCAAGTTTAGTACCGTTCGTTATAATTGAAGAGATCGGCGCCAAATTCCTCGCGCTTCTCCACGTCTGGAAGCAAGTTACGCTTATCAACCTCAGCATGGTGATGGAGTCATGAATACTCACAGGAACGTTTCGCGATGGTTCCTTGCATGGGGTACGCCGTAGCAAGAACCACGATGGATGCAAGCGCGCTGAAGACAAGAGAAAGCTTCATGTTCAAGTTTGACTCGGAGTTCAGAGGTGCGACTAATACTTCGTCAATGCACAATATTGGAATATTCAAGAGGGATTTATACCTTTTCGTAGGTCCACTCACAAGCCCGAGTTCTCATCGATGCCGTCTTCGAATTGGTCCAGTCCATAGGGCAGGTTCAGATCTCACCCAAGAAAGTGATAAGAGGGACAACACGAGGACCCCTCTTGTAATTCGCATTCCCAAAGCAATTCGAAGACTACAGCAATGGGCGTCCTCCGAGTCGTAAATTGATTAGGCGGACCCTAAACCTTTCAGGCTGATTTAGCCACCACCGCGTCGGTTAAATATTCGCATGAGAGAAATTCTACATCATGAATGTGCGGTGCCCTGTTAGTAACGTTACCACTCCGCTACATCAGGGACTGCCAGTGCCGAGGCGAAAATTAGGTACCTGCAGTGTAGAACGTAAGTAATGAAAATGCCTCAGAAACCTTGATACTCTAAACCATAGATGTTCAATTGGCAGCTAAGACCATGCAAGTTGCAGGTAAACTGCACGACTCTTCATGTCAAACAAGAACAAACATCATATTCTTCAACATCGTTGACTCGGATGCCGACCCAACAAAGCACTGAAATTTGTCGAGTTTTAATTGGTTTAAACAAGTTGAATAAACGGCCACGTATCGGCTCAGGCCAAGTTCTGGTCTCATTACCTGCGACCAGTGAGCTCCAGTGAGGCTCGTGTTTAGCTCTCACCCTTTTAATAGTTCTCGCTCATACTTTTTACAGATTCGTCCCTTCGAGATCCAACGGAACGGATAGCACTTGAGCCTTTACTATACCCCTTTTGTAGAGAGCTGCAGCCACCTCGATTTTCGGCTTGTCAATCATGCGCTCTGCGCTGCCATCCGGACATGCTCAAAGTCAATTTCTCCCATCGCTCAGGCATCGTTTTAATTATCCCTTGAAAGGACTATAAAACTCTCCTCTTTCAACTCGAACATGCATTTAACACCTCGCCGTCCACCCAATAGTTCATACCCTATCCCTTATTTATCAGCTCATCCTCTAACTGGTTACCACCGATGACGACGAAGCCTCTTCTCTATCTTCTTCTGAGTCTCATCCAAAGCAGGCAGCACGAGATGAAGCCTTTTGGCGTGGCGTGGCAAAGCTGAAGGCCGTTTTGTCTGACATGAAGAAGAGCACATCAGATGTACCTATTAATGTGAAGAGTGGGGAAGTGTTAACGGTGATATGCGAGCGCATGCAGACTATGTCAGGTGACCCCAGCGCGGTCAAGGTAACGGCACTCTTCTAATTGCAGCAGGGATGCCCTATGTTGAGATGTTCCGAGTACGAACAACTACGGGTCGTTTCGAAGACCCATACAAGAAGCTGTGTATCAAGGAGAGCAGTATGGGCATTTCGGAAGTATGGACGAATATTGGGTGATATACAGTGAGCTTTGTGTCTGAGAAAATGGGGTGTATGTGTACTGATGTCTGAGTGGCTTCGGGATGGCTCGACCCATTCTTCGAAACGCCAGCATACAAGTGTTCCTCCGCCACGTACTGTTGGAGGTTGATTACCCGGCGGCGCTTGTATACCGCCCCTTCTGGAGTTTGGAAACACAAGTTTTTACTTGCAGGGAAATATTTTAACGTGGTACGTGAATGTGGAATTGAGGTGTAAGTCGATCAGAAGGATTTAACGAAAATGTCGCTGTCCATGGAAGATTAAAAGCGTGTTTCTCCATTGGGTTGGGTCCTCGTGTCTTTTTTCATGGGTATTTTCAGGCTTTACAAATTCATCGAAGACGCGTATACACACACGAATCGTACCCCTGCAAGATCAACAGCTCGTGCTTCTGCTCCGCTCTCAAGCGTTATTTTTTCCTGGCCTCCTCATCCTTCCTCACCCACCTCTTAGACCTTGCCCACATAGAACTGAGGAAGCCCGCGAAAGGTAAGTATCGTTATGCTACAGATTCTGCTCGACCTTGCACTTACAGGGAAAGATGCCGCGTTCCGCGAAGATGTGCGAGTCAGCATCGCGAGCAGCGGATTGTATGAATGATTACTCAAGGTCATCAGCGTAAGCGGCGTCATCGGCGGTGAAGAAGGCGAGGGCGTGCCAGATGAAAAGCAAATAAGAATCACGGCCGGGAGAAGGATGACAAGAAGGCCATGTTAGGTATATGCGTAAAGCCTTTGTGCTACCGTCCTTGCTCATCCCAAGCAGGCGATTGATGCTCTTACACTCCACTACACCGTGAAATTCCCGCGTTCACTCTTTTACTTGACATCTGTCACAAGGGTTTTGCGTCATCAGGTCCTTGATCGTTTTCTTATTCTCAAGCATGTGGAACAGTTGCTCTCATCGATGTGGATAGAACGGAAGACAAGTTCCTGGCGGCGTTCCGTGTCCAACCACCTCGAGTTCGAGCAGTGGCGACTGCGAGTTGCACTCTTGAGAGCTCGCATGATCGCTCTCGTTCAGCAAATACTGGCTTTTGCGACATTCGAGGTTTTTGAACCTAACTGGTGCGCGCCAGAGACGAAATCGGCTAAGGCAACCACCGTAGACCAGCTTCTGAGGGGTCACATAGACTTTCTGGACATTTGCCTGAAAGAATGCATGTTAACAAGTGCCGAATTACTGAGGGTATGTGCGCGACCTCCGACCCAAACATTCACTAATCGTCGCCCCTCCAGGCGCACTCTGCATGACAGTGACGTGCTCTATATTCGCGCTGTACACCTCCTTCACCCAAGTGCGCTAATCGAGCGCTCGCAGCAGCAGAGAGCGGCGACGCCGACCAGGCGATGAACAAACGATAGGAATAAGAAGTTTGAGTCTAACTTTATTCACTGGTGAGCGCCCCATCGTCTGCGTGTGGTATTTGGAAAGTAAGATTATGACACTGCTTGTCTCTAGGTTTAAGGTGGTGTTGTTTTATTCACGCGGTCACGGCATTCCCGGCTGACAATATTTTGTACAAGTTTCATCTGGACTACGTGCAGTACTACGCGTTGGCAGGTGAGAATGTATCGTTGCTTCTTCTTGTGCTGTGGTTGAGCAGCATACGATGCCCAAAATTCGGTTAGGTTTATTGCTTTCTCAGTCCTGTCGTCGTTGCATTTTGTTCTTCTAGCCGTGCGTGATATGCATGCTATTCCTTAGGATATGAAGAACGCGTAGTCTCCCGTAGTAAGACCATTCAAGAGAAGATAGTTGTTCGGAACGTTCCTCGATAAGGTGATTATGATGACACACGAGTTAGCGGTCAAGATTCAAAGAGCTATGGGTCAATTTAAGTGAATTTGATATCATTTATACCTGTCAATTAGGCCCTGTAGAGGGCCGTGCTAATTTGCCGGTGAACCAGAGTAGGATTTCTAATTTCCCGAAGCCTGACATGGACATTTCACCAGATCGCAGCTTATTGGCAAGAGCCCTGGGTCAGTAGCTTGGGCAAAGATAATGAGACAACTGAATTGTATTATATGGGCAACGTGTCAGAAATCAAGCAATCAGATAAGGGGGTCATGATATGTAGTAGTACAGGAAAGTGACTTGTAGGTGAGGTTGCAACTATGCCAGACCTAGTAGATGGGTGATTCCCACATAAAATAAGATATAAGGCTATAACTCACCTGCGTAGAACCCGGCGTCAAGTTCAGTAAGAGTCCTCGTAAGCGGCGGCGTAGAGATTGACGTCGAGTTCCTCGCGCTTCTCCACATCTAGTAGTACTGAGTTACGCTTATCAACCTCAGCGTGGTGATGAAGTCACGAATACTCACAGGAACGTTTCTCGATGGTTCCTTGCGTGGGGTATGCCGTAGCAAAAGCCACGATGGATGCGAACACGCTGAGGAAAAGAGAAAGCTTCATGTTGAGTTAGGAGGTACGATTGGCACTTCGTCGATGCACTACTTTGGAATCTTCAAGAGGGCTTTATACCTTTTCGTAGGTCCGCTCACAAGCCCGAATTCTCGTCAATGCCGTTTTCGAATCAGCTCAGTGCATAGTAGGGCAGGTCCTCTCACGCAAGAAAGTGATAGGAGGGACAACTGAGTCACTTGATTTCGGGACTAGTGCTACCGCCGTTCGGTCCTGAACCGAAGTTCGGACGCGAACATTTGTAAACGGGACGCTGTTTGGTCAGAGGTTTCAGATATGAGTGACGCATCGATGTCGATGAGTACTCTGCCCCTGTTCAAGTTAGCATAAGGCGTTACACTGTACAGCCATTTGTAGAACGCTAGATGCACGGCGGTTGTTTAAATTTAAATGTCCGATCAGTATTATGTACAAGTGTCAGATCCCTGATGCATCGCACGATGAGCGCTGAGCGCTTGCGCAAGCTTATCGACAGCTTATCGATGCATCACAAGACTAGGTTACTTAGCCTGTTTTAATGCATCAAACTGACAATCATTAATCTATTCAGCAGAGATACTAGGATTTCTATTCGACTTTGCGACATATTCAAGGACATTCGTCATATCATGATCTACGCGAGAGTCGTCATTTGGAGAATATTTCGAGACTGCCATCAAGGAGGAGAAGACAAGTCTACGTTATCCTCCAAGTGGACCCATCTTGGATTTAGGGATAACAACGCGACGCTCATCAAGCCAATTCAAGACTTTATCAAAGTTTCTGCACTCGGTGAGGAATGTTGAAGTTAGGAAAAGGATCTTTGACTCCCTCCACCCAGTCGTAAGTGAGCATCGTCACGTCACCACGACACATAATGTTCTGCCTGAGCATTCTCGATGCAATGGTCTGAGGTACTAGTAAGCAGGACGTGGGCCGGACAGGAAACAGTATACCAACCGAGATGAATGCGCCAGAAGCTTTCACGGGATTGCGAGTCATGACCCGAGGAATTATCATGGTCACCCCAGCTGGCTCTGCGAAGCATGTTCTACAGAGGAGTGAGTAAAGATCGACCAGCCTCCCTGTATTACAACTGACTATGCAATGGAGCTGGTGAATGACTTCTACATTTGCCATATAACCTCCACCGTATTCGTCCGGATACCTAGCCATGGCGGGAGAAGGTTTCTCCCCTGTTCTGAGCAGTTGCTCAAGCGTCATACGAACTAGACGCGCTGGGAAATATAATCAGTAAATGTCTATGATGTAAGTGAAGCATAAGGTGCAACCATCACGAGATATCCTATCCCAAGCGGCGTCAATTTCTGGAGACGGGCTGCCACGATATATAGAAGGGGCGTCCAGAGTTCCATTGAATCTTATAATGCCGATGGATTCAATCACCTCGTTTACTGGAGCTGCGACGAAGTAAGCAAGATTCTGTGTGTTAACGCTATCCGTCCACCTACAGTACAGAACTACGTCATCGATCGACGGCGCCCGGACCCATAGCACGAAGAACACCATGGTTATGGATATCAGCACACCATGGCTTAGCCATGGTGACCAGCGAAGAAGACGGGATTCTGGAGGATGCCTTGTTTCTGTATTGCTATCAAGAAGATTCGTATCGTCACGATCGTCGACTCCGTCGACAAGAGAATATGATGCAGAATATTTCTTACGCATAGCTGGTGCAAGAAATGGAATTGAAGTTGGTAGAGTTTCAAGACACTCAAGATGCACTTGGGACAAGTCGTACAAGTTGGAAGCCCTGCAGGACTAGCTAACTTCGCTTCGCTTTGGGAGTTCGGTTGAGTGCCACTCAATTCTAAAATGTTGTCTTGACCTTACGCCGTACTGTCGTCCTCTCGTAAATCATTTGGGCAGACCCTTTAGGAATCCTTTGTTGATTTGTTAGGAATACTACTATGCCTGACAAGGTTTAGCCATACTACCAATATAGGGCTCAATTCATTCGAAGGCAAGTCACTTGATGCGAACATGACATCTTCCTTTTTCTGAGCTGGCCCCCAGTGGCCATCAATTCTTTTAGTAGCCGGTTATATATCAGTACTCACTAAATGGCCAAGTCTTTCAGCATCTAGATCTTTGTTGTTGTTTGAGTCGCGCCCGAGGTCGATTTTGAGACTCAGGTCTGACAGCAAAGCCATTAAGGACAATAATGAAACAGTCTTCATTAGTATCTTTTCAACGGAATTGACACGGCTATGATTTACTTCCATGGGACACCGGTAATACTAATGATTTCGAGTCACCATCAATTATGAAGTTGACCTATTAGAGCCTAGCTAGAGGTTTCCCCATCAAGTTCTCCGCATCACAAAAGGTTTACCCCTGCAATCAGAAGCAGATCTTGGAGCCGAATTCATTGCAAATTGTGCAATTGTTGTTATCAAGATCTATATATGTTCACGACTCGGAAAGAGTTAGCTGTGTGCTGACAGGGCCCCCGCTACCTGACGTACTAGATAAGTCCCCTTTTCAGCCTAGCGACTCCAGACGAGAACAAACATCATATCCCGTGGCCGAAACCGATATGTTCCTATGTCATTGATGGCACTAACAATACAGACTAAGCTCTTAATTATTGTCGTTCTTGCAAGATACTCGTAAATGTAGTATGTAGTGAGTGAGCAGCACGATATTCCTTATACGTTATGGTGCATCAGATCGGAGGGTAGGGGAAGGTCAACCGTATCTTCGAAGCGAGTGACCTCGGATTTATCGATATGAACAGCGTGCTTGACAGCCCAATCCAAGATTTTCTCGTAGTTCCTGCATTGGTGGCGGGTGTTGAAATTAGGGAATGGGACTTTGTGTCCCTGAACCCAGTCCCATGTTATCATCATCACGTCGACATTACACATGATATTCTGCCTGATCATTTCAATGCAATGATCTGTGATGTATATGATAAGCAGGAGGTACATCAATAAAAAAACAAATGTACCAAGATACATGCGGAATACTTTGGGCGTGTCCTGGAATGAAGTTTCTGTGGATCCGTAATACTCGGGCCACGAGGCTTTGCGAAGTAAATTCTACGAAACGTGAGGCAAGAACGACTAGACTTTCGGTGTAGTATAACTTACTAGACAATGGAGTTGGTGAGGGGCTTCCATGGATACCATGAAACCCCCACCAAATTTGGGTGGATATTTGACCTTGGAAGGTGAATCTACTTCGCCGGCTTTGAGAATTTCCTCAAGCGACATTCGAGTTGGTAGCACTGAGGTTTCATGGACGTGAACAATTACTAATTAAGATGACAAAAAAAAATTGGACGACGCACCATCGTGAGCGATCCTGGCCCAAGCGGCATCAATTTCTGGGGAAGGAGGGCCACGATAGATGGAAGGAAAGTCGAGTGTTCCATTGAATCTTACGATCACGGACTCAACAGCACCAATTGCTGGAGCTGTGACACATCATCAACGCTATACGTTAACTGTCCGAGGATGTCTGTTCACTCACAGTATACAGGAATATCGTCATGCAGGTGTGGAGAAGGTGTGTCCATCCATAACGCGAAAAAGAGCATTGATGTGCATATCAACGCGCCATGGCTCAGCATAGGCCACACGCGAAGGATATGCAACTTGGGACGAGGCTCAGTACGGAACCTTTCTGCATCACCAAGTGAATTCTCCTCGTCATGGTTGTCAACTGCATCGACAGGAGAGTACTGTAAGGAATCTTTAGCCATGACCCTAGGGGAACTCCGTTTGCTGAACTCGGTGGATGTATAGATAGGAACACGCGAGTCCAATTGTTAAATGGTTGCTTAAAATAGTTCCCATCATTACTCTTACTATGCAGTTGTTGCCGCGAAGCGAATCGAAGCAAAATTAGATACACTTCAGTAGACTTCGTTGTAAACAAAGTTAGTCGAAGTGCGCTTCATTTCATTTCACGAAGTCAGCGCTACCAAGACGGTTGGTTGCAGCAAGGGTTAGCCTAGAATAGCTGTAAAGAGGATGAAAGTTCCAGACTTGATTGGGTGCAAAAACGAACCGCTGGCCTCCGTATTATTGAATCTGAAATTTGAAGTGCGACGTTGAGTGGTTGAGTGTGATACTCAAATTCACTTTACTGGCACTTTTCCCACGGCCAGCCGCCAGTGTAGTTTGAACCCGGTCTCGAGGACATCTTCAACTTTAGCCGCCAGTTAATAATTTTTATTATTGCTTCATATGCACTAACGTAACTGAAATGCGGTCGAGGCGGGGCCCATCTTGATTTGGCCACCACTGCTCGCCTGCTACCCAAACTAGTACGAACTACGCCCTAGTACTTCCATGCTCGCTTGCCACTTGCAAGTTGCAACGTTCTTCGATGGTATTATGCACAACGACGTTTCCTATGTCCCCTTTCAACCTAGCCTACCACTCCCATGGCGGTGAATTGCAAATTACTTTACAAACGTTCCTCGATTCAAAGTTTCGCTTGCGGTGAAAGTTTGTCGATTGCGGGGCAGGATCATCGACTTCTTGGTATTAACCGTATATATAGCGCTTCCATTGCGAAAGAAGTTCACAAAACAGTCGTCTAAATCTCGTTTGCGGGGAATATTTGCCTATCGCGGCACATGGTCTGGACTTTTCGAGAGATCAGTTGATTTCTCTTATCAACGGGAAGCTTACACATAGTGTCAGCTTTCGGTTTGAGGCCTGAGGGGTGACTTTGATTGCATGGTTTGGTTCTCTAGCGTTGTCTCTGCGCGGAGCCGCCAAAATCCCTGTTCGGTTCGGAAACGACCGAAAAAGGGTCCCTTGGTGAGTGGGTTTAGGGTCTCGATGGGTGAGACTTGAGGTCTGAAGCTTCCTACCCCCCACTAACCCTTCCCCAACCATAAACTACCCTGCCGGTGGGTCATGGTTACTGGCCGGTCGTCGTTTCGCGGTTGTAGCTGTGCGACTGAGCCTATACTCCCACTAGGTATAGTATAGGCTCAGTAGTATTCAAGTTATCTTAAACAGAACGAGAAGGTCGGCGCGGTTGGGGGTAGCGGTAGCCGCCTGACGAGAACTTTCGTAGGTTCGAAACTGTTGCTATTCCCGCCATCCTAGCATCCCTCTTGCCCTAGCTAACAGACTATTATCCTAGGAGACGTGTGACTGCGGCCCGAGCGGGTGCTGAGAACGTGGTCTGCCTCACGACGCTCTGCTGGACGCTCTGGCTTGTTCGCTTATCCAAGGCCAGTCGCTATCCTTGTATGTCCCAAATTGCAACCTGTCTTGAACCCAGCGCGGCCTGCGCACCCATTCGTCTGATCATTAGGCTCAAATGCGCTCCAAGTTCTGCCGCTTGTTGACTCTGGCAATATACTCGAGCGTAAGGCAAGGAGCAAAATTTTCAACAATGGGAGCAGGTATTGTCATGGATGTGGTGGGGTTGTGGCTGCAACACGCAAATCAAGCTAAAACTTGAAGTTGGTGCTCCACTCTGGTACTACTAATCATTCCTTGTCAGTTTTTCGGCAGTGACTACTACGCCCGGTACTTCCATTTTCCATCAAGTGACTTGCTTTCAAGTGAGCGCAAACTGAATGGATTGAGCATCCCTACAATAGTATTGGTGTCGACACTATCTCTCCTTGTTATTGATCTGATGCGTTTGGTCTCGTGTTCTTTGCAGGTCTTACCTTTTATTTGGCTGGCTATTTGACATGCGGGACCATGTTGCGAGTTCCCCATGTTCCGCGGATAGTTGAGATGTGCTTGATCACGCGTATTCAAGGTAAAACATGTATATCTTTGACTCCTCTTACTGGTGCTCCGCTCATGGCGACTTCGCGCAATATGAGCCCTTGTTTATGAAATCATGTTTCATTTTGCCATTCAGATTGGTGCTGGCAGAACATTCAGGTGATGGGATATGCGCTTGGCTTTCTCCTTGCATGTCTCGTACTGACAATACTACCCTCACTTAGCATTAGCAGGTGTACATGAACCATACGTTACCTGGTTCGAAGACACCAAGAGCGTGGAACTGGACTGCGTCGATATAGCTGCGGTTTCGCTGAGTCGTTACGAGGATAACAAAGTGACCAACACGAGATGAGATCCAAAGACTGGAATTCGACGATAACAGTGCGAAAAAAATGAAAAATGCGGACTTAAAGCTGCTAGAGCTCATGAAGACGGTGCAAGAGGCGAGCATAGATGTTTGTGTCTGTTCGTTCGTCTCCAACTTGGACTTAAAAGAGCATGGGGCAGGTCAGGCGAATCGAGGCGAGCAGACGGGACAATGAGCTAGTAAGAATACGTTATCTCAGCCGTCGATAGGAACTCTCGCGTATGTGGCAAGTACCTAGTAAGAATATATTCTGCTCGAGATGTTAGCACACATTTTATTGAAGGGAAACAAAATGAGCCTCTAGTAGGAACTGAGATGCGGATGGGACTCGTAACTCATTGTTTATGGTAAGTAGTATGCTAAGCATAGAGATGGAAATTTGTTCATAGCGTAGGAACGACATACCGTTCAAGTTGTAATACGTCGAACGTCGGTCGATGACAAATATTATACCGTTTTGTTGCGGTCGTCCATATTCCGTCGAGATCGTTCCCGAGTCGGAATCCACCAGCAGGAGGTTGGTTCCAGATAATGCAAGGGCAAGCAACAAACTTCAATAAGCTGGGGCGGAACTTTGGCAGGAAGCGGCAGTGTGTGAGGCAGTAGAGAGCACATGGATGCGGGGTTCAGATGTGGGTGTTGTAGGATAGCCTGCTATACAGAGGTAGGCCGAGAATGCAATGTGGAGAGGTGGTTGCGGTAGGTGTCCTTGTTGAATTACCATTTCAGGCTTTCGTGAGTTTCCCAAATCGAGATGGTGGCCCGTGCGCTAGTGCAGAAGATATAAAAGGGGAATGTTGACATGGTGAATCTTTACCACTCTGGCCTTTTGGCTTAGATCAAGTGTAGTATCTGTTCTTAATAGTTTAACCACTATTATGAGGGCACCGCCCTCATTCTTTGGTTATCAAATTTTTGCCGCCCTTGTTCCTCTGAGCTCTGCTTGCAACTCGGAGGACATGATGACCTTGCTGCTGCACTACTGGCTTGTGTCGTCGGGGGATTTCTTTTTTTGATCTCATCTTCTCTTTGCTGAGTCACTACTCCACTGCCTCTTGGCTTTGTATGGTGCTTGGCAAACAGAAATGGTTGTAACTTGCCGAAATATCTGGGTAGCGCTTGTTTGTTTCTTTGACTTGCCGTCTACAACGAGTTTGGTGCATTAATGTTACTCCTTGTTCCTTGATCTAACCCGGTGACCACTCCCTTTAATACATGTCGCATTATATTCTTATTAGTGCAGTGTGAATAGAGAGTATATTTGCTATGCAAGGGCCAGCGCATGGTCGAACTCGTAAGCAAGTTTCCCGCCTTCCCAGCGCTTCCACCTGCTTGCGTCCACCCCGAGCTAACACTCGGTCTCAACTTTATTAGATCGTGTCTAGAGACAGACGGAGCTAGATTTATTTGAATTTGTTGGTGGCAACTAGCAACATCAAAATCATACTTGATCATATATGCTATTCGTTTTTGGTTTGTCACTACACACCCACGTCCAATCGGAGGCTGTAAGCAGGGATAAGTATATATGCATAAGCTCCCATGTGTGAACATCCCTAATAATGAATGAATTCCTAGCAGAGGTTTTTCCTGCTGTCATGTGAACCGTTTTTACCTCTTCAACAGATGCAGTATTCCGCTGACGATGTCGCAGCCGCCAGTAGTCTGCAGTTCTTAGCGGTGCGTCGCTTCTTCTTAATACGAGGTCAGATAATAACAGATCTACTACTTCCTCAGTACCTATGCGGTGTGTCCTATCTGAACTACTTCTTCCTTTTCTAACCTGGTAGCCTAGTGTCGATGGCCACATTCTGGGTAGGCGCGACCCCATATTTTCCTGTCTGCTGTTAAATTCGCATATCCAGATCTATGATTATGCTTGTTCACTTCAAGAAGAGGTGATGCTACTTGTTCCCTGATCTCCCTCGCTTTTCATATTGATGACAAGTATCCTGGGTCTTGAAAGTGGTCATTCCTACTTCGGTCGCGCTGGAACAAGGTAAAATGCCTTTATATCATCGCACGAAATGTCCCATTTGTCATCATCGCTACGGATTTATATCGTGCGTTCAGCTCCAGCACACATTCTCTCCACAATAAATTGACATGTTATGCCTCAGTATATTTCACCCCGAACAACGATTCCGAGGTATGTCAACGCGCAGTCTGGTGGATGACCCTTACTTCATGACTTCACTAGAGATGCCTCATGTTGATCGATATTTACTCAAGTACGTGCACGGTATATACTGAATGCACGTCCTTACCGAGCGCTGCCCTTTCCTCTCACAGGTTTCGGCCTCATATCCGTCGTTTGCTCTGAATGTATTTCTCATTGCTCCATGACATACACGTGCTTCTGATTCGATATGTCCAGCCATTTTTGTGCTCAGAACATATGCGCTCTGGAACAACAATAAATTCATTCTCATAGGCGCGGTATGCGCCGCTATTGTGAGTCCCATGCCCTCAACACCCTCAAGCTCACGGTTGATGAACGAACTAGACCCTTTTAATAGCGGCCATCGGTGTTGCTTTCACCACTATTGCCGCCTCACATGGTTCTTCTCGTCTTCCCCACTACTATTCGTACGTATTCACTCCACTTTTACAGTCACGATCAGTGCAATCCCAGGCGTCAGAGGCTGCTACCGGACCTCGCGTGGCATCCAACTCTCCATGCCGTTTCTTTTCTTGTTTATATTTGAACTAGGTATGTCGCTGGGAACTGATATTATACAAACACTACAGGCCCGCGTTGACCACACTTCCCTAGGACTACTCTCCCTCACATCCATATGTGCAATACAGAACTGGCGGACAGCCAACGGCCCTCTGTACACCGTCCTGGTGAAGCATAACATATTCTACTATGCATGCGGTCTGTGTGAGTCAAGGACATACATATATCTCTATGCTCATCATTGATGACTCTTGTTATGAAAGTACTTGCGGCCGTGAACGTCCTCATGCCATTGCTGTATTCCCAAGTGCGTAAATCCCGATACCCTTCACCATCAAGTCACTGATACTCCACACCCAGTACGCAATTCACTCCGTCTTCGAAAAGTATGCATCTCTAAACTCTGCTGCGAATACCTACTAACGACTTTTTAAAACATAGCCTCCAGTTCTATGTCCTTGCGATCCTCGCTACGCGCATGCACCTCCATCTCTGGAATGTCGGTCAGAACCTTCATACACGTGGTTGTGATGCTCTCATGCTTGCTCTTTCCGACATGCCACCACATTGCTCTGATACCCTTGCGCTTGCGCCTATACCTGATACGTCGACGGCATGACCTATGATGCTGTGGCTTATTCGGCGTCGTTCGTGGAGTGGGTGCGAGGTGTCTTTTGTTGGAGCTTAAATGCCGACGCGAAAAATACGGACAACTATATATGACCGGACTCTCTTTGATACCCTCTTTTCCCAGTCCGTTACCTGGGGACAGAGAGTACGTCTCTTATGTTATTTCCCACCCACGCATACGCTGATTTGTACTCAAGTCTGATCATAGCGTTTAGGTGACTAAAGGTTCCTTATAACTATAGTTTGTAATATATCAGAGTCCCTGATACTGCCATGTTAATTCACTGTTGACGACGTATGGGCTATAAGCTGATCTCATCCTATCGGGGGAACGGAGATAGTTAAATTTATTAGTTTGACGGGCAGAAACACTCATATCACCACCATCTCCTCGTCCAGCATGACATCAAAGGTATCAACAGTGCGGTCACTGACCACCGGAGGTAGGTTGTCACTGGCAGGTACTCCCCGAACTTTTTTTTGAGCCAGGAGAAAGTCGTACGTTCCCGAACTGCCTTGCCCATACCACGCGATTGAAATCTGGCATACGCACCATCCTTGCAAACAACCCATATAGCACAAGATCCTCCCACTTCAAATAGTATGCTCAGGTCTGGGAGCCGGAAGCAGCAACTATTACGTGGGCCCCATGATGATGATAACCATGGAACTGTCAGTCCATCCTCTGCATCAAACCATCCCGGAGGAATATCAGGCGAGCGGGTATGACGAACATCCAATCAGAGTACCCCGTCACACACACATATAATGCGATCTGGAGGGTTTGTTGTCCAGATCCAACGTCCATCTGGTGCCATGAGATGTGCACACTATGGAGAACTGAAGGATATCGAAATCCGAAATCGGTTGAATGGATGGGCAGCATAAATCTTGCTTGAAGTTGTGGTGCTTTTGACAGGTCCTCGATGTTTTAAGACCTGTGTTCGGTGAGAGCTAAGAGCTTCTCCTTGAAGAAAGCGGATTTCGATAAAGCCATTGGCATGGCCTTCGCCGATCGCATGCAAGTGTATGTCCTTTTGAAAGGTCAAGTGAGAATTTTGTGAATAATGCACGAAAGGAGATGCCTACATCAGCTCAACGACCTTGATGCCAATCCCATACATGAAGCGACCAGTATTTGGTAACCATCTTTAACGACAGCTACGCCATAGAGAGTAACACGGTCTCCGAGGACATCGGCTCAACGCATCATGACGCACATTTACCCGTGATGAGAGTTGCTCACTACGAGGTCGGTCTAATGACAGTGACTAGCTGGGATTCATGGTCAAAAGGGTGTTCCTCGCCCGTAGATAACTGGCGGAAATTGATTTTGAATTTGGAGTTTCGTTGGTGAGTCTCCAATATGTCAATGGTCACGTAAAGGTCGCGTGTCTCATCTATGTAGTCATTACCAGGAGTTTTGATTCTAGGAACTAGATCATATTTGTTCCATGTACACAAAGACCTGTTCGACGGCTCAGATGGACAGGTCTCGGTATCGACAACTTCAGATAAGACTGCCTTGTATGAGGAAGTGCCGGGGAAATACCAAGTAAGGCCGAGTTGTCGATAGGCGATGGACGACGAATGGGGGCCAGACAGAACGAAGTCATCACATTGGGCTTGAAGGAACTCCATGTGTTTGCCTTCTCTTTCAGTATACGCAAGCACTCTGCTATAAAAAACATTAGGTGGCCGTGGATGAACCTGCACCAAGTTCAAGGGCATACTGCAGCTCCATAGAGTTTTCGACTGTCGTGCGCATCGTTTGGCAAGTCTTTAACATTGTAAATAAGTATGTGGGTTGATAAAAAGAGGGAAGACTCACTGATGTACAGTGTAAAATTTCATTAAATGGAAGAAAACTAAGAATATAGCAGCGCAACCTCTGTGATATTAGATAGCGTGGCCCTTCCAACATGAGAGAGCATTGATCCACGACGCAGTGAAAGTTCTTGGTTCATCTTGAGGAATGAGGGCTATATAGGAAAAGACAAGAGTCACATTATCGTGACGGAGATCGCCGGACCAGTGTGGCACATAACCTATGATAACAGTAGCTCGTAGCTGCTTGAGATATAAATTGTGAATGCTGGCTACAGACCGAGATAAAAAACTTATCACTGGTCAGCTGGCCCCCCGTAAAATAGCACCCTCAACATGCACAACAATAAAAGAATATACATCTCAACAAAACAATTAAACATAGACAGCACCGCTCACCGCCCCTATTCGACCTCCAATAAGTCCTCCCCGAAATCCTCCATCTTGATAATGCGGAACCTATCCTTCCACGGCGTACCCTCCCCAAACTCCTTCTTCCACGCACGGCTCAGGCCCTCCTCCCATGCGTATAGCTCCACGCGCCACCCCTTCTTCAGTGCAATTCGCACAGGACCAAGGAAGCCCTGGTCGCTGAACTGCCCGACGTTCCCATCACCCGTTGCTAGCACTATCGTTGCACCCGGGCGGGGCACATCTACATCCGCGATCGCCTGATGCAGCTTCAGCTGCAACAGCTCATCGACGCCCTGCTCTCGGTAGCGGACGCGTCCATTACGGCCGCCGCTCCCAGACGCAGTCAAGCCTGTGCCTCCGCTTCCACCTACGCCTTTGTCAGAGTCCGATGACGCTCGCCCGTGTCCCTTGCGCCATGATTCTGCATTGGTGTTGGCACTTGGTGGACGACGGTACTGCCCATTCCCACCGTCTGGCACGCGCACAAAAATGCAGACTTCGTACCCGAGTTGTTCGGCTGTGTCTGTTGGTTGATACAGCGGGGAGGAAGTGGCTAGGCAACGCCGCGTAATGGGGCGTCCGCGTTCAAGGAGGAGCGCGAGGGCTGCGTGGGAGAGGCGTCGCTTTCTACCCGAGTGAGAGGCGTGACGGCGGGCATAGGTTAAGAAACCGATGAGGATGTTTGAGCTGAAATGATACATTAACAACCATTGGATTCAAATGACAAAAATTCTCACTGGTCAATAAAAACATGAATCAAAGAGTCTCTAGGTCGTGGTGCTGGACCCCTAGGGTCCGAGAAGTCGGAATCGGCACCGCTAAAGTCCTGCGTGAGTAACGCCGTAATGCGGTCGTAGTCCTCCGGGAATTTGAGTCGTAGCTTATGGGCAAGGCAACGTAACTTAAGAATTTGAGGATTGGTGGGTATCTGCGATAGATGCAATGATGGGGTAGAATGACTGTGGCGCAGCCTATCTAACGAAGACCTGTGTGCAGGCGTCGAAGGAATAGTGACAGCAGCATTATCGCCAGAAGACAACGACTCCTCTGTCTCAGGTTCGGGCTCTGGGTTCGAGGAGACAGCAATAACGTCGGTTGTCCCAAATACGCCCAGTACTGTGCTGGTTCCCGTGGTGTGACTCGTGCTCTCCTGTTCCACATCTCGCTGCAGGAGTTGGATTACCCTCGCCTTTTTTCTTCTACGCTTTCGTGTGCGGCGAGGTTCTGCCTCGTTTCTCCAAGCGCCATCGCTCGTGGAGCTATCTTTGCCTGTGCCACGATCACGGGCAGCAATTCTAGCACGCTCTGCAGCAAGAAAGGAAAACGCGCCACCGAGGTTACCAAGACTGGGTTGGTCCCCTAAGTCAATATCGCCATCAGAAAGTGAATGACCGTGACTCAGATCCGCATCCGAATTATGAGACTCTGATCGACTAGGTGTCGTGAACGTGAACGTGAGCGGTTCAAGCTCGCCTTCCGTCTCCTCTCCAGAGTCGTCAAAGTTGTTGTCGGGATTCGGAAGGTGCGGGCTTGCGGTCATGCTGGTCAACGTCGAGCGTGTGTGTGAGGAGCTCGAGGATGCGAGATAAGACGCTAGCATGCTCTGGTTCCATACTGTAGAGCCTTCTATGAACTCCGAGTCCGTCGGAAGTGAAGAGGGCGGGCCGGGGTCAGTAGAGGGTGTATCAAGCTCTGTGTAGAGGTGGGCACCCCCTCGAGGAGGCACGAGTGGCTGAAGGTGATTGAGGGCCCTAAAGACAGTGGTGAAAGCCCCGAGGTCGGGTGACTCTAACACCCAAAAATCAAAGTTCATCATATCAGATCGCACTTCACCAAAATAGAATAGAGAAGATCGCAATAGCGGTGACTCACCATCTGAAGTTGCGTCACTAGCAGCTGAATAATTGGAGAAAGGACTGATCGGAGTCGGCGAATTGTTTGTCGTTTCCGAGCTGGAGAGGATCGTGGACATGAAATACAGTTATTAAACGGAAATTGATACAGATTGTGATGTAGTAGATAACCAATGCTGTTTGTCGTTGACTCAAAAGTATATCGTCAAACGGTGAGAGACAGACAGAGAAAAAGAGAGAGAAATGAAAAATAAGGGTGATTTATATAGAAAACCAGCGTGGACAGAGCTATAGTGTGGCTCAAGGAAACGTGCTGGCAGCGTGCATCTCAGGCTCAAGTGGCGGTAGTGGTTTGTCAAGAGGCCACTTTATGACTTAGCGCTGACTGATTGAGTGTGATTTTAGATCCACGTGATCAGTCACGTTCAAGTTCAAAAGATATCAATTCATATTTCATGGTCATGACATTCGTGTACTGCTGTCAATTGTACATCCTGTAATTTGAAGGTCGCAATAAGTGCGGTTGAAGATATGTACAAAAGGTGCAAGTGGCGTGATATAAATGACCAATAATGATAACTCCGAGTTCGACATGTAATTGTGATGCTGATGTACAGGTAATTTGACAACGAGATGAAAGGTGAAAGGTGAAAGATGAAAAAGAAGATTCAATAGACGTTGTATTCGTTTGTAAACGAGGGCTCTGCCATCGAATACGGTGCATTTTCAGGGTACTCGCAGCGGCCTTCAAAGGACCCCGAGCCATATTTTTGTAAAAACTCCTCCAGATCAACTGGTAATTTATTGTTCACATTGGTTCCGGAGATGGGCTGATACTGAAAGTCCTCATTGGCGATGGACTGGGACTGATACTGAAATCCGACATCGTGAATGGGCTGCGGATGCGCGGCTTCGGAGAGTAACTGCGGGTCGATGTGGAGAGTGGAGAGATCGACGGGGACGGTCGAAGGCCGGAAGTAGTTCGGGATGGGGACCCGCGGGAGCTGAGAGGGCTGACCACGTATGGGGATGAAGCTCTCGGCAGAGAGATCGGGGAAGAGTCGGTCCAAGGAGAGTTCCGTGAACTCGCCCGAGAGTTGGGAGTCGATGGACTCGCAAGGCGAGAGCGCACCGCAGGGCATGAGACCTGGGAACTCACGAAATGTTAGGTCATTGAGATCCAGCGAGGCAGGAATCTCTACCTCTGGTTTCACAAATCGAGTAGAGGGGTAGGGCGCGGTGGCGGACCGTCGAGCAGCTTTGCCGTCTGGAATGCAACGCGCCTTTGGCTTGTAGCCGTGTTCTGACTTGCGGTGACGCGTCAGGCTGCCTGGATCGGTGGTGGAAAATTGACACTCAGGGTGAGGGCACGCCTTCGAGCGTTCCCCGGTGTGGGTCCTGATGTGCGTCTGGACGTTAGACTTTTGAAGGGTCTTGTAATCGCAGCCATCGTATGGGCATGCGTGCTTACTGATGAAGATAGTCAACAGGTCAAGAATCATCTGGTTTAATAGAGGACGAGCACGTACAGGGCATCCCTGTTTTCAGCGTGCGTAAGCATATGCCTAGGAAGATCGGCCTTGCGGCTAATAACTTTGTAGCAGACAGTGCATTCAACAGATTTCTGTAGAGAAAGTGTCATGAGTACAAGACGCGTGAAGTGAGGTAGGCTGGAAGCGTACCACGTTACGTCCTGTAGCAGGCATTTTGTGATAGTGCTTGAGAGAAGAGAGACGGTTGTAAATTATCTGCGAGGTGGGTTTAAATCCCTGGAAAGAATCAATAGCGCGTGTGTTGTGGCAAGCCCACACATTTTCCCCGCTTCTTTTAAACCACAAGGTGTACTGTGGACATCGAGTACGATTGTTTTTCTGCAGCACGCGTTTCTGCCTTTAAAGGCAAAAAGCGCGAAGCAATCGTGTGCGATGGTCTGAGCATAAGGGACGAGCCACTCGGCTAGCGGGGAAGGCAAAAGAGTGGGAGGAGGGCTCGATTGCGTCTCAACACTTTTATTATTTTTTCCTTGTAAGGTAATTTCTTGTTACCTGCTCGATGTGGGGATGAGTGGCTCAGTACTCAGGCCTTCAGACCTCACGAATAGGAAATTAGGGGGCCGGGGCCCATGGGCCTGCCGCAGACTCGGAGCGCTCCACCTCGAGGCACGTCCAAAAAAATTGGTGCCCCGCCGAATTTAATCCCAGTACTATTTTCTAGGATAGCGTTCGCAATCACCGGCTGCAAATCGAGCTTTTGAAGACTCGGAGGACGATGAAAAAAACACCAGTTTAGCGGAACACTGTGATTGACATCGCTTACGTTATCCAGGCAAAAGGTATCATCAGATTCAAATCACCAACTCCTTACGTACTTTCAGTCACCTTGTTTTCACCATCTTTGCCCACCTAACCAGCGGGTCAGACGTAGCACAGGCGCTATCACTTGAACACGATCGTATACCCAAACCTGGATTAGCCTCTGACGTGTGGCCGAGGAGCAAGTAATGTGGATGTGCAGACTAAACATGTATACGGCCGCGCGGTTACTAAGACCTCGGAGAACTTCCCTATATTCTGAAAGAAAGTCAACAGACAACACGCCTAACCTCGGCATACGTCAGTATGCAAACCCCTCCTTTCTCACCTTCCCAACCACGCCCTGGATAACCTCTCGCTCGAACATTTCTGAGCCGCAAACATACACACATTCAACTTTGAAGTCGGAGACAAATGAGGAAGTGATCCGTCCAGAATGTCGATGAAGCGATACGGAAGTAGGTAAGGAGCTCTTGAATTGTTCAGTGTGCGAGAAGACATGAACGACTAGTTTGACTTTGTGGGCAGCGGCTTCGATTGCATTGGAAAGAAGAGAGAGCATCACATCTGGCTCGCGAGTAGACAACAAAAGGGTGATTTCGTACTCGGCGAAGTGTGAGGGAATGTCACAGAGCATAGCGAGGAAAGGTGTTATTCCAATCCCGCCCGCTATCCAAAGGAGCTTCCTTGGAGCATTTTTTCGGACAGAAATCTGTTCTTCCTCGCGTGTGATCGCGATTTCAGGGCCCTCGTGAGGGTCTGTGGGCTCGAGGACGAAGTCCCCTCCTATTCCGACCAGCGTAACGCCCAGTCCAAGCGGACGTGAGTCCTCAAGCAACTCTGGGCGGACCGCTGAGAGTTTGTTGGCAATGTCAAATAGTGCCCCAGTAACGGCACCACCAGGCTTCAGGCGCATTGTCAAGGAAAATGTCGTGCCTACCCCATCTGCAACCGATTTCCACGAGCTGCACCATGAAATAGTCCACGTCCTTATACGATCGTCGTTCACCGAATTTGGGTTTTCGGCTGCCATGTGCCTGTATGGCGATGCACCGAGGAAAGAGGTGAAATCAAGGATGGCGGCTTGGCCTGGGATAATATTAAGCTTGTGAGGAGATTCAAATGCGAATGTGGCGATATCGGAGGAATGAAGCTGGATGCGGGAAAGCGTCGCATGTATCGCGTCTTCGCTGCTGAAGTACCTTGAAGAAGCTTGTTCTTCTTTGAGCAGCTTCACAGGGGGTGCGTACGGACTCCTCTGTGGCTCTGTCCCTTCACGTTGACGGACAGGTAATGCGTCCTCGATAAAAATATAACCTGTTATTTCAATCGTGCTGAGAGCATTCTGCGAAGGCATAATTGCTTGAGCAGGAGCGCCAAAAAGGTTATGGGCAATCCCGGTAACATATAAGAGCGATCCGTCGGTAAACGATGGGAATGTCAAAGAAGCAAGAGCTGTGGCTTCTATATTTCCGAGAGATGTCATCAATCGGTTGCCTAAGTATTGGTAGGAGGTTCGTAATCAATTTAAGTATGCGGATATAACAGTGCTTACCTGAGTAATCAGGCAAGACGAGAGTACGCCCATCGTTGCGTACACGAACAAACCCAGGCCTCCCCCCGCGATGATTCATGCCGAGGTGAGATGGAAACCTCGGTGCATCTTCCTCAGAGGCCGAGTATGATGAACCTACAAATACGGTGTCGGATGAAAGGATGAATGTGATGAGATCTGAAGGAAGACGGTCAGTCGGGGGGATGTTGATCTCTTGATGAATGACTCGAGGTTTCGTGTGTGGAAATGAAACAAGATTGCGGATCGTGATGTATTTCGGGCAATTTCTGCGGACAGCCAGCTTATCACTAGATAAAGCAAGTTTAAAAGAATGTGGACATACCCAATGGCTTGGTTAACAGTCGCGCAGATATCTAATAATTCCCCTTGCTTTCCAATAGCCTTAACCGACCCTGCAAACTTATTCCTGCGCCTAGTTGAGAACTCTACACCAATACCAGCAATGAGCATCTTCCTCTGAGATTCATCCGTAGTACCAGCGTGATAGTCCGCATTCGCCTTGAGCGGATCGCCGTCCCAGACCTCCGCCCGCATAGACAATTGGTCGTACGTCTCGCTGGAAACCCACCCAATCTCTCCATGTGGACCTGCGAGTATTGAAGACCAAGGACGACCCATAGAGTCAAGAGTGGTGACAGGAATAAATGGGAGACGTGTGGAGTAGAAATCTCGGTGCTGTTCTCGCATTTCTCCTTCGATCTTAGTCCAAGACTGAGATACAGCTCCATGAAATCCGAATTTCTCCTGAATGGCACGTTCACCTCTGTGCCAACCATTGAGGGAACTCATTATTAGATATAAGAGGTGTGGTTATGAGCAGCGTAGGGATGAGAGGTAAAGTAGAATCTTCTTTCTATTATTTCGACTGGCTCTAAAGTAAAATATGAACACAGTATATATACTACTAAGGCTCGGTAATGTAAAGCACTAACATTTGTCCTTGATCTGCGGAGTCGCTGACAAACATCTGACACAAGAACGCGCGGACGCGGACAGCAATATCTCGTTCGCTGGCGCGGTTACGGTCGTGAAGCGGACGTGTGGGTACCAGGCAAGGAACTTGAAGAAACTTGAAGAAACTCACGTACTACAAGAGTACAATGCAAGGCATTCGAGGTCTGAAGAAGACAATCGTTTCAAGAACGCGCTACGGAGAAAGAAGCTGACGCCGGTGTTTATTCTTCAGACTAGACCCGCTCAAATAATCCACAGTTTCGTCCTGTTACTTTCGCCTGATTCGTTTAGCGTTCCTTGCCGTTTCGCAGTATATACTACTAAGTCTCGGTAATGTAAAATACTAACCTTTGTCCTTGATCTGCGGAGTCGCTGACAAACATCCGGCATTTCGGCTATTCCCGTTAGTCAGCGTTAGTAAAGGACCCCGGCTGCTCCCTATACCGCATGTCCGCAATTTTTTCTAAATTTTCCTCTTGGGGCGCAACGTTTTTGAGGCTTGTGGGGCGCACTTCGGACATGCTTGCTCCCCGAAACATACCAAAAAAGGAAATTTTCCGTAAAAATTTCGTGCTACTGGATTCTAGCTAGGTACACCCATGATTCTGCTTCTTGCGAGACCGTACAGTGAACTGTGATGCAATAATCTCGCGCACTGTCACAATACCCGCTGTTTCCCACCTATAGAGAAAGATAAATATATGTTTTACAGTGTTTTGTAGAATAAACACTTGCTGTTCAAAAGCCCACAGTTTGAGGGCGTGATACCGGCCATCTGAAACACTGAGCTGCGGATGTTCCAAGATTGTAGACAAGTTCCTTGATACTGGCAAGTGTCCATAAATGTCCCGTGGACTTGCTGTAGTGCCAGAACAAGTTTTCACTTTCTCCAGGGTGCATCTTAGAAGTTTGTGAATTAAAATCAGTACAAGCAAGCAGGAAAAAAGGCACCACTTGCCTGAATAAAAACCCGTAATCCTAAGTTTGTCAATGAAGGAACATCTTTTGTGCCAGCAAGGAGAATACTCTCGTGTCAAGTACCTTTACCACCACCATTCTTCTTGTACATACAAACCACTTGGCCAATATAGTAGCCCTGCGAGCGTTGCATGATAACATATGACCCAATGGCTAGTGGTGATATGTCATTGACATTTTGTGTTGCGATTCCAGGAACTGATGAGTGAAAAGTCATGTTTAGTGATCGTGACTCAGACCAATTGAGTGGAACACATACGACAATCTTCAAGGTGTGGTACAGCTGCAATCAGCTGCTTTGCAATTGCCCAGTTGCCAATACTACTGTAGAGATACGCACTTAGGTTCGGCCCTATTGAGGTGTGACCAAATGAACGTTAGGTTCGAAGGTTCGCAGGGGGGGTGTGATGTGTGACAGGCTGCGCTTAGGTTTGATGACCGTTGTAGAGACTCGTGTTTCTGCAGGCACATATAGGCACATTTCGCACCTTTTCACAACTCATGACAATTGGCCTTCAATGCACGACTCACACCATCAGCTATATTCGACTTCTATCATGTCCCTAGTCGTTTTACACATAACGCGCAGCTTTCCCTGCGAAACGCGCCATAGGCGCGGTACTTTCCCAGCACAACGCGCAGCATTCCCACACGCGCACCTTGCGCGCTTTATTGCGCTTAAGCGCCCTGCATTGCCTGCATTGCCTATCCAGGAACGTCCCTCTATGTCCATCCACCTCATTGGTACGTCATATGCCTTGCCTCGTGGTTTGTAACAAGCATTGCAGCGTTATTACATGTCATTACGTATTCATAGCGCTTATTGCTCCTATCCCTTCTGCTTCCGATGCGATTTCCATAGTATAAAGTTGCTGACTTACTACACCATCATTATTACTCCCCTTTGCTGTACTTCCCTCGCTATTGGGTTTTACTTTAAAGTAGTAGTCACCACTTGGGCGCACTTTGTGTTTCCAATGGTTATCGTTATCCGCCTATACTAGACCTTTATCCGCGCTCATTATAACACTCGCTCTGCGTTTGCACTCGCTTTGCACATCCGCTTCCTTGTCCGTTTCCTTATCCGGTATTCTCCGCACAACGCGCGCCTTAGCGCTCACGTTCCCACGCTCGCGCTTACCTTAGTGCGCTCTCTCGCGCTTCGCGCTCACTTCGCTTTTCTTCTTGCGCTTTCGCGCATCCATCGCACTTCAAGGGTCTTTCTTTCATCTGGTTCTGTGTTCAGTAGCAGTCCCCTTTAGGGTCGAACGTTCTTGCATTCTGCGAGTATAGCAGCTAGGCAGAGCCAAGACTCACTTATACTGGTTGAGCATTTTTAGATATTTCATATCAGCCCAGCCAGGTTGAGATCGCCTCACTGTTAGGCAAACATTCCTTTGTAAGTATAAGCATGCTGATCCTTACGCTCGACCAGGAAATGCTCACTTTACAAGCTTCATTTCTAACTTTATGTCTGTCTGTCTGTCTGGCAACACAACAGCTTCCCTGTATGTTGTTGTAAAGTCTTGTCAGTGTGGATCCTCGGCATGCCTGAGCAATGTTTCCATGGATGTTGTTCTGCAGCATATTGCATTGGGTGAATCAACTGTCCCTCATGGCTATAGCGCTGATGAATCAGGTAATCTGCTGGTAGACAACAAGTCGGAGAGCTATGAGCAAGTGGTACTGCTAGTGGATGACACGGAGCTTGAATCTACAGTGAATGGGTCTAAGGAGGTTGAGGCTGGGGGCCGTGGAAAGCGCAGACGCGTTGCAAACACTCAGTACAAGGATTTTTGGCTGCACTAGACCTTTTTTTCATGTTTTTACCATATGTCACAGTTTAGGTTCGATGGCCTCAAAATTGGTGTGACGGTCACACAAAATAGGTTCGATTCGCTAGGCGTGTGACGGTGTGACTGAACTTAGGTGCGTATCTCTACAGTAGCAGATGAACTTCCAGTACCGTCATCACTGGGTGGGATTTGCCTTGGTAGCCGTCCACTGTTCAACACGTGAGTGGCCGCCCTGTCACTTGTGCATGAGGAGCTGCAGGTCGTCGTTTGTAGTGAATTGAATGCTGAAGGACATGTTGGATTTCATTTGGACGTGCGACACCTGCAAACTTGTAGGTCAAATATGTCTCCAAGTTTATCACTACAAAACACACACCATTACCATCCGACACACCAAGGCCAGCAGCTGAGTCAAGTTGTGTCGTAGTTCTGGCCAGGTTTCTCAGGCTCATAGTGGGAGTATTTGGCCTTCTGCTCGAAAGATCTTTCAGACAGAACACCTGAGTTTCGGTCATGAGATTTGCGCAAGCGGACCACAGCAGCAACATCTAGGTGTGTGATTAAGAGTTGTGATTGGAGTGACATTGGCATGCTCGCTCAGTTGGTTTGAAGGAGGTGCTGGGTTAAGAAGGTCGACAATGCTCAGAACAATGGCACGTGGCTTCTGGGATGACTGCTCTTTGACTTCTTCAGCATCCTCAAGGTCAGCCATGAGTGCAGACATGCGAGACATGTGGTGCAGGGCTTTCGCATGCTGGACACTATCTGGGATTGATGGGTCACATAAGTCATGGGCATCGCTCTCAGCTTGAGCAGCAGCCAGACGGAGTGGTGCGGTATTCTCCAAATCGCCATCATCATTCTCACCATCCTCACTGCCACTATCATCTTCACATCTGGCTTTCTGTTTCCCAGCCCGTTTGAGTCGTGCAGTCTCAGTTTGACTGGCTGTAAACACCAGCGGTAGCGGAGATATATTTAAGACACCAAGTGCCTGCCAGATGGGTTAGTATCGGCTGCAACACACGCTTTGGCACCTTACTCACATCGTTGAAAATAGCCATTACATCCTCCCAAGCAATGTTCACGATGTCTTCCATTTGCAATCAAGATAGAATATCAGTTAACTTCTTGAGGTCTTGATCACTTAGTCTCTCCAGTGTAGTGTCGTAGACATAACCAAATGATTTTTCCTTGCGTTCATGGACTCCTGATTGTGCCAACTGAAGGAGAACTTCTTGTCATTGCTCGATATGACACAGGATGCCAAGGAATTCGATGTAGCTGAAGTTGGTGAGAAATTCATGTGCAATACCAAAGATCTTCTCTAAAGGCAACGAACCATGCTGCCAGGGAAGGAAGGGGACAGTGGGATAGTACTTGCAGTAAACAAGTGCAAGTTTTATGAGAGCATCGCAACATGAGTCGAGCGACTTGAAATTTTGGGAGGAGATAAAGCTACGACGGAGAGGAAAGAAATGACCGTAGACTGGGTGTTTGCTTTTGTTGACAATATGATTGTGCCAGAGTTGAAGGAAGAATTTTGCTCACATTGCAGCACGTACTCATTCAGCATGTGAAAGGTCACACTTGAAGTATGCATCGAAAAGTTCACCTAGTAGTATCCACATGTCAACTTTAGAGGTACATTGTAGCATGTAAAAAAAACGGAATCTTACCACAGATAAAATGCACCACAAAAGCAAGATGATAGGGCTTCTGTATTGACTGACCATCACCCATCAAACATGCTCGTAATGCATTAGAATGGAACAGTCTAATTGCTGCCCCGTCATCCTGCTTGTCCGTGTTCTCGACATCCTTCTTTACCATGCCACTGTTGGGCTCCTTGCATAGTGCAACAAGTGTTTGATGTGTCAAACAGTAATTGCCAGCGCTGAGAAGGTGTGTTCCGCTTTGCTTGTTGTTCCGCAACACCTTTTGAACGTGACTCAGGTCAGGAACAGTCACCAAGGGACCAGTTGGAAAAATAGGAATATTGAATATAAACCCGAACTTTTCAATTGAAAATGTCAACCATTCCGACACTGAGTTATGAATGATGTCATGGGCACCAACTTCACTCGAAGCACCATCTGATCCACAAGAGATAACAGCCAAACCTGCCCTCCAACATAGAGAGAGGCAGTCGAGCAGTGTGCAAGCATTGTCTTCGGCAGTTTCCTTGCCTTGACTGGGAGCAACTAGCAGTGGAATGGGACTGCGAACTGGGCAATGGTGTCTGATGACACAAGCAAGTAAGTTTCTTCATACTGCGACTGTTGATTTGTCTTGTGAAAAAACACACCTTCCCTATCAGGACATGAACTTGAGATGCTAACGAGCTTTCATCAATGACCTCCTTGATTATCTGTTCAATATCTTCACGCATGTTTACCTCAAGCTGAAATAGCACTTCCAATCCATTATGTATAAGTCATGGTGAACTCGTGCTTGTGGAAAGATACTCACCATAATCTGCACTGGCAGACTCCCCCAATAACCTGGCTGAGAAGGCCATATTGTACTGCACTTTGGCTCCCATATCCACGCATAGCAATGAAAAACTTCATCACTTCCGAGTCATAGCGTGCACCATACTTCACGTTAGGATTGTCACTATGGGCTCGTCCTACTTTGTTGGCTAACACTTCTGCAATTTTGACAAATAAACCATGCTCCTGCAGATGCCCGCTCTGTTTGTATTGAATTCAACATGAGGACGAGTCTAACATTTGAATTGAAAGGCTTACATTTGCGTGTTTGAATAGCTCAAGGAACACTTGACCATAATCATCGTTCTCGAGTAACTGATATGCTCGATGTACCTGTGGGTCCTTCAAGTATTCCTTTAGCTGGGCAGAGCAAGTTTGAACAAGTATCATGATGTGTTTGTGACTTGCCGCTTTTCGACCTTGTTCCGATCTGTCTCTGAAAGCTGTGCATCAGCTTTGTCTCGTTTTGAAGCCTATTGTTTTTGTTCATCAATTGAAACATGCTGCTGTCATGATGACCACTTACATGTCAAAGCTGCCACTGTAGGCTCTTGTCTTGATCCAGTGCACAGCATTGCTCACACATCATTTTCCCATCAGGAACAAAGCGGTGTGTACAAGTCACAGAACGTATGATATGTGAACCAGCATCACAGCCATTCTCTACAAACCAATGTCGACGGCTCAACAGTTCCTGCCCAAGGATTGCAAGCTCCTCCTGACTAAATTTTGTGATGCTGGTATGCATGTTTCTTTGAGAGGGTGTGGCAGATATGTCATCAGTCGTTTCTTCCTGTGCTGACCATCCTCTGTACTTGTATGGAAAGAGAACCTTTGCTATCTCAATGTGACTGGCAATGCTGCCAACCCCTCCCACATCTCCAGCAACTGCGTTCTTTGCAAGGAGTGCATATGCACCATCAGCTCGTCCTAAACATGCCACACCAGTGTCGATGTTGGCCCCATCAACCTGCATTACAGTGGGCAGAGGAACTTTGCTTTGCGGAGACTTCCGCTCAATTGTCTCCAATGATTTTTTGCCTGATGATGCAAAGAACAAAGTGATTGATTTCATCTGTATTGGACTGTGGTGAGTGAAAAGAATGTGGTCATTTTCGTCATGAACTTATGGGAATGTACTCTTTTTTAGTTTTTGACTTTGATCTAGATCCAGTTACCCAAGGACATCGCTGGAGGTGGTGGTCATATTTGCTAAGATCGTATTGGCGTTTTTTCGGAAGTTTGTCGCAACTTTTTCTGCTGTCGAGTTTCTGAAGAGTCTGGCATTCTCCAGAATCTAGCTTTATAGTAACTCCACATCGACACTTGATGAAAGTTGGCCCAAAATCATTTATAAGTCCTTGATTCTTTGCCTCGTTTAGCCTCTGGACCCATTGCTCTGTGGTTGTCTGCTTAGTGACCCTTGAGCCTACAGCTGCCTGAACTCGATTCTGGTGTGTCCTTTTTGACTTCAGTTTATTCTATTTGAGTTACTGATTCAACACCTACCGTTCGTTGTCGGTGTCATGGCCCTCTGACCCATCACTGCTTCCTTCGTCCACTTCATTTGAGCCCTCTGAAATCTCAATATACTCCTTTGGCCGGGTGTCAGACCTCACAGGTAATGGTGTACTGGTAGTACGAGATGGGTTTGCATGCTGGTACAGCGGTACTGACTGGTTTCCGCAGCTTTTGTGTGACAGTGGGTCAGAGTCTTGCACAGGTGACTGTGGAGCCTTTTGACTGCAATTGCCCAGTCAGAACTCAACAAAATAACTCACCAGAGCTCAAGTGCTGTTCGCATTCGAGGAACCACCGCAGACAAACATGATCCTTCTCCAACTTCTTGCTCAACATGGGCAAAGGTATTTAGAAAGTCATGTATAACCAGGAAGTCCGCCTGACTCGATTTTGAAGATAGTAGACCTCCTTCTTGTCCCCAACCAAAGATGGTGTGAATGGGAGCGTGAAGTTCCTCCCAATGGTCTGCAGAATGCTGGAGTGTCAAGTGCTTAACTCTGAGGATGCTCTCAGATGCCGGTCTTTGATTGCTGATTGTCAGTATAGCTTTTTTTCAGCTCGTCTAGGATGTTTCGCCAGGTCATGGAGCAGGCTTCATGAGGGTGCAGAGATTGAATGATGAAAAGAATGGATTGATCCTCATTTGACTACTGCAACTACTGCTACCACTACGGACTCTACATAGACAATGTTCTGTCCAAGTATACCATACATCAGACATAATCCAAATTGGTCTACATGGTGAATCACTTTGTTGGTCTGTAATCAATCAGTGCTTGTTTAGGGAAACCGAACATCAGTTTGAGTTTTGTCGTCGGTCTGGGCTGTCTCACACCCTCTAATACCCCCTCCGATCCGGGATTGAGGAGGATCCAGGGCCTCTTGGGGTGCTACCGATGGACATAAGGTGGGTGCTACAGGCTCATGAGGCGCACATTTTAGGACCATAGGATGGGTGATTTGGAGGGCATGTGAGGCGCTGTAGAGACTCGATCCTGAGTAGCCTCACAATGGCATATATTGCACTGTAGGTCGAGTCTACAATACTATGCATGCAACGCGACACTAGCGCGATAAACGCGACGTTCGCGCGACGCATGCGACATAGGCGACACTTCCGCGACATAGGCGACACTTCCGCGACTTGCGCGTGCTTTAGGCGAACTTTCCCGCGCCTAAGCGCTATAGGGCGCCTGACTTCCCACTGTGTTTTCCCATGTCCAACCAAGTTCCCAGGTATGCATTTCTCCATTTATCATTTATTTCAACATCGTACCATGTTTATTTTCACTTGGTACACATTTTTCATTACACATTTTTTACTTTACACAACACACATTACCAGGGACCACCATCATCATAGACAGTAACCATCTCCGAGTTTTTATTATGTTTTGAATAAATCATCGCAAGCCCTAGTAGCAGTTAGCTCTAGTGGCCATATCCGCATCAGTTGTCTTATCAGCATCTCAGTGCACATCTTAACATCTCACTATCGCTCGCATACCGCTTTCACCCAGTTCCGCTTTTCGACGCGCGACTTTCCCGCGCTTCGCGCGCCTATAGCGCCTTTGTTCCCGCGCTTTCGCCTTATCACGCGCTTTGCGCATTCCCCCTAGAGTGACCAGTGGATATTTGCTTTTCCGCTTCCCCTAAGGGACGAACATATCGCACTCATATTTTCCTCCCTTCAACAATATATCAGCTGCACCCTCAGCTGAGTTGAAGATCCTTCAGCGCTACGGTGGACATGCAGTATAGGGAGCAGCCGGGGTCCTGTTAGTAAGGTATGGTCCATGCACTTTCCGGAATGAAATGTGACAAAGTGTTACTTTGTTTGAAATGTTAATGGCAATTGTAAAACACCTATTTTGCAAAAGAAATTGAGCAGGGTTCTTTGTATTACACTGCGCACAACGCTGTGGGCTGGATTTTTGAAAAAATTGAAATTGAAAGTGCCATTAAGAAAATGAATGTTATGAGCCCTTTTGAGCCTTGTTGTTGCATGACAAACTAAGGGAGAACACAAAATTGGTACGACATTCTCAAACTACCACGGCACAATGCCCAAACAGAAGCCCCCCTCCACCAGTGAGCAAGATTTGCAGAAGAATGTCGTTGATGTGCTTGCGTCAGTCAGCATTGAGCAAATGCGCAAGTGAGTTTAACTTTTCATTTTTGTTTGCTTTATCTCACTCGAAATCATTCAAATATGCACGCCGATCTCGTAGATTCATGGATGGCTATCACAAAGGTCTAACAGGAAAGCAAGCTGTCTGAGGCACTAAGATATATAAAGGACATTGCTTGAGTCCTCCCTAGTTCCATTCTGGTGGAACTCGAGAATGCTGGTGTGGGAAACACAACAAGAAGAGAACTCTGTAAAGTACTCTTCAAATGTTGGGTCAAAATTGCTATGCCTAGCTGCTATTCGACCCTAAAGGATTTCTGTACTAGACTCAGAGCTCAGAGAGTAGAATATATCATCAAGCAAAAGACTGTGATTCAGACTGGTACTGACACTGGTGAAAGGGAGACATAATTATGTAAGCAGTAAAAATGCGAACATAAACTAAGGAAAGTGGGTAAGTGAAGGTAAGTAAAAAGGGGTAATATCAGCCCAGGGAAAACTATATTGTCACACCGGGCTCTGACTATTCCACTTATTTCTAATATAATTCACCATTTAATAGTCTACACAACTCATACGCTACACAATTGTACTAGTACTGATGTGTCCTGTGTTCTTATTTTGCTTCTACATCATTCGAGTGTGTTCTTGTCCACGATGATCATCTACTAGTGTTTCGGGTCACAGCTAGTCACATCGTGTCACATGCCATCACACGTTAGTGGGAAAATGCGTGAGCCATACCTTACTTGCGCTTGGATCATTACTACTATCATATGTGTCGAACACTCCCCCTCGAGTGCAACTGACTCTCATCTTCTCTCTCAACTACGAATTGCAGGAAGTGCATGGACGAATTTGAATGTGACTCACGTGTGTGCGCTTCTTCAAAACCTTGGTTACACGAATTCGAGCTACATTTCAACTACTTCGCTGCCCACCTGTTTCCACAAGTCCAGATCCTACTGTTGTCGTGAGAGAAAGCAATGAGGACGTCAAGGAGATGGGTATTACAGATGAAAACTACCTCATTTACCAATTTCTCATGACCCTTAAGAATCAGTTCAAGTCTATGAGGCATTTTCCTTTTGAGTTGGCGCTTGGGATGCTACTTTGTAAGTGCCAGTGATGGCCACCATGGAATCTTTTTTGATGTCTCAGTCAGCAGGAGCGTCGACGAGGGAGTGGTTACTTGTGCACTGTGAAAAACACAACCTGACTAGGCACTTGTTAAGGTACTCAGCCAGTATATGTCTAAGCTCTGCCTATGCTGCTATACTTGCAAACAATAAAGCAAGAATGTTCAACCCGAGGGAAAAGCTACTAAGGACAACTCAAGATCAAAAGACCCGAAAGAGCGCTATAGCGTGGGAATAGCGCGTCGCAAGATAGAGCGCTATGCGCGGGAAAGAGCGGAAGTCAAGAAAGCGGACACTGAGTCAAAGGAAGGTAATGGATAACGAGAGAGATCAAGGGTATTGATTGCAAGGGTAAGGAAAGTCAAACAGGGGCCATAGAGTGCAACTAAAGGGTGACTACTTCTAAGTAAAACCTAAGGGAAAGGAAATACAGTCGAAGGGAAGTAATGTTAAAGTAATCACCATAGGCTTCTTATACTAGTAAACTATACCATCTCGGACTCAGAAGGGATAGGATATGCATGTAATAAGACTGAAGCACTTTTTACAAACTCGAGGCAAGGCAAATTACATACAAATGAGGTAGGATGGACCATGGATGGATTCCGACATTTCGGGTGATTCCTAGAGCGCGAGAACAGTGCGCTGGACTAGCGCTAGGCGCAGGAACAAGCGCTAGATAGAGCAGACAAGTGCTAGGTAGAGCGGACATGCACTAATGCTCCTATAGACACATTGCTGGTAGTTCTGATAGTGCTATAAGCGTGGGAATAGCGTCGGATAAGTCGCAGGAGCATGAATAGCGCTGCGGGAATGTGCGCGCATAGTGCGGGAATGTGCAGAATAGCGTCGGACAAGGGTTATGGCTGAGACAAGTGAAGACTGCTGATAGGGGAGTGGTGAATAATATGAGGGATAACTTTGGTCCACCTATTGGAGGTTTATGCAGGTATACATGACTAGTGCCAATATGATTGTCACAGTGCACTAAGGTGAGTAGGCACTAAGTTGCATCTCCCACAGAATACTAATACTATCACTGAATCCACATGTTGGGCTTGCTGTAGATACGTGGTATCTCACTGCAAGTCGGTGTTTCAGGAGTAGCGCGGTAGTCACTTGCAATGTGCTTCGCCAACATTGGCTTGATGGCTGCGGTAATATCATACATTCATCCTGAGGGAGAAGCAGTTTTTCATTCTTGCCAGCATCATTGACTGGCAAATACCCTCTTGGTGTTGATTCCATCTACAGGTTGTCACGTGCAACCATGGCCACCATATGGACGCGCAGTCCTACATCTGTGCTGGCCCATATACACATGAGATTGTGCATACAAGCTGTCATTGATACAGGCCATATGGCCTATCATCAAGCGATGACAGGACACTACTGTTACACGTAGTCTCATCGAAGACCACCACTAACATCAGATTCTTCCTGTGTTTGCCCGAGCTAGTCATCATGAGACTGATTCGTGGTTCAATGTGCTACCATTGTTCTCGCCTGCACAGTCAGTCACATCATCAGACAGATTTTACCCATTTGGCATGTTTAGCTTGAATTCATCAATTTATATTAGCTATTCTTAGCCAAGTGGTTAACAGGTTCGAGATCTATTTGTGCAGGTTTGAAACTCACCAACAATGTTTTTTCTCCATTATTGCACCTTGTATATGAGCTCATGGAGATACCATCGAACGTCAAACATAAGAATCATGGCCAAGTTATTAACAGATTTGAAATCTGTTCCCTCCTGATGGTGCAGGCTCGAAACCTGCTGGCAATAGTTTTCTCTATGATCGCACCTTGGGCATGAGTTCATGGAGAGGTCTTCACATGTCGACCATAAGACTTCATGGCCAAATTATTAACAGATTCCAAGTCTGTGCTTTCTGGATGGTGCAGGTTCGAAACCTACTGAGCATATTTTTCTCTATAACCTGAATGCTGTGTACCATACTGCGATGGCAGTCATCTATTGGGAGTAAACATCAAATTGCATGTGTCATCCAAATACTCAGTACATGTGGTGATATCTACTATAACATAAAGGTTGGAAAGGACAGAAAGCCTAGCGGGAGCTAGAAGCATACAAATTTGTTTGTCCGCTGTGTGAAAGACATGGGATCTGCAAGGTATCTGATGACTGGAACATGTTCAACGTCTAATGGGGAAGGGGTCTGTTACTAGTAGCTGCACTGGTACTTCCGGTCAGCAATGTTACTGGGGTGGCTCTGCCGATTACACTGGATGTCCCTGCTGGTAGTGTGCTGCTGCTTGAGGCACCAGTGTGGGATTACTGGTGAAGACGTGGTGGCTGTGCCAGCCTATGGCTTTCTCCACTGTGGGCATTAGCGGTGCACTACGAGACAATATCAGCATCATGAGAGGGATATCCAAAAATTGAGAAAACTTGCATATTTGTGTCACATCGCAAAGATGTCCACAAGGGGAGTTTTGTGTTGGTGAGGAGGAAAAGAGATGATTCACTATTGGTGAACAAGGTAGTTTTCATCCATGGTACCTGTTGTTGGAATCTGAGAGATCCAAGTTGATGAAGACTGATGGATCTGAGATAGGAGCAGGGGGAGAATAAGAGGTATAAGCACATGCCAAAAGAGGACAGAACGAGCGACATAGTGACATTGGCTTGTGTCCTGCAATTTCTTATGTTTCTCTTTTATACATGTCAGTTACCAAATCACTCACTATAAAAGTGCCAGCTGCAGCGCATGAGCATCTCAGTTCCTTCCAAGTGACTGAGATGTGAGTTAGAACCATCACCTGTATTTACCAAAGCTAACACTACATAGTGTACTTGTCCTTATAGGTAGATGCGTTGTTAACAGAGTTCCTTCCAAGTGACTGAAATTGTACTTGTCTTATAGCGTTTAGTGCATCCCTACTTCGTCTACTCACCAGACCCATCTCCTCATTACTTGCTCCCACAGCAAGAGTGGGATCTGGACTTGTGAAAACAAGTGGGCAGCAGAGCAGTTGAAATGTAGCTCGAACCTGTGTAACCGGCAAGCCTAGGTTTTGAAGAAGCACATGCCGTGAGTCACATCCAAATTCATCTATGCACTTCCCACCATTCATACTCAACTCTTGAAAATGTGGCATGAGTAAAGCTTTTGTAAATGTGTTGGTAATATTTTCATCCATTGGCTTGTATTGGAGGGAAAGGGTTTCGTTTTTGACTAATACTCAAATGAAGCAATAGCATATATCAATATGCTTGGTACGTGTGTGGAATTTGTTATTTGATGCTAATGCTATCACTCCTTGGTTATCACAGAATATCTTTACTGGTGTCTTCATCATCTTGTATAGTTCATCTATCACAGCCTGAAGGTAAAGTACTTTGTATGCTACTGATGTTAACACTATATATTCAGCTTCGGCTGTTGAAAGGGTGACTATGGATTGTTTCTTCATGCTCCACACTATAAGTGATCTGTGCAACAGAACGGCACATCCTGATATTGAGTGTTGGTGCAGCTGTGATGCCCAGTCTGCGTCTGCAAAAGCTTCTAGTTCATTGTCAGATTTTCCCAAGGTGAAGACTAAAATGTGATTATGAGCTACAAGTGCTTGCTGCGGTACAGCTCGTCCTGTCAATGGAAATTCTGTGTAAGTCTGTATCTAGTACTATAATAGATTTTTTTGTGCATCAATATATTATTTGATATATTGTCATTTATTCTTTGCTGTGAAAATAGCATCCAAGTCATTGTGCATGGTACATTGTAGGGCTGACCTGTGGGTGCCAAAATTTTCAGAGACCTACCCATAAGCAATGAATCAAAGTACATATAAGCTTAGTTGCATGGAGATGGTACAATCACATCAGGGAGTAAAAGTTTGATTTCCTTGATACACAAATGATTAGTGCTTAGCCACAGATCTAAATGGACATTTATTAACAGTGCAACACATTTCATCATTTTTGGGGGGGGACTCAAACATGGGAGTTAGTGATACCACTGTGTACTTATGGCTGTGTGTGTTCTTGGCCGGCAATACATCAAGTTCAAACAGGCTATCCTGTCATTATAATGCATTAATTGATGATAGTTACAAGACTGATGTATTGCATTAACTATTGTAACTATCAGTACACCAAACTTGTAACCTAGGTTACCTTTCATCAAATTATCCAAGACAGAATATAATCCTAGCTACTCCTAACTAACTACTAATCACTAACCACTAATCCATACTGTGTAAGGATTACCAATTGTTTGATGCTGGAAATAGCCGTTTCAATGCTTACCTTAATCACCATCAGCACACTGCCAGCCTCAGTCAGCATGGACCTCACCTCTATTTTGTCTCTAATCCTTCGTCGCTACCGACTCATTCAACCCTTATATTATTCTTCGTCACCGTCGCCGTCTCCGAATCTGTCAACTCCACTATGCAATTCTCGTCACTCTGTCAATACTATACCCTTTTATATCACCACTCACTCAATTGTTTCGTATCCCCTTCCCTTTCAGTCTACTCTACCCTGTCAGGTGCAGACACCACTCCCTTCAGTGCCTGTCGTCACATAATTGATTCGGCATAGTTATACCCAACCCTTAAATGTCTCGCAGTATAAAGTAGCCCATGTACACTCACTACTGCAGGCAATCATACCAGTCTCCCAGTCTCAGTCTCGCACTTGTTATCTAAATTGTATCGCTATATCCATTGTTTATCATCTTGCACTCATCTCGATCATTATTGCATAACATTCATTAACACTAATTTAGTTCTATAGCGTCTCAGCATCACACTAGCGGTCTCCACACCACTTTGAACTCGCAGCGAGAGCCACTTAGGTTCGTACATATTGGAGCCCACCACAAGGGGTGTGTTTCAGATCTCTTGACTTATCTTAGCACATCCCACTGTCCTTACTATCCACACTGGCTCACATCAGAGACAACCGCGCTCTCATCGGCCCTTCCATCCCTCAACCAGCCCATCACACCATCAAATCCCATTTCCTGCCCCATTCATCCCAGAATCAACTCAGACAACAACGCCGACGAGAATCTGTTTGCACCGGACGACCCTAGACCTTCATATCCTACTGCCACCGCACCCTTACAACAACCCTCATTTAAATTTCAGCAACTGCAACCCTTCATCTTAAGACCCGCCATCTTCACTAATACTCAAGTGCAACCTACAACCCAGCCAATGACGACGACCATGTCTCACATGCATTGAGGCACAGGTGCCATTGCCCGGCCCTAATTCTAGCAAAGCGCCACTCTTCAATGGTGAGATGTTGGAGTTGTTGGAGTGTTTGAAGATCTCGCCTCTACTTACAGTCTAACAAGTGCTGACAAGTGCAAAAGTCTAGTGCGATGCGTGGATTGTCAAACCAAGCATTTTTGGATAATGCTTATGGGCTTCAAGAGTCGTGAATATGGGACCTTCAAGAAGAGCATCTTAAGCCAATATCCAGGTGCCAGCAAGGGACAGCGCGACACTGTTCGCAAGCTCGAACACATAATCATTAATCAAGCAGACAGTGACATCAACATGGAGAAGGAGCTTATGCATTATTACAGTCAGTTTCAAGTCGTAGCCATCTGGCTCATCTCCAATAGCAAAATCTCTGGATGTGACCACGACAAGTACTTTTGGCAGGGATTACCGGTGTGAAAGAGTAATAGCGACTAGGCTGGTTAGAAACTAGCGCTACTTATCCAAATAGGCGCGAGTGTAATATTCAACCCAAGAGGACTGCTATTGAAGCAACTCCCTTCAAATACGCAAGGGTAGCGATGATGTGAAGGGCTGATAACCTATAGCGACCTGATGACCAAAAACCAATGAGTAGCGCTGTAGCGATCAGCGACTAGCGACAAGTGAGTTCCGACAGGGAAACGTGCGTATAAGTAAGTAGCGCTATGCAAGTTGTCCTATGCGATAGCGCTATGCGACGTCCGACTAGCGACAGCGAGAAGAAATCAAAAGAAGGGAAAGCGAGGGATAAGGTATGATAGCGCAAGTGGAATGCCTGATAGCGACTAGATTATAGCTCGACTACCGACAGCGATCCCGACGTTGCGAAGATCAAACTTATGAAGGAACTTTAGCGACGCGCACTCGAAGCAAGTCAAGTGACACGCGATCAGAGAGATTGGCAAGAGCGGAATCGATTGCACCAAAAACTAGGATATAGCGACTAAAGTGACTTCGATACCAGCAAAGGTCCGGGAAGGGAAGTACTGTACTGTATGTGCGACGGGTCATTTTATCATACTGCGTAAAAGTTTGGGAATGTGTAGGCGAGAATAGTAGCGACACTGATGGAGGCAACGATGTAGCAACAGGTAATAAGACATGCAGCGCAGCGGGACATGAGGACGCATGTAATAAGACCTGCAACTGATGAGTAGCGACGTTTAATGAAAAATAACGCACCAGCGGAGGTAGGTGGCAAATTGTGCCTATGACACTCATATGCGCCTAGCGCTGGTATGATTGTCACACCGGTCCGTGCTCATCATCAAATCCTTCAATGGCTCGAGCTTAAGGACCTGGATTTCAACCGCAACAAACCAGCCAATGATCCCATCACCCTTCGCATCCAATCCATTAGAGATTGTTGTGCCCCTCCAGCTGCTATCAGCCACCGTCAAATGCAGGAGCATCCAGCATATGACTCAGATGATTCGGATGAGCCTCGTGATGCTCCCTGAGAAGTTCAAATGAAGACCATGCATTTCACACAGCCTCAAGCACCTGTCCAAGCAGCGCAAAAGTCCACTATGGACGAGGTCGACACACTTGCTCGACGGATGCACAATCTCAATATTGGGGACATCAACTACTCCTCATGCTATATGCAACTCATCTGCCTATTTCCCGCTGCCGCTAATGCCTGGGCTGCCCCCCATACTCGACAACTCTGCAGTAATGTGTGCACAGCTCCTCCTGTGCCCTCCAGCGCCCCACTTCTCCCAAAACAGTGCTCATTCTGCGGACAGTCTCACTACCTTCAATATTGCCAGGTAGCTGCTGAATACCTTCACACAGGACGCATCATTTGTGAAAACCTCTTCCTTCTCAATCCCGATGGCTCATGAATTCAACGACAAGGCATTGAGAACCTGCAGCAAGCCGTAGATAGGCATGCCCAGTCTGTCACAATCATCCACTCCATCCTCAAACTCTCCTCCCACGACCATTCCCTCCAGTGCCTTCATATCCGAAAGTTACTTCCTTCAGTGCACTCAAATTGCGGAGAATCACGCTATGGTCACAACAATCAAGGATGACGACTTGGGTGCAGACACTCTCGCCATCACTCATTCAAAGGCCAAAAATGTGGTGCTTGATAGTGAAGACACAGCACCTTCACAAGAGAAGTCGAAGGAGGCCACCAGTTCATCGTCCAGTTCCCACGCTCACAAACAGACTTGCTCCATCGAAATCCTGCCTCTGGATGTCCCCCTCGCACCCCCAAAGAAAACTCCAGCCTATGTCTACAAGTCAAAAGCAGCCGTTCCAGATGCTGCTTCCTGCATCTACCAGAGCATGCTCAACACTGCCATTCCGAATGTCACGATTGCTGATCTTCTGGCAGTTAGCTCTGATCTTCGCAGGGAAGCTGTAGAACATTGCAAACACACCGAGTATCCCCTCCTTTGTCTGCCACTACTCTCACTGCTGCTATTCCTGTCCCACCTCCTCAAATCGAGCATGCTACGCCACTTCGAGAACTCAAGATCACACTCAATGGTGTTCACACGGAGACAGCATTACTCGACGAAGGCTCAGAGATCGTCATTATTTGAGAAGATGTTTGGAAGAAGACTCAAGCCCCAATCAATAAGGATATTCATATGTGCATGCAGACTGCGAATGGAGGCTCTCAGGACATGTCTGGGTGTCTTGAGATGCTCGAAATTGACGTCAACAGCATAAAAACATGGGCACATGCTTATGTTATAGCTGATGTACCATACCGCTTGCTTTTAGGGCACCCATGGCAAAAGCTTGTTCGATTGTCAAAGTCAGAAATGTCAGAAATGGTATATGTCATGGTCTATGATCCCACAGATATCACACGAGTTTGAACCTGTGCTACCTCCCCTCGTCCTCCGCCCCATTTAAACACACTTATGCTCACAGCAGCAGCTCTTAGTAGCCCGTCGTCAGCCTTGATTCCCCCTCTCGCAGAATGTCTACTACAGGAAGCCTTCAATTATGATCCCATTCGATGAGTCTTTGCTTACAAAAAGGTCGCCAATCAAATCAAGCCTGTTGCAACTACCATGCCAGCCCATGCTCGTATCATTCATCGTTTCCCTGAAGACCCCCCTCTATCCCTTCCCATAGTCTCTCCAAACCCTCCAGACTTTGTTTCAAGCACCTGGCTTACCACAGAATGCATCAATGAACTTGGTATATTTCAAAACTCCTTCCTATGGCCCAAAGAGTGAAAATTAGCGGCCCATGTCCTATCTCTCAATGAGTCAGCGCTAGTGTGGGACAAGACTGAAAAAGGGCGCTTCCACGATGACTATTTCCTGCCTGTTATCATTCTGACTATAGAGCATACTCCCTGGGTCCATCGTCAACCACCTATCCCACCAGGAATCCGCGACAAAGTCATTGCCCTCATTAAGTCAAAAATCACATTGGGGATCTACGAGCTATCAAACAGCTTGTACCAATCGAGTTGGTTTTGCGTTTTGAAGAAAAACAGCTCAATTTGAATTGTTCATAACCTCCAGCCCCTTAATTCAGTCACAGTCAAGGATGCAGCCACTCTCCCATTGTCTTGTTACTTAAGGGTCTTATATACGACACGTATATAGTGACAACACAACTATACAGGATAAGACTTCTTGCCAGTCCTTAAGTACATGGTCTACGACTTTTCTAGTTTTTGTGGTAGATAATGTGCTGAGTTCTTGGGAGGAATGTCTTTCAATATTCTCCTTCTTGTTCCTTGGTTAGTTTAAACCTCGTGGTCTCAAAATACTGAGTGTGAAGTTTGTACGTGTTTTGGCAAGTGTGTGCCCATGGATTCGTGAAGTGTGTCTTGTGATTTGTGTCTCCCTTCCTGAAAAAGAGAGAGGAAAGTAGTGCTGATGAACTTTAGCTAGGTAGCTGTACTTTGTTATATAGTCAACCCCTGTAAGGTAGTATATAACTTGAATATATGTTTCTTATTCTTAACTTCAAGGCTGCTGAATAGCCTGCACTTAGATCTTACTGGTTCTCACACGGTTTGAGAAAAGAGTTAAAGTGGGAAGCTTAAATTGCATGGGTGAAAATGGGCTCCTTATATACCTTTTGGGAGGCCATCTTACTAAGCATGATTCATCACATAGATTGGTAAGAATGTGCTTACAAACTTGTGTTGAGTCAGCTTGTTTACTAATGTACATACAAAATGAAGTGTAGTATTACAAAGAATGAAAAATGAAAAGCATGAGTCATCACATGGATTGGTAAGAATGTGCTTACAAACCAAGTCCTTAGGTGTGCTGAATCAGCCTTATGACAAAGTGGATTACAGATACAGTTGTAAGTTTTACAAAGCATGACAAATCATGACCAAACATGATGAGCCAAGTTGAATCCTTATAAATCGGAGTATTTCCCAGTCACATGACATGATTACTAACATGTTTGGTGGCTTGAGGAAAAGTCTGGTGGTTAAATGTGCCTAGAAAAATAGAAAGAGATAGAATCTCATGGAACAAAATAGAAATACATAGAAAAATAGGAGTGAAGTTTGAAAGTGAAAATACTAGCTAAGAAATGAATGAAAAATGATAAGGTAACTTGGTGATAGGAATCAGTCAGGTGTCTTCTACCTTCCCTGTCACTGCTGTTGTGTATATGTCATGGTATGGATCACATACCATGCATGACACCATACGCCAAGCTATTCACAGAGCAGTCAGCCGGACGCTCGATCTATTACCATGATGGACCTATTTGTCAGCTTTGATCACTGAGCCTTAGTTGAAGAATCTCAGGACCTTACCACCTTCCAGACACCTCTCAGCACCTTTTGACTCACTATGCTACCTATGGGATGGACAGATTCTCCCACGGTCTTTCAAAATGATGTTGCATTCATCCTTCAACACAAAATCGATATCACACCAAATTTTCAAGACAATGTTAACATTCTCAGCTCTCACACATGATACAAGCTCTTGGACGGCACATTTGAGACCATTCCTAAGAATTCCGGCATTCGACGATTCATTTGGGAGCACTGCTTAGATGTGAATAGAGTTTTACACCATCTTAAGCACGCAGGCGCCACAGTCTCGGCGAAGAAGCTTTTCATTTGTGTACCCAAGGTTATCGTTGTCGACCAGCGCTGTACTTACGAGGGACGCATTCCCAACGACTTGAAAGTTGTCAAGATCAAGAACTGGCCTCCCTGTGCAATGTGATCCGAAGTCCGTGGATTTTAGGCACTACAGGCACGGTCCGCAACTGGATTAAGAATTATGCCCTTATTGCACATCCGCTTACTAATCTCACTCACAACACTGTACCTTTTGTTTGGGACGAAAATGTGCAGACTGCTATGAATACCCTCAAGCAAGCCGTGATCAATTCCCCTGCTATTCGACCAATGGACTACCATAGCCCTAATCCCATCATTCTTGCCGTCGACTCTTCCCATATTGCCTGCGGTTGGATTCTGCTTCAGCTCGACAACAAAAATCACCGTTGACCCTCTCATTTCAGCTCGATTACCTGGAATGACCGAGAATCTTGTTATTCACAAGCAAAGATCAAACTTTATGGTTTATTTCACGCACTCAAAGCTACTAAAGTTTGGACTATTGGAATCAAAAATTTCATTATCGAAGTCAACGCAAAATATATTAAGGGTATGCTCAATAACCCTGACATTCAGCCAAATGCAGCCATTAATCATTGGATCGCGGGAATCTTATTATTTGACTTCAAGCTCAAACACATCTCAGGATCAAAGCACATTGGCCCCGACGGACTCTCACCCCATCATCGTGCACTGGAAGATGAAGATTTCAACGAAGAAGATTCAGAAGAGGTCAATGAGTGGATAGATGAAGTTCTTAGCTATGGGATATGGACAGTGATGGACTTGTGCAACGGAAGCCTCGGGATGATGATGGTTTTCATTTCTACAGAAGCTGACATCAGTACTGACCTTGAATTCCCAGGCGACGAAGGTTCCAGATGGTGCGATGATGACCTTTGGGCCATTCAGCACTATTTCGAGATGCTTGTATTACCTTCGTGCATGCAGCTCTCAGCTCGCTCTTGTTTTCTAAAATGAGCAGCACAATTTTTTGTTCATAATAAACAAATTTGGCATTGTGATCCCACAGGTCATCATCAACTCATCATTTTTCAAAACAACCACTCTCAAATTCTTCAGCAGACTCACGATAATCTCAGACACAAAGGATTCTATTCAACTCGACGAACCATCACTGACCACTTCTGGTGGCCTACTCTCACTCACGACCTCTCATGGTACCTTAAAACATGCCATCAGTGTCAGCTTTGATCCGTCAAGAAAGTCATTCTCCCGCCAACAGTCACCATTCCTGCGCCCTTATTTCGCAAAGCCTATGCTGACTCAATGCACATGCCAATATCTCACGGGTACTCATACATCGTTCAAGCTCATTGTTCACTCACAGCATGGCCTGAATGGAACATGTTACGAAGAGAAACTGGTCGTACACTTGGACTTTTCATTTCGAAGACCTGTTGTGCCGTTGGGGAGGACTTGAAGAGATTGTTACCAATAATGGAACCCCATTCATGGCTGCGCTCAACTGGCTCGCGTCGAAATACCATATCCACCATATCCGTATTTTGGCCTACAACTCAAAGGCCAATGGTATTGTCGAACGTTCACATCAAACGATTCGCAACTCCCTCGTCAAAGCCTGTCAAGGTGACATTACACAATGGCCAACTGTCGCACCACATATCTTCTGGGCTGATTGTGTCACCACTCGCAAATCAACAGGACATACACCATTTTACATGGCGCACGGTGTCAAACCATTACTTCCATTCAATATCACTGAAGCAACCTTCCTCATGCCTGACATCCCTAAAATTCTCTCGACTCATGAATTCCTCACAGCCTGCGCACTACAACTTGCCAAATGAGACGATGATCTCGCACGTATTCACAAACACGTTCTCATGAGTTGTTATGTGTCTGTCAAAGACTTTGAGCACCATTTTTCGAACACTATCAAGGACTGAAGCTTCAAGCCAGGCAAGCTCATTTTAGTTCTTAACAAGAAAATCGAGCCGTCATCGAATGCAAAGTGCAAGCCGCGATACTTTGGTCCCATGGTTGTTGTTTCACAAAACATAAATGGCACTTATTGTTACAAGAACATCAGGTTGTGTTAGGCCCCTATTCATTTTCCTTTTCTCTTTGTCTTACTTTGTACTTACTACATCATTTCACTTCGAACACACAGCTCTTCTAGATCACTGTGCACATTTTACTGTTACCATTGCTCCATTCCTCTGACTCACAACCCTGTGCCCTTACCGCCTGACCAGTACTTATCTCTGACTCACTTTCCCCTCTGCCCTTACCGCTGAGGGCGAGGAATGATAAATGGATACTAAGGGGGAATGTGTAGTGTGGCTCTCAAGTGCTCCTCTGGAAGCGAGCAACAGTCGTCCCAAGGGGATTGCTACTGAGAATAGATTCCTCTAATATAAGTGAGGGAGATCCAAGACTAGAACTTCGGTCTATGAAACCTAAGTAGAGCGCTAAAGCCTAAGTGCACTCAGAATAAGTATGAACTGTGCGAGGCGCTTCGAGTGCGCTGATAGTGTGGCGGCCAAATATAGGACGCGCGCTGAAAATGACTGATGCGGCTCAGAAAGCTCGAGTGGATTCTGGGTGTTACTGGGGCTCTGGACTGCGATGCTCCTGGAACGGAAGTAAGTATCCAAAAAAACTAATTCTAACGCAGAAGTACCGCTAAGCGCTTTCCCATGGAGTGGAGCCGAGCAAGTGAGTACGTATGGTGTGTAACGGCACGTAAGTAAGGGTCCGTAATGCGAAGAATGTCGTACGGCGCGGGGAATCTCATCAGCGTGATTCAGGCAAGGAAAAATATGCACCAATGGACCGGGGAGGACATGGGTAGGACGTGCGGAGGACAAGCGATGGGATCTGGCACACAAGCGCAAGCAGCCACATATGCGCATGCAAAAGTGCCTGCGGTGCGGCTGTGAGGGAGGCTATAGGGAGTGAGGGAAAATGCTAGTAGTGCGCCTGTAGGGGCGCGAGCCTCTACACCGCTCAACCGGTGTTATCTTACATATGACTCACTCTGGCTCATTCCCCTTTGCCCTTACCACTAATTCGGCAGTCCTGCCCTCAACCACTTCCTACCTATATATACCAGTAGGGTATCGCTTGTATTCTCTAACTTGAATCTACTTGGTTCTACCTGCCTATCTGCTATAAGCCTTAAGCAAGCTTCACTTTCTCATCTTAATCTCTATTGAGCTCGTCGCTCAATAGTCTTGCTAGCCGAGGAACACAATTAGAAACACACTGTCCTAATCATTGATAAATACATTTGTCTAATCAATGAAGCTATTTGCTGTGAAACTCTTGCTATCAAACGCTCGCTGGTCTCAGCAGGCTTAGCAAGAGCCCCTATCCAAGTTCCAGTTGCAAACTCGCATCGTTCATAACAAGATGTGTGATACAGCTCCGGATCCTTTGAGTAGACAGAATCTAGGACATTGGCTGTAGCGCTGATTAGTATACTGATCAAAATGATTGCATATTGGATGAGGCGGGTGATGAGCTTCTGGGCATTTGGTCACAAAATTCAGGACTTCTGATTGACAATCCATTGCAGTAGGGACCCATAGAGGATCAATCCAAGGACGCAGACTGAACAAGCCCGCGCAATTTCTATGTATTGTTCCCGAGTGAAAGTTGAGGAATGATCAATGATATGTCCAAGACTAAAATGTGATGTCTTAATAACCGAGGGTCTTATATAAATACGTGTAAGAATGTAATGACACCACAATTACACTGGATAAGACTTCTTGCCAGTCCTCGATTAACATGGTCTACGACTTTTCTTCTTTCGTGGTAGATAACGTGTGAGTTCTTGGGAGGCTCGCTAAACCAATCAGTCAGATTAACTTAGCCGGAGCTTTATTATCTCTGATTGAAACTATGGGATTGTCTAGGATATACCGTCTAGACACTTGAACTGGTTTCCTGAATATACGGTTAACTGTTGAGAAGCTGGTCTCAAATGTGACTACGTGGACCAAAGCTCGTGTTGGTCAATATACAAATACCTGGTGAGAACGCTGGTCTCACAAATAACAACAATGACAAATAAAAAAAAACAATGACAAATACAACAATGACCAAAGCTCGTGTTGGTCAGTATACAAATACCTGGTGAGAACGCTGGTCTCACAAATAACAACGGTGACCAAAGCTCGTGTTGGTCAGTAAACACTACGTGGTGAGAACACTGGTCTCACAAAACTGGGTTTCTATCGCGAGAAACTTACGTAATCTCAAGGGAAACACTTTCCCTGCACTTGTCTGGACAGTTCTTACAAGGAAATGGGCTTTGTAAGCAGCAATTTGTTCAGACTGAAGCTTCTTAGGTGAGAGTTCAATTTGCTCAAGAGGGAGATTCTTGAATGCAACAAGTGGGAGATCTATTTTTTGGGGGAGAATGGGCTCTCCTTATATACATTTTGTGTGGGGAATATTATGTAAGTAAAAAGGTGATGTAATGACTTCAGATGTGGGAAGAATATTCCAAAAACTGGAGCAGAATGTTCTAGCAGGTGCAAAAGAACATTCCAGAATATTCATGGTGGGATAATGACATCATTCTGAGTCACTATGAGTCACTATGAGTCATTATGAGTCATTGGAATGTTCTAGCAAATTCCATGGAACATGACATCATTATGACATCACTATGATATCATATCTTTCAACCAAACAAATACCTGCAGGAGTGTAGGTGAAGTCCTATGACACCATTATGACATCATACCCTGTAGGTACAATTTTATGAAGCATCTGATTAGTCAGAGCATCCTAATAGAAAAGCAAAGTAAAGAAACACTAGAGAAAACAACTCAGAAATAATGGAACAAATAATAGTACACAATACGCGGGCTTTTTAGATAGGTTTTTGTTAGGCTTTGAACTTTTCTCTATGGGTTTCTCTAGCCAAAGTGAATAAGCCAAATGAAAGGCAATACATTAACCTTCATTTTGCTTCTCATATCAACTAGGTCATTATGTGATTCCCATCTCACATATGACTTTTCTTCAAAACATGGTGGATTCATGAATTGCTGAGGGAAAACTGAAACTATTGGACCAAGGTTTGATACCAAGGTATGGGTTGACTAGTCTGAGGACTAAGCTAACAGACTTTTGTCTTTTAGGGGGATACCTAGTAGTCATGTCCATGCATGATTCCCAAATCATGCAGGACAACGTAACTGGCAATTAATTGCCTGACAGAAACTGATTCGCAAACCAACTTGAGTGACCCTGAAATACCTGCATAAAATGCATGTTGAGATGACCAAGAATCTGTTGTTCAAAAATTCTTGATCGGAGACCACCGCAGCGACAGGATGAGCCAAGGCATCATAAAAAGAATGAGAAAGAAGAGGAAAGTACTGGTAGCCATGACAAGCATCGAGGGCAACCAAGCGAGAAAGAAAAGGGGAGGGAAAAAAGACAGTGTACCGAATGGATCCCAAAGTACCCAAAATACTTGCATAAAAATGCACGTTGACACAACAGAACTTCCATCATCTGGAAGTTCTTGGTCCGACACAACAAGGACTGCAGGAGGAACTAAGGAAGCGACAGCAGAATATAAGTTGAAGATGAACTGGTAGCCATGAAAGGTTGTGAAGTCTGTGACCGGGACGAGTAAAGCCACAAAACACACAAAGAACAACAAACAAAAGATAAAGGGTCCGGTATGATCGGTGTTCCACAATTGTGCACCCAGACCAGTACCCTTATAGGGTCCTGGAACTTCATATCGCAAGGATTATGTATGAGATCTGTTGCGCGTACACATCTGTAAATCCGGTTTCCATACTGAATCTACTCGTTTGTAAACTTTTGAAGGCTGCTAGGTGATTTCTCTCATGTCTGTTCGTGGTGGACTACATCACCGCATGATCACTCATTTGGTTTTTTTTTTTAGTCAGAAGCACTGGATGATGAAGTGCTGTGCTGGGAATTCGCGCCAAGTTGAAGCCAACACAGACGTTGGGGGAGACAATCACTACATGTGAAGACATAGGGATCATAGTGCAGTGCATTGTCAGCTTGAGAGACCCAAAAGCAATGGGATAACGGCAAGAAATGGATGCACAGTCAATAGCAATACTAGTCAGTCTGATATATCATTATGCAGATGCAAATGATGGACCGCACGAGACAATGTATCGAGAATGATAAATGGAAAGGGTCCTGGAATGCCCGGAGGGCTGTTGCTATATCATATCCTGCCTACTAGATAACAGCGCATGTGCCCTAGTCTAGGGTTAGTCCAAATGCGACCATACCATTCAAGTTCCGACCTTCGGCGAATTCCAAGTCGAGAACGTCTCACAGGAGTTCAGCCAAATGTTGGTCCAACATCTCGTTGCCGAACTGGCTCTAAGTTGTCCATGGGACGAGATCTACTTCGATTTGCTTCAAACAAAAAACATGGGACTGTGCATCATGCTGGGGGTGAACCTAAATGCAACATACATAAGGATTCCGTGCAATATTGCGTGTGTTAGAGTCGATGCGCGAACTCTTGGGACACACGGACAGGTGGGACTATCTAGTATCATCAGATTCATCACCAAGTCCCTTACGTACTTTCAGCCACCTTGTTTTTACTATCTTTGCCCACCTAGCCAGCGGTCAGATGTAGCACAGGCGCTATCACTTGAACACGATCGTATACCCAAACCTGGATTAGCCTCTGACGTGTGACCGAGGAGCAAGTAATGTGGTTGTGCTGACTAAACATGTATACAGCCGTGCGGTTACTAAGACCTCGGAGAACTTCCCCATAGTATTCTGAAAGAAAGTCAAGAGACAACACGCCTAACCTTGGCATACTTCAGTATGCAAACCCCTCCTTTCTCACCTTCCCAGCCACGCCCTGGATAACCCTCTCGCTCGAATATTTCTGGGCCGCAAACCATACACACATTCAGCTTTGAAGTCGGAGGCAAACGAGGAAGTGATCCGTCCAGAATGTCGATGAAGCGATACGGAAGTAGGTAAGGAGCTCTTGAATTGTTCAGTGTGCGAGAAGACATGAACGACTAGTTTGACTTCGTGGCAGCGGCTTCGATTGCATTGGAAAGAAGAGAGAGCATCACATCTGGCTCGCGAGTAGACAACAAAAGGGTGATTTCGTACTCGGCGAAGTGTGAGGGAATGTCACAGAGCATAGCGAGGAAAGGTGTTATTCCAATCCCGCCCGCTATCCAAAGGAGCTTCCTTGGAGCATTTTTTCGGACAGAAATCTGTTCTTCCTCGCGTGTAATCGCGATTTCAGGGCCCTCGTGAGGGTCTGTGGGCTCGAGGACGAAGTCCCCTCCTATTCCGACCAGCGTAACGCCCAGTCCAAGCGGACGTGAGTCCTCAAGCAACTCTGGGCGGACCGCTGAGAGTTTGTTGGCAATGTCAAATAGTGCCCCAGTAATGGCACCACCAGGCTTCAGGCGCATTGTCAAGGAAAATGTCGTGCCTACCCCATCCGCAACCGATTTCCACGAGCTGCACCACGAAATAGTCCACGTCCTTATACGATCGTCGTTCACCGAATTTGGGTTTTCGGCTGCCATGTGCCTGTATGGCGATGCACCGAGGAAAGAGGTGAAATCAAGGATGGCGGCTTGGCCTGGGATAATATTAAGCTTGTGAGGAGATTCAAATGCGAATGTGGCGATATCGGAGGAATGAAGCTGGATGCGGGAAAGCGTCGCATGTATCGCGTCTTCGCTGCTGAAGTACGTTGAAGAAGCTTGTTCTTCTTTGAGAAGCTTCACAGGGGGTGCGTACGGACTCCTCTGCGGCTCTGCCCCTTCACGTTGACGGACAGGCAATGCGTCCTCGATAAAGATATAACCTGTTATTTCAATCGTGCTGAGAGCATTGTGCGAAGGCATAATTGCTTGAGCGGGAGCGCCAAAAAGGTTATGGGCAATTCCGGTAACATATAAGAGCGATCCGTCGGTGAACGATGGGAATGTCAAAGAAGCAAGAGCTGTGGCTTCTATATTTCCGAGAGATGTCATCAATCGATTGCCTAAGTATTGATAGGGGATTCGTAATCAATTTAAGTATGCGGATACAACAGTGTTTACCTGAATAATCAGGCAAGACGAGAGTACGGCCCATCGTTGCGTACACGAACAAACCCAGGCCTCCCGCCCCGATGATTCATGCCGAGGTGAGATGGAAACCTCGGTGCATCTTCCTCAGAGGCCGAATATGATGAACCTAGGAATACGGTGTCGGATGAAAGGATGAATGTGATGAGATCTGAAGGAAGACGGTCAGTCGGGGGGATGTTGATCTCTTGATGAATGACTCGAGGTTTTCGTGTGTGAAAATGGAACAAGATTGCGGATCGTGATGTATTTCGGGCAATTTCTGCGGACAGCCAGCTTATCACTAGATAAAGCAAGTTCAAAAGAATGTAGACGTACCCAATGGCTTCGTTGACAGTCGCGCAGATATCTAATATTCCCCTTGCTTTTCAATAGCCTTAACCGACCCTGCAAACTTGTTCCTGCGCCTAGTTGAGAACTCTACACCAATACCAGCAATGAGCATCTCCCTCTGAGATCCATCCGTAGTACCAGCGTGATAGTCCGCATTCGCCTTGAGCGGATCGCCGTCCCAGACCTCCACCCGCATAGACAATTGGTCGTACGTCTCGCTGGAAACCCACCCAATCTCTCCATGTGGACCTGCAAGTATTGAAGACCAAGGACGACCCATAGAATCAAGAGTGGTGACAGGAATAAATGGGAGACGTGTGGAGTAGAAAATCCGGTGCTGCTCAGGCATTTCTCCTTCGATCTGAGTCCAAGACTGGGATACAGCTCCCTGAAATCCGAGTTTCTCCTGAATGGCACGTTCACCTTTGTGCCAGCCATTGAGAGAACTCATTATGAGATATAAGAGGATGGAAATGCAATACAGACGGTTTGAAAATGAGAAGACGTCATCATTAATTCCAACCCCACTCCACCTCATCGGCCCGGCCGCTTAGGTGTCATGTGACAAGTTGGCTTGTCTGTACAAGCAGAGAGCGGGAGAACTATGATTGAGATGGCGCATTGCATGCAAGGTCAGAGTTATGCAAAATGGGTAGAGCGGGATCAAACATTAATTATTATTGGCACAGGATGCCGGAGTGATACTACTGCAGTGTTGAAACTAGTGCAGAAACAAGAAATGGGCACATTGAGAAAAGCGGAGATGGAAGCTTTCAGTTTCCAACACTGATAATAAGATCCGCTGTTTTTTTTTTGCGCGAGAACGTTGTGATGGTGCTGTGTTCTTGGAATTACTGCCTGTCTTCAATGTTGCCACCTGCTCGTATTCTATACTCTGTGTAGTTGCAGGGTTTTGGACCGCGGCGTTGATTTGCTTAGACTGTAGAAGGACTGACACTTCGGTTGCATAGATATTTCGCCTGTGCCGAGATAAAATAGCTCCCGTGAGTGTCTCATAAGTCAAGGGAGGGATGGAGTATTCGAGGCGAGGTGCGCAGTGATACCAGTTCTATGTGTGAGAGAAGTCATTGCAATGTGCGGAGTATCTATGTTTTAGCTATAGTGTCAGAGAGGTAAGCAAAGAGTCATGGAAGGATTGCTCACTTAAAGTGACCGTGGCGGCCGAGTTATAGTTGCACTGACGGTTGAAGTCCTGACGTGCAGGGTGGGTTTTGACGCGGCATGGATAAGGTTTGACGCGGCATAGGTAAGTGTGGAGGTTGACATTAGTACGGAGGCTGCGAAGATGCCATGTTGGGGAGAACTTGTCGTGGTATGAGTGATGGTTGACATGGTAGTACAGAGTATAAAGGCTGCATCGGACTTGACAAGGTGGGGTCGAGGCTTAACACAGTGAGACAATATTTCGCGCTGCGTCTGAAAACCAATATTGAATCAATGATTAGAGGCAATACATGATAAACACAAGGTGCAAACTACATTCCCGAGTAGTACGAACGCAGAGGACAAGCACTGTAAATCGCATAGTGAGAAGTGAATGTAGCACTCCAGGGCAGATGGACATTAATATTCATATAGTGAATGGAAGGATTTCTGACGGCGCCGCGTCGCAGGCGGCGTCAATAAAAATTTTCACATAGCCTCATGCCGAACGCCTTGTCAATGTTAGACTTGTTACCAAGTTTCTGGTGCTCTCAACCGTATGGCATACAATCTGAAACCACCCAAGATACCCAATAAGCTGAATGCCTGTTGTCAATCAAGATGTAGTATATCTCCGAATCCATTGAAGCAAAAGGTCACAACACAAACTCTTATATCGATCAAAAGACGCATTCAGGCAGGATTCTTCGAACAACATTCCAGCTGGGTGAAATGGATTGAATGGGTGTAGTGGCAGGAGTGTCATTTGTCGTAGCAGTTGATAAAGATGGTTCACTAGCGAGGACGATGAAAAGTCTGGAATGAAGGTGATGTGCAATGATTATCTGATTAATATTGGGTAAGTTCGCCTGCTGATCCTTTGTGAGGTTGACATGAACCCATACCCTCTGATTGCTGAGTCTCACCAGTTTCGTGCTGATCTACGATGTAAGCTGAGGAGAGCGCCGGGCCGCTTTCTGACGCATGTAGTAGCCGCGTCAATTCTCGCTCAACATTCGGGACGGAAGCGTACCACGGTGGCCAGGTGTGTATGTGGGCACTGGGTGTCGAGCATTTTTTTACTAGCAGGCATGGTTGCACTAGGGAAACTAATTTTTGCACTGACGGTCTAGACAGGCGCATCGGTACCCTGTAAAACCGGCACTTGACTTCAATGCCGGCCATTCCTCGGAACACCTGATATGCCCCAACGGATCATCATTCCCACAATGACAATAGCAATGTCATCAGTAGTCCAAGTGTTTATTGTTATTTTGACTGCGCATGCATTTGCGACTCGGCATGTGTGCTTTTCGAGCATCGGGATTCGGCACGGCTGAGTCGAATGGTCATGTGAATGTAAACCAGGCGAAGCAGGTGTAAATGATGGGACCGGCCCGGGCGCGATCATAAGGCGTGCGTTACTCGGCACACTTCGGGCTCAGGGTGTTACTTGTAAGTCTCTGATACCAGAGCAAAAGATGGATCTATGATCACTGATCAGTGTTCAGGGACCCCTTGCCACATATTCTCGTTGACTTTCTCCACACAACCACGTCCAACGCGATATGCAGAGAAAACGGGAAGGAGTCAGTATGTCAGCACGTGGTGGATCTCGTCGAGATTCGCGAAGGTATGTACGTTATCTAAGTGTCGCTATATTATATGTATAGACAGAAGGAACCGCTCTACAATGGGTTTTTTTCTACATGATATTCAGATAGATTTACTTTACGACCCTCACGGGATTCTGACCGTTTTGGCCATGTCTTCAGAGTAGCCATGCTGTATCTTTCATCAGCATCGTACGTGTGGAGGTGTGTCGCTGTCACTGGACTGTTATATATTCGATGGTAAGGTGCACCATTTCACGTAGCAACACGCGTCATGATGGGATCAGGAAGTCTTATACAATGGTGCGCCAGGTAAGCACATCACCCGTATTCGTCTTAGAACGCGATATTGCTGACTCGAATCCATCTGGCAATTGGACGCGAGCGATCAACACATCCTTTCAAGGCAGTTGCTCTAGTTCGGTACACGTCACCCACAGAACCACTGAATGATACTCCGGGAAGCTGGACCTACAACTGCAGTGCGTCCTGTGAGATCCTAGGATCACGTGTTCATCCTGTGTCTGATGTGCGTTATCTTTTGATAAAAAAGGTTCTCTTTGTAGGCGTTATGCGCACTGAATATGGAAGGGGGCTGTATCGTCGTTGAGTCATGCTCAATGGAGACTTCGATCCCCGGTGGCTTCCCACAGTTCCTACCTCACCTGATCGACTGACGCTTCTAAATACTAGGATTGCGCCACTGTGCCTGCGATTGAACGTGTTATTCTTGAGCAATCAGAGGGAGTATTTTGGTCCTGAAGCACCGGACTCGTACATATAACTGAGGTCATATCTGACAGCCTTTCCAGATTCCAACCCCTTACCACTGCTTACCACCAATCGTCTGAGCCCATACTGTCATGGAGGCCGACTCTCAGAACGGCGTTTCGCACGTTCAGCAACATCCAGAATTTTTATTTCCGAGACGGTAACATTACCTTTCTCGTACGCTGTGATGTCCTGGATGTATCAGGCGTGCGCTAACCGCCACTTGTGCGCAGGTTGAAAATACATTCTTTCGCGTTCACAGGTTCTTCTTCGAGCGTGAGTCTCAGGTTTTCATCCAGGAACTTGCACAAGCTCCCCAGGATGGAACATCTGATGACAGCGCGGTTCGGGTCGATGGACGCAACTAGTAATGATTTCGCGACACTCCTCTGGGTCTGGTACAGTCCGTAAGTTCTCAGTTAGGTCACCCACCGATATCATCCTTGACTTCGGGTTACAGGAAGTACAGACTGGACAGGAGATCGTCAGACAACTGGCTCGCCATACTCGAGCTCTCCACGAGGTGGCAATTTCTTGAGATGAGGAAGCTGGCTATCGAACAGCTCCAGAATCTCAAGATGGACCCCGTGGAAAAGATTGCCATTTATAACAAGTACGACATCGATAGATCGCTGCTTTTGCCTGAGTACAAGCACCTTTGCACGCGGGAGGGTCAGATGTCGATTGAGGAGGGTGAGAAGGTCGGGCTACTCACTGTCCTCGCTATACATCAGGCTCGCGAACGTGCAATGACGAGTGCAGTGGCAAATGAGCGTCGTGGCCTGACCCATGCTGATGTTGATGATGAGGAACTGGAACAGATATTGAGAGACATCTTCAATCTCAACGAAGATTCCACTACCAGATCACAACTTGGAGCAGATATTGCAAGCAGAATCACGGACAGGTCATCCGGGCCAGGTTCGGTAAGTCGAGTCTTTCACCAGAGAGAGGGTGTCATTTAGCCGATTAAACAGTCCTCTCAGCGGGAAGATGCTACAGGAATGGTATGTCGCATGCAGCTCACTAAGTGCAACTGACACTCAAGGAATATAGGACAGAACCGGATGAGCGATCAATCGGAGGGCGATCTGAGAGCTCGCTCAGGTGAAAGTTCGACTTGTGTGACCGGGACTGGAATCGAACCCGTGTCAGCCCATAGCTTTATTTCAACGTTCATCGAGTTTTTGATTGCAATGGTGTTTGTCTATATTGTCTTCTATGTACTATGAACTTCCGAGTCATGATTCTCGGAAACACTGGCGGTCGGTGGACACAAAATATGCACAATCCCGCCGTTGTGCACACCGGCGCTGATTCGAATCTAGACTGTAAGTGCATCCAGTGGGTGTGCGGTATGCGATTCGAAAGGAACCTTTATGTACATCGTTCTGTAGAGGTAACGGGGCCGGCCCGGTTCACGTGACTGTTGAAGACGAAACGGGCGAGGGGGCGCGTTCGAAGCATAGATAGTTTTCTGCACCGTTTTTGTGGCGTAAAATTCTGGATACGTTGTTGGAATGCGTGGTATACTGTGCCATGGCCATACAAGGGATATTTTTTTCAGCTGCAAAATTCGAGTTTCTGAGCTACTGCAGAGGTAATGAGTAGATGACGGACTACAAAATCACGACATTTCGCACTTCTCACATCCGGTGCTGGGTCCACGGCGAAACCAACGTGTCCCAGGCAAGAATCCCCACTTCAGCTCGCTCTGGGATACGCGTTTTTGGCAGGAGCTCAGGCGGGCAGCGTGTGCCAGAGTTAGGCTCGATTTTTTCGTCCTCATGGGACATACAGCATTTTATGGCAGCCGAAGTTAAAATTTTCTGCTCACCCGAGGCATTAATTTCCCGGCATATGCTTCGCAGGTAGCATATTGCCCCGCACACTGTATCCGGGGTCATCACACTGCTGCCGTGTCTCGGGACGCTCGCTTAGTCATCCTCCCCGGGACCCCCGTGTCCCACGACAGGACAGCAATGCAAACAATCCTCGGACTCAGTGTATGAAACATTGCAGTTTTATGAGCCTCATTCCCAAGGGGGCGGCTGCTATACAGCGCTTAAAGTCTGTGACTTTCCCTTGAAGTAACACTCTCACCGTCAAAAGTTGTCGGCATCTTAAACATGATGAATGGTCACCACGGAGGCGGCGCCGATTCAGACCCATGTGTCTTCGTCAGTGGTCACAGCTGTGCGGAGAAAACAAAGGCCGTTTCTTGATTGCCTAAGTTCAATTTTTTAACTCATGTCAGCGACAGTTTCTCACCATCTCAGGGCTGTCGCTCTAATGTACAACTTTTCTTGTCGCTTAAGCTGATGTGCTGAGCCTGCATGTCACCGGTGTCCTAGTCAAGGTGGAGAGTTTTGCGTATAAGTAATGTGAAGAGCTATAATTCTCGTGACCCAGCTCTTCTAGGATGTACTTCTCTGGCTTTGCTGCACTTTTATTCTCAGGAGCTGCGACCGTCGTTGCGCACGCTGAGCAAGCCAAGCGTGACGCAAGTCAGCCTTACTTCGACATCTATCAAGGTCCGAATGAGCAAGATTCGATTATCAATGATCTTTCTACTCAACTCGACTACACCCTGTCTGGGGGAGAGGCGTAAGTTAGCTACTCTCCAACCGTACTTCACAAATAACAAGCATGTTATGTGCAGATATCCCAACCCGTACATGTCTGACAGACTGGGAACGACTGGCCCTATTCTGATTTCGTCCACCAACCTGGCAAGGAATCTCCTTGGAATAGCGTCGATCTTTCCTAATATATATATCAGATCGAATCACTGGCTCATTTTGTCCGTGAGAGAGTGGTAAGACGCGCAGGATTCTCCGCGATGCCACTGCTAATGAGCTCTTTGCAAAGCCTGAGCGCACCGTCCATGCAAAAGGCGGTGGTGCCCATGGTTGGTTTGAAGTAACCACACCTGTAGCTGCAAACTACTCGATGGCGACAGTCTTCTCGGAGGTTGGCAAGCGTACCCCAGTTACTGCCCGATTCTCTACAATTGCCGGTAATTTGGGCAATGCAGATACTGTTCGAGACCTGCGAGGGCTTGCCTTTAAGTGCATGACCTATTTTAGTATTGCCGCTACGTGCTCATTGTGTTGTTTTTGAACTTAGATTGCGCACAGAAGACGGAATCTTGGACTGGGTAAGCGTCATCATGTATGAGTGCTTCCTGAAGCTAATATGCCACAAAGCCCTTCTTAAACCACCCTGTTTTCTGGCTTCGTGATCCAGCAAAATTCCCTCGTTAGTGTGACGGATCCCTCCATGGCTTGCCATATTGAATATGTATGCAGACTTCATTCATTCTCAGAAACGTAATCCTCAGACAAACCTTTTGGATCACAATGTACGTTTTCCTTATGATATCATTAGCACTTCACTCACACTCGCACTGTACACCCCATCAGAATTTTTGGGGTGAGCGACAAATCAGCCACTCCGATGTGCAGGCTTTACATTTTTTTAGATTACCTTTCCTCGAACAATGAATCAATTTACCAGGTACCTTCCTACAAAACTTTACCAATCAAGTAGTTATATTTTCTGACATCAACATGTAACAGGTCATGCGTACCATGACTGACCTCGGGACCCCTTATGGTTTCAGGTATGCATCTTATGAAGTATGCCTCCCCTTTACTCACCAATTCCTAGGCATATGAATGGCTACAGTGGCAACACATTCCGCGCCGTGAAGGGAAATGACACGTGGGTTTATATCAAGTAGGTGGTTGCTGATGTGCATGGTTTCTTGACCGTTGACGCGATCCAGAATTTCCGCAATATCGGATCAAGGCATCAGGAACAATACTAATAGCGAGGCCATCGTGCAAGCTGGCGTGAACCCCGACTTTGGCGTCCAGGATCTTTATGACGCCATTGCAGCTGGAAATTACCCCAGCTGGACAATCTACTGGCAAACTATGACACCTCAACAAGCCGAGAATTATAAATGTCTGATGCCTGGTCTTGTTTGGTTTATTCAGGCTGACACTAACACTTTCTCTCAGACAACATTTTCGACCTGACCAAAGGCACGTTTTACTGTCCTCAAATTATATTCTTGACGCTCACATTTATATCTCTAGAGTGGCTCGTAGAAGATGTACCTCTGCAAGAAATTGGCCGGATTACCCTTGTTCAGAACCCGTACGGATTTGTGGCTTTCGGTGTTCATGCACCACAACTAACCTTTTTCATTAGGACTAATCATTTCGCAGAAGTCGAGCAAATTGGTTTTGACCCCCGCCAACATGGTTTGTTTTCCAAATGTCCGGGAACTAACAAGGCTGATTTTCACCTAGCCTTATGGTCTCGAGCCTAGCGAGGATCCCACACTGCAAGCGCGATTGTTCGCTTATGGTGGTAAGTTCTTGCTTTCTGACATAATTTTGAGACTTTCTACTTAACTTCATTCGTCCAGATGCCCAGCGATACCGCACTGGAATTAACAGCAAAACAACTCCCAGTAAGTAGCATCGTGTGACCCAGTCTGGCAGTGCCTAAAGCTGTGAATGACAGATCAACTGCCCCTCTCAATCCCGTCGGTTCGTAACTTTGCTCCATCGCACTGTGTGATGCTAAATCGACTTTATCCAGCGAACTTCTTGCGTGATGGTGCCATGAACTTCAACAACCAGGGAAAGCGCCCAAACTTTTGGTCGCAGCAAGATTTTCTTTCGCTTGCTCCTCGGCCCTATAATGACGACAATCACACCATTTGGACTGGCGGTGCCGTCAAGTACCTCAGCACACCCACCGAGGCAGATTTCGATCTTCCCAGGATTTTCGTGCGTAGCGAATAGCACTATGCACAGTTTGCCTTTGAATCGCTGATCGAACCATGATAGTGGAATGGTCTATCTGAACGTGATCAAAACCACTTGATTTACAATGTCATCTGGCATCTTGGTCAGGCCAACGACTCGACCATCCGCACCGAGCAGTGCAAAATCTTTTATCATGTGAATGCGACCCTAGGTGAAGCCATTGCGAAGGGAGTGAATGTCACGCTTTAGATACAGAACCACAGAATAATGGACTTACCATCTTTAAAGACCTATTTAACTCTCCTTCATACATACAAAGTCAAGTTTTGACGGACTCGCGGGCACGACTGCATTGAGAGCATGGTTACTTTTACAAATTTATACAATGGTCACTATCTTCGGATCAATGGAATCAATCTGTCGGATATATGTCGCGCAGGAGCTTCGGTGTGGAATGATGAACTAGTGTTTGACCGTGATACTTTCGAACTTCATGAGGGGCGTCAAATCAAACCTACCGAGATCCATCGGACTAAATTGCAACCAGATCACTACATCCCGTATACGCGAGTGCCATGTTATAATGTCCCAAAGTCCTATCATATTCACGCTAGGCCGATCGTCTTGAACACCAATAGACACGATGGTCGATGATCCATCAAGGTCTGGTGAAACAAATTCCAACCTGCTCCATGCGTATGATGCTCGACTCCGAGTCGGCCAGTATTATTCAAAAACACAGGCGCAGAGCTAGCCGGGGAATTCACACTGGACTGTGGCTCCCGGAGCATTTTCGTCTTCCCCTGCAAAAGAGTAACTCCAAAGCGATGTTGTGAAATTAGTATCAAAACATATTCCGACGTCCCAGTTGTACAGAACCCGCGTAGTCTCCCCTAGTTAGACCTATCAAAGGAAGATAGTCGCTCCTTCCTACTACGGACTCCGCCCGGAATGAAAACAAGAATCGAATTCTGATTCGCCTTTCACATGTTAGCGGTCAGCCTCCTTCAAAGGTCTGACCGTGCTAATGTTTGTTGTCTTACACCATCGCGACTACCCTGCCGTCTACATCAGCCACGGTCCGTCGCGCATCCCGCCATGCATGTCAGCCATTTTTACGCCAATCTCGTGATTCACGTCGTCCCTGTCAGCTTGCCGTCGCGGTTCTAGTCACCTGGAGGGTGCCGACTGGGAGCTGCAGACATTGAACGGCACCATGATGGTGTTGGCGGGCGGGTTAGTTTTTGAGGAACTCGCAGGGATCAGGGAGATAGAGTAAAGATTCTGATGCACCAGCTGCAGGCAGGCGGGATGGTTGTTGAAATGTTGACGCGGTCGGCGGGTGATACTATCAGCTTGACAGATTTCCCGGCACTTTCCGAGTAACGCCTAGACCTTGACTTTGTCACCGAGTCTGCATCCGGCCGGCCAGGCAAATCCCGCTTTCTGGACGCATCGGTGTTTTTATCTGGAATCCTAAACGTCTGGTTTCGAAGACGAACGACTTACATAATGTGATCATTCTTTGAAAGTGAAAGGCAGCAGTCTCTACACAGGGAAAATCGAGAAATTGTTGCATAAATGTGTACGAAACGCATTCGAACGAGTAGCAAGACTACTGACTACATTACATGGATTTTAATGGTAAAGATCTTCAGACCAACTTTCAAATTTATTCACGTCCTCAGTCAGGCTGTTGATTTATCCCTCGTTGAACCAACGACTTTTCTGTGCAGTGGCAGGCGCATAGGAACATCATCAAGGTGGGTCAACTTTTCAATGGCCACCACTGCCTTGTCTGCATCTCCATCGATATTGCCCGACGCCATGAATTGCCGAACCTTGGAACCGGGCAAGTCAGGATTGGCGTACGCAGGTGCTGGGGAGACAGGCGTTGGTTCTCCTTGAATATTCTGGTACGGAATGGACCTGGCTCAATTATGGGACCTTGGGGGAAACGAAAGGTTGGCGAGTCTTTTAACGTCAAGCATCCTAGAATTACCTTTATGTTCCACGCAGGATCAAGTTTCATTTGCCAAGGACTCGCTCAGGCCTTCCAGAGCTAGATAATTTGGTAAGCATCTCCACTCTCAAAAATTGATCACACCTGCCAAATTTTCTGTCGCGATGCTATGACTTAAATACATATGCCACATGATTTAGAACACTCACGATGCACTGTAGAAGGCGGTTGCAGGGCCGCCTACCAATCCCAACCTTGACGAGACCTGCAAACAATCTCCCACCAATTGGCTTGTTCACTTCTCGGAAGAACTTCACCGCCTCCTTGCTCACATGCATAGCACCCCAGAAATTTACTTCGAACATCTGACGGGCCTCTTCTTCGCTCACGGACTCTAACTCTCCTGCTACACATTGACCTGCATTATTAAACACGACATCAATCCTTCCAAATGCTTCTTTTGCTCTTGCAAACGCAGCTGATACTTCCGCGCTGTTCGTCACGTCGAGCTGAATGACTAAGAGCTGGGATGGGAATTGTGCTGATAAATCTGATAGAGCATCAAGATGGCGAAGAGTCGCTATGACTTTATCGCCCTTGTTGAGCAAAAGCTCAGTCATCGATCTCCCGAACCCCGACGATGCACCAGTAACTAGATGTGAGATATCAGTATTTATGGCGAGTCCAATGAATTCGCTTTCACCCACTGAACCAAACCTTTGGCTCTGCCATATCTCCAGTAGGGCTCTCAAAGAACAGGAGGAAGAAAGGGGCGTGAGATGTTGGTGAGATGCCTGCGCAGTTTGTGCGCTATCTGATACAGTAAGCACAATGCGGCACAATGGCGTATGTATGGCGTGTGTCGGTACTTTTATCGGTAAAAATAGCACGAGTAACGGTAGCAGGCGTATGTTTGGCGTATGTGGTCCGTTAAGCTGTCCAGGCTCGATGTGGTTATGCTGATTTCTAAGACTCTTATGCTTAGGTCGTTGTGCGATCTCGCGCGGAGCTAGTTTGTGTCCTTTGACAAAGTCACACATTGGTCATACATGCATGACAAGATTGGATGGTTTGTCATGTGTCTTATCTATCAATAACCAGATGCATTGAATTGAACGGTAAGCACAATTGGAAATAGAACAAGATTGGATGCTTTGTCATGAGCATTATCTATCAATAACCAGATGCATTTTGAATTGAACAACGGTAAGCACAAGAAAATAGAACGGGTATGTGAGTATGCGATGGCGCCTAGGAAGTCAGAGGGATGGACAAGCAAAGAGGGTGTGCGAAAGTACTGCGTAAAATTAGGAGGTAACTGGAAAAAAGTGCGGGGTGGGAGTGTCTCACAACGTGCGAGAGGAGACATGATGGGAGAGAATAAACTCGCGTAACAACTTTGATCACGTCCAAGAGAGGAGAGCATGTGGTGGCCCCACTCGACTTGTGCGTGGTATACGTCACACTGGTCTCAAACATATCAGAGGGTGCAGTATCAATGGACACACGGAAAGGTACAATGGATGTGTCAAGAGCATGCGGGAGGGTGAGAGTGCACCGCTGGCACCCCCGCATGACAAGACATGTGCAAGAGTCCAAGGGTCGCGCAAGCCCCCAAGACTAGATAGTACTGTCTTACATAGAGTTACACTCTCAAAGACAAAAAATCGGATTTAAAAAAATAAAAAATAAAAAAAGGGTCGCGTAAGATGGTACAAGAAAGTGCGCGAAGGCAAAGGAGACGTGCCGCAGCAGGTGCCGGATATGAGGATTTGGGACGTCAGATCTTCAGATTTCAAGTACGGGGCTCCTCCTTCCGGAATGAAAGTAAATGCTATGGCGTTAATGTGTTCTTGAGCTTAGCTTGCTGTGTTATCTGTTTGACACGTCGAGCTCTGGAATCCGAGTTTCGTGTGACTAGGCGCGAGTGCAGATTAGTAGCTCAACCTTTCTGGTTTCAACAGCAAAAGAAAGGAAAGTCCGATGGCCACCGTAATTTGCTAACGCACCCAGTAGCGGAACTTCGAGGAGGAATTCAGGCCTGAGTGTCTCCGTTGAACCTGAGCGTGTGTGTGCGAGGCTTGAGACTAAAATATTCCGTCAAATAGGCTAACCATATCATGCATCAAGCCTTGTATGCTAACCACTTTTGATTGCGGAACAATAATATTTTGTTTAACTTTTGGCGGTACCTAGATGTTGATTTGTAATTTGATGGTCTACCACACGCCTCATGGCACCCGGTTCTCAAGCTCAACCCCAAGCCTTCTCCATACAAAATCCTAATTACACTGAAAATCAAGCTTGCGCTTTGCCATATGGAGCTCTTTTGGAACTGCAACACATGCAATAGTGAATCGGGACTCGAGGTAGCGGGCGCTGCCACGAATGTAGGGACCCGGAATTTCCGATCTTCGTCGACAGTCTGAGGCAAACTGATGATTCAAAATTTGCTGCGATTGACATTATTGATATTTCCGTGCATGCAGATTGCAGGGATTATTCCAGGCTACCATTTGGCGATGTTCTTCTACAAACCAGGAAGGAGGTGGTGATGGCAAAAACACTAAAGGTCCGGAATGAACCTGCGCTGGCACCACTAGCTACGCCATAACTTCAATACGCCACGAAGCTACGTTTCCCTGATTACTATGGCCTCGGTCAAGGCACCGTCCCATAACGTCTATCTGTTCTATTTGCATCGACTCATGCGCGGGCCGGAAATTCTTGTTTGTTTATTGCATCCGGTGAGCCAACGTGCATTCTGTTCAAATCGTTGAATCTGGGCTGCTTTTCTCAGGGAATTACTAGGCGTATTTCTGGTTTGCAGTTGTGATCAGTGTTAGCTTGTTTTGAGGGATCTCGATGGCACGCCGTGAACGGTGTGGTCTGTTTCGTTTTAGGTTGTTTCTGGCGTGGCGCATGTGGTCAGCAGCTCCTCCGAGTCTTGGCTCGACCTCCAAATAGCGAAATCATGTATGAACTGCTGGAACGAAGTATGTTACCAAAATACCACAATCTCAGACGCCAGCAGTTCACCAATTGCAGTATGTCTCGTTGTATGGGAAGCACGCCGAATGAATGGTTGGTGCGACGCCGCCCGAGGCCTGGCCTGGCCGCGCCCGCAGCCTGTTTCACAACGCAATCATTTGACCTTGGCTTGTGATGATGCATTTCAGTTGGACACAAAATCAGTATCGTTTGATTACGCAATTTTTTTTAGTCTCGTCAGAGTTAGGTATTGAGACCTATAAAATCTCTACCAACATTACCAGACATTCCTCAGCACTCCAACTTCCAGCACTTCAACTTTCAACACTCCAATTTCAATCATGTTCGACATCTACGCTTTAGCTGCATCGCTCATTGGAGGCGTTATGATTACACTTCTTGCCAATGTTGCCTCGATCAAATCTCGAAATGTACCGAAGACGCTTCGTGATACACTATCCTCGCTCATTGTCAGTATCAGACATCTTTGGTCACCGTCTATAGATGAACTGACAATCAACGATTAGGGTTTCGTTCGAGCTGCATTTGGCGGTGAACAAGGCGACCAACAAGGTAATCCTTTGACAAGGTACGGACGCGCACGCCCCTCTGAGGCCGTAGTCTAATATTTCATTCATTTCAGAGCGCAAGTTACTGCGGCATTTCCGCAAGGAACGTGGCAGCGTAATGCCTATGAAGACTATAAGGCAGTTCTTCTCGATGAAGAACTAATCTTCCCCTGCGTCTATGCCACAAAGGGCTTTAAATCAGACGACCAGCTCTATTTGTTCATTGACTCGGATGACCTGTCGGACCCACGTCATATCCGTACTCTTGCCAAGGGACTTTCCACATACCTCCCTCAAGCTCGCCAGCTTGGCCCCAACACCTCCCTCGTTCTTCTTGCCAAACAAAACGACAACAACTCACGAACAGTAGAGGAATACAATACTCTGTTCTGGGAACTCCTCAACGGTCTTGCCAAGCTTGATGAAAAGCCCTGGCCTTCAAATATACCCCGCGACATTGACACGAACAGATGGTGCTTCTGCTTTGGAGGAGAACAATTCTTCACTGTCATCCAAACCCCTGCTCACCAGGTCAGGCGCACGCGCTATGCGCCGGGCCTGACCATGGTCTTCCAGCCAAAGTGGATTTTTGACATTCTCTTCAGCACTGATGCAAAGCGCGCGGGTGCGCTTGCAAAAGTTCGTGCCCTCCTCTCCAAGTACGATCCCATCCCTGTCAGCCCCGAGCTGAAGAACTACGGCGAGGAAGGATCGCGGGAGTCCAAGCAGTACTTCTTATTGGATGACAATGTTCCGGCGCCGTGTCCATATGACAAACTCAGTGACTCTGAGGTCATTGCCGCATAAAGGCAAGCTGACGGTCCCCGGTTGAGTTGCTTCCAAGTTCCAACTAACCCATCTTCACAGCGAACTACAACACCTTCCTAATATGGAGTCGCAAAAACAATGCTGCTTCGTTGAATTTGAAATTGGTTAAATGTAGATTTGGGTTGTAACCTGTGACATACGAGGCGCCTTCTTTCTTCATTGCAGTGCTACTTCTTACTCAATTTGGTCTGCGTTTCCGACTTATCCTATATATGTGACGATGATGACATGTATTTGGCCGCCGCATCTACACTTGTACAATAAAATCGCTCGGTCACACTCGAAAAACATTCCATTTTGATCACTCGCTCACGTGTATCCGAGAACGTTTGACTAGCCTCACTCTCCTCACCAGCTTCGATTACTACTGACAATCAATGTGTACAGATGCAGAAACAGATACTAACATCATGATGTACTAACTGACACTCAACAAACATCTTATTATTTACTAAGGGCGCAGTTGGTCTCACTCGAAGGTTCGACAAACATTTTAACTTGCTTACTATTTTCAGTGGCGAAGTCACGGGTGTCTGCTAGTTTTAATTGAAGACGCTGTGTGATGCCTTTAGAAAGGGGGATAAGTCCGAGGCCACCACAACACAGTTCTGTAGACTATAGAAAAACGTTCTGGCTCTAGCTCCGTCTTGGTGATGTGAGGGGATGGCATTAGAATAATTAGATGTGATACACGTGTACTAACGTCCCTCGTTGTCGGCCAGTCCCGTCTCCGCGTTTCAACCACAAAGATTAAGATCTCCGCAATTGTCATCAAATCGTCATTACTTCGCACACACACGAATTCAACATTTGTCTTCCAAGTCGTTAGCTGTGTCCCGTGACTCGTGAGTCATACTCTTTGGCAATGGCATGAGAACGTAATGGTTGGTCACGTGATTTACGGAAAATCCCTGCTACGGTCCGCTACGTGGGGAATAGTATCTTAAGCTCCAGGTTCTCACCATCATCGGACTTCCTGTCATGTTCGAGACTCCGATTCGAGCTTCTGCCAGTGGACACCAAGTAAGTAGCCGTTATTGACCGGGATGATTAAAGTCAGCTGAGTAGTGCCATCGAACACTTAAACATCAACCATGACCGCACCTCTCTACACTATCATTGGGACGCCATTCAGCACCTTCACCCGATCTATCACTCTCGGATTGACTTACAAGAAGATACCCTTCACTCAAGTTAGATGTGTTCCACACTCGGACACAGCATATGACAACCATCCATTCGGGTTTCTACCCACTCTGATCATCCACCAAATTGATGGCAAGACAGTCAACCTGAAGTTGCGCGAGAGCGCGGCCATCGCGCGCTACATTGACAGGGTTGCACCAGAACCCAGCTTGCATATTTCTCCGGGTGACGGGAAGGCCATCATCGAGGAACAGATGTGGGAGTTTGTGAGTCTTGCCGGAGCACATGGTAAATTTGAAATTTTAGTCAGACACATCGAGCCTATGAGATTGATCTCATGCTTCAGGTTTCCCTGCTGTTGAGAAAGGGGTCGTGAAACCCCGTGTGGCTGCCACCGACGCAGGCCAACCTACAGACTCTGCGATTCGCGAACAAATTAAACCAGCTGTAGAGCATCTTAGGAGATTGCTTGGTAAAATTGAAGAACTAATGGCAGACGAGGGCTATGTGTTCGGAAGCAAGCTTGAGCTGGGCGGACTTCTTTTTGTTCCCCCTGCTTGCAGATCTGAAAGCAATCCCGGAGGGCGAATTGCTTTCTCCAAGAATGCTGAACTGGATGGAGGAAATGAATAAGTTGGAGGCAGTTAAGGCCACCACTCCGGGTACCTTGAGTGTTGGTGCAAGACCCCCCTAATCACTCAACTCGAGCAGGTATGGTTTAAGTTTCGTTCGCAATCATTCGTCCCGCTGACTCGGAAACAGTGCAGGAATTTCTTGTGAATCGAGCTCGAATCTGTATTAACTGGAGAAATTAACTTTCGATCTAAGCATGATTTGTAGAACTATCCAAGCAATCTTCAGTTGACATGTTGTAAATCTTGAGAACGTTGCAGGCCCCCTCCCACTACTGCTTCACGTATGAGAAGTAATTTCATTTTCAACTATTAAATATTATGGGCGCACGCTCTCGCGATGGGCGGCGCTGCACCGCATTCTAATATTATCCATCTCACGATAGAAAACTGGGACCCCGTACTTGAATAGGGTTGTACATGTTGGTCGGTCTAATTCAGTCGAACGGTTTCTGTCGCAGACCCTGCACAGAGCGGCGACTTCCTGTGTCTTCGTACGTGCTTGCGGTTGATCGTGGCGAGTAATGTCTGACCACTGGGAAAATCATTTCATTCGAGTTGATCAGTGTTACTCGAATGCCATAGGCAGAAGTAAGCTCTACACAAGCTCTGGAACACCGGCTCGAGTGGTCTATGAATCAATTTCATACAGTATTTGATATCCCAAATTTCCCATGCCCCCAACGAATCTTGGCGGCATTCCGCCACTTCCTTCGTGCCGTACCCCGCACCGCAGTCTAGGCCATATTCATTCTATTCTGTCGACATTCTGAAAATGCCAATTCATAAACAAGACTCCCTAGATTTCTTAGCCCCACTGAAAGGTAAATACCGTCCCGTTATACGCCTTGATCTGCTCAGCCTCTTTATCAATACGTGAATCTCTCTCGCTTTACGCGCTCTGGATCCACTCCAGCAGCTTGGAGTGACTTCATAGCATTGCTAACGAAAGGCAACGGGCCGCATATATGCGTCTCCCGAAACTTTGCGTCTACACTGCCAAAAAGAGTTCCACTGTCGTCAAGGCGTCCTTCGTGCGGGATTAGGGAGACGAACGGCGGAAAAGACTCAGACTAACTGGAACTTTGGGGAGTAGACATGAATGGAGAATGTAAGGCCGGGGGGTGACTGGAGGTCGTCCACTTTGCTGGATGACATGTTCACAAACGCTTCTTGAATCAAGCTGAGCATAACTTCCGGCTCCCGCGTTGAAAGGACGAGCGTCACGTCCCAGACTCCGAATCCCCGAGCAGCGAGGTTTGTAACATGACGAGTCAAGCTCAGGAAAGGCGTGAGGCCAATTCCACCAGCAATCCACAGCAGCCGTCGCCCACCAGTCGCATGCTGCTAAAGGCTCTGGGACAGGAAGATCGCCTCCGACACCTCGCAGTCGAGCGCAGACCTTCAGGTCTGCGACATCAATGGGTTCACCAGTCAGCTGCGGATCAACACTCCTAGCAAGCTGATATAAAATTGGAGTGATAAGACCGCCTTTGATCGCTCTCATTGTGATAGAGAGGATGCAAGGTGCATCTGGAGTTGGAGGCGTGGAGACCGTCCAAGTACGGACACAGTCGTCGTTAACTGTACTCTCATCTTCCTCCCAGTCTAACAGCTCGTGTGAGCGTTTGCGCAGGAACTCCGTCAACTCCAGCACGCAGTTTTGGCTTGGATGGATATCCACAGGTCGTGATGACTCGAAAGTGAGGGTGATGAGAGTGTCATCATGCACTCGCGTCTTTCATGAGGCTAAGTGTGATGTCCGCGAATGATACAGATGGTGGCTTTTCTTCCGCTAAGTAGCAGACAGGTGGGCTATAGGGGCTACGTTCCGCTGGCCCTGTCTCCCTCAACGGAATGGCGTTTTCGACAAAGGAAAATCCAGTGACGTAGATGCTGGAGATGATATTCATATTTGGCATCACTGCTCGCGCAGATGCGCCATACAGGGTCTCAGCTTTCCCAGTAAGATACAAGATTGATCCAGTGGAAAACGAGGGGAAAACAATTCCAGCAACTGGCGTGATATGTATGTCGCCCAGTGAGTTCATCATGCGATTCCCTGTGTATTATATATAAATACTAGACTCGCCCTGCAGTGTATCGTTCTTCTCACCGGCATAATTTGGGAGCACGAGAGTCTTCCCATCGGAAGGTCTCACTCGGACGAATCCAGGACGACCCCCTCTATGATTGACGCCAACTCGAGAAGGATAAATGTTTTCATCTTCCTGGGCGGCCACGTAGGACGTGGACAAGAAAGCTGTATCAGCTGCATAGTATGAATGCAATGACAGTCATCAGGCAGGCGCTCCCCATCCCCTAGGCTAAACCGCTCATAGATGAGACGTGGCGACGCCCCAGTGGAATGACATAATCGACCTGATATTGATGTATTTCGGACACAATCTACAGTTTGTGAGACAGAGCCACAGCACAAAGAAGCCGCGGCAGCTCACCCCAGGGCTTGAGTAACTATGACAGTAAGATCGACGTCCAGATCTCTCAATAAAACATTGGATATATGACCAGCGAATTTGTTCCTTCTCCTAGTCGAAACCTCAAGCCCGATCCCAGAAAAAAGTGGTTTTCCATCATGAAGCTGGGAGCAGTTTTGAATAATTGGATCTCCAGGCCATAGACGCGCTTTGATCGTTAGCAAAGCATCCGTAGGGGATGAGATAAAGCCTGGCATCCCATCATTTGAGCAAAGAATAGATGCCCACGGTCTCCCTTGCTGGTCCAGAGTAGTGACTGGCAGGAAATGTAGTCGGCTTGTGTGGAAAATGCGATGCTGCTCGGGCAACCTATCCACAATTGCTGTAATTGCAACGCGCTCGGGGAGGTGGATGATTGCCTGAACAGCTTGTTCTCCTGGATGCCAGCCCCGTAAAGCAGGTATCGGATCTGATGGCCGTTGCAGCAACTGCATCATGGTTAGGAGGCAAGAATGGGGTGATGGACGATTTAGTCTAAATTGCAGGGGAGTATGTGTGAGGGAACAAGGTCAATGATTGCACTATGTACTGGTCGGTTGTCTGCATTCCGTTGGCACGTGCTGTCCAGAGAAGATTCCGCGGAAAGGGTTCTGATGCTATGCAAACATTTGGGGCAATCAATAACAATCCTACTCCAAGTAAATGTGTATTAGTGATGAGCAGTCACGCAATGATTCACACATAAGTTTTTGGTCCGGTAACTTACTAAGATTTCTATATCTCACCGGGTTCGAAATAACTAACCGAAAGTGTGCGATTATAAAGGTGACACGGGGTTCTAGTGTGACTGCAAGACAGAAATAGCTTCAAGTGAAGGACTCCGTTAGCGTGACTCTCGTGCCGGAAAGGGAAGCAATGGCGCAACTGTAGCATCTTCTTGATAGTCAATCGTGTAGCTAAGTTGGTGTGAACCTCAGCAAAGGATAAAAGTCAAAAGCAGCTGGAGATTATTACTCCATGTGCGCACACAGTAGTTGACATGATCATTCGAGCTGCCATACCACCCGTCAGCAACGTCGCACCTTCGAGTAATCTGATGTCCACCTCGATGTCTGCAACTGAAACACTTAAAACATTCAATAACATAAGCAAGACAAGAAAACGAGGCAAAAAGGGGTCTCAATCAATTTCAATCACGTCGTCCTCTACCTTGTCATCCTTGCTGCTCAATATCAGCAGCCCATCCTCCTCTAACCTCCTCCTCTTGCTAGGACTCGCGATATCCAGTACCGATGCTACACCATTTGTATCTGTCTTTGCGCGTTTGGCTGACGGCCCGACTTCCACAATATCGTCGTCCGGGGCGGACCGTTTGCGAGATGGCGCGGGAGGGGGTGTCGACTGCTGCTTCTCTAGACGAGGAGGCGATGGCAGTGGTGACGGAAGTATGTACGCTGGACCATCAGAAGGATGATTAGGTCTGCGGTGCACATCAGCCAAGGACTCAACAGAAAATCCATGTCACTTACGGTAGTATGCTCAACGCAACTACAATTGTTCCCCACTCCTCTTCTTCATCCACGATTGTCAAGAACTTGCCTCTTCCAACATTCAAACTCTCCAGTGTCCGTTCAAGATTATCGTCCCAGTCGGGATCGCTGAGGACGCGCTTGTCTTCGTAGACGCTAACCTCCCTTTTATCACTGCCGAGTACGCCATCTACAAGTTCACTTAATGTTACACGAGCAGGGTCGCACAAAACTTTGGTGTAGGTATCTCGGCAGACACCGCATTTAGGATTCGGTGGGCACATAGTACTGGTGCTGAGAGGATTGGTCGGCTTGAACTGCACGTGGACATTGCGCAGTTGCGCGTATGACTTGCGAAGGAGATGGACTGCTTGCAAAACTATGAGGCCGGAAATGATGGCGTTGGTGGTTGCAATTGCGGGAATGATATTTCCTGCCATTTCTAGGGAGAGATGAGTGGTGAAAAAGAACCAGCGACATAGAAATAGACCTTTAATTTCCCAACGTGTCTTGCGATCGATGTAGTATGCCGCAGAACGAAGATTTGCAGCAGCGGTGACGAAATCGAGCGTATCGTCGTCATCTTTGTCGAAGGAAATTGTATCTTCGCCTCTGCGAAGCCTCTCGGCAAGTCGATTTGTACTGCAATTCTCATTTAGGAATCCAATTAATTGCATAACACCTATGCTCACCTTGATGTGAAAAGCTCCAAGGTATCGTGCAAACTGAGTGCCCGTTGATCCCTTAGTCCCGAAACTCCATTCGACAAACTAGACGTCGAAGATATCGAAGGGGTCTTTCCGTTCGCGTGGCCGTTCGCTGGCTGGAAGTGCACAATCTGCGCACTCCCGGTAGTCGTATTCGAGTTCGAAGGTCGTTGTATGAAAAATCTCCCTTCCTGGATAGCGCTGAAATCAAGAGGCGTTGGTGCCGCACGTGCGCGCCACATGTCAGACATTGATAACAGATTGAGGATATCCGAGTGGAAAACCTGCAGGGAATCAATACCTCAAGGTGACCTTTGGATAAGGTGTAAAATAAGACCTTCTTGAAGACACGTTGAGCTACGTCCTCCGTTGTCTGTGCTGAGCGGAGTGCACTCCGAACTGCTTTATACGCGAGCGCCTCTTTGCGTAGAGTAGCAATTTCTTCGGCTGTGCAAAACGCCCCCTTAGCAACACATACAGACCTTCAGGGTAATCAAATCTACCGTTTTCTCCTTGCTTCTCCGCTTCATCGAGTTCGTCTGTCCCATCTTCGTCTTCACCAAACAGTTGTCTGATATCACAGTACAGTGTCTTCTCATCAAAAACACGTTAACAAACTCACGGTAGTAGGTAGCTCTTCGCCCAGACAATACAGTGGATAGGTTGAGACGGTGTAGACCGGATCGTGCACACCGGGAAAGTCGTCGGTGTAGGCTTCGGCACACAGTCAAAGCATTCTGTGCGATCCTGAATAAGAAATCCTTCAACAACACAGCCGCATCGACCAAAATATCCAATACCTTGAGTAAAGGCTGTACTTGACCAAGGTATCCGGCAGTGCCAGATTCGACTAGAGGAACACCAGCAGCCATACACATTTTATTAACGTGTCTTCGTGCATCTGGAATGCGATTCCGTCAAACTACGTTGAACTGAAGTTGTCGGCTATTATTACCGAGATTGTCTAGTGCGTTCAGAACGATGTCGAAACCACTGAACCATTCAATGTCAAACTGTGCTTCTTTTATGTTTGCATGAATGGGATGAATGTTGACGTTGGGATTGAAAGCGCCAGCAGTTTGGGCTGCTACCTTGCGGGACCATGCTATGATGTTACCCCCGGAACGAGATCTGTCAAATAAGCAGCTTACCATGGCTTTGCTATGTTTGATATCTTTCTTTTTGAAAAGGAATTGCCTGTTCAGGTTCGAAAGGTCTATGGTGTCTAGGTCAAGGAGTGTTATGTGGCCGAAGCCAGTCAAGACGATATTCTTCACTGTCACATATTGTATCATAATCACGGAATGCAACATAGAAATATACTCTTCAAAGACTTACAAAGTTCGCATCCTATTCCTCCTGCCCCAACCAGTAGAACTTTCGTCTCAGACAACCTCTCACAGAGCTCGGGACCCAAGATGGCATGTGCATGAGCAGATCGAGATGACGTCTTGCAAGCGCCGTTCATAGAAGAACTTGACATTCTACGAGAGGCAGCAAAGTAAGGTTTCCTCGAAGATAGCTTTGAAAATGTTGAGCCGTGCTCTGCTGACGACTGCAAGAAATCAAAGGCAAGGCAGCGCCGAAAAGGCGGCCTTTTGCGTGACACGATATTTCTCGGTCACGCGTCGGGAGTCACGCGTTTAAGAGTGTCACGCCACTTGTCCTTGACCGGGACCTTCAGCTTACAAAAGTTTTTCTAGGCTTCCGGCCCATGGTCATAGCCAGCTATCGTGCATTAAGCAATTGATCGAGCTCAGAAGCTTAAGTAGTGGAAAAAATACTGTTAGGTATCTAAATCTGGTGTTTCCATCCTACTTCGTGACCATTTTGAATCATTGGCTCCACAAATCCTCGGAATGTCCACGAAGGGAGTTCAGCAACAACTTCCCCACCGCTCTCTAAGACACTACGATCCTGGGACCAGCGCATGCCATATCCTTCTGCTACTCGTGCTTCATATACCAGGACCTGATGTGGTAGCCAATGGAGATTCCTCCAGGTCGAATTGTCCACCACTCGTTCAAATAATGTCAGCGCACGTTCATTGATGGAGGAAACTGAGCCGGAAGGGGTGCCCCACCACCCCGTGTCTGTTTTCATCTGCCCTTTGTTGTTTCTGTTGACTGGCGAATCCTTTGCTCCTGGTGTCTCCCCTTGGGAGCGGTGGGAATGCTTTGACCATGCACGAGCACCAGCCGTGAGTCCCACCTTATTGGGTACGCTGAATGCTGTAAGGCATTCTTCTCGTGTTGGCGGCTCAGACCCTAGCGCAGAACCGATGGTATATGCCAGGCCACTCAATAGGTGTCTCGATAGCGGGTCAAGTGGTTGTTTGAGTTCAACTAGTGGCTGATTGCTACGCCGAATTAACTCCTGGACTCGAGAGCGCTCAAGCGCTGCAGATGGTAGCTCTTCGATATTGAAACAGTGAGGGATGGGAATGAAGAAGTTTGACCGCATATTAACACCTGGTATCATGAGCAATTGCAAGAGCTTCCGAAGCATGAACGTCAAAATCTTGGTTACATAAACGAGGTTTGATGAACTTGAGTCGAGGCTAATCGTTGTCATAAGCGATCGAGCAAACTCGGATATAATCGGAAGCATGTGATTGGCTAGCGGCTTCATTTCCAACGCTCATCCGCGCCCCGCAGGTGCGCACGGTGCACACGACTTTTCTCGCACTACTTTCTTCAGCGTCGTTGACACTGCCAGCGACGATGGCTTCGTCCATGATCCTTCGCTCCACGCTACCCAGAACCTTTGCTTCCGCAACTGGACGTAATTCCCTGCGATCCGCGTTGCAAGGTAGAACCTTATTCCTCATACGTGGATCAAGCTTACCTGCGTTTGAAAGTGAGAGCGGCAAGCTCGACTACGCAGTATGTACCAGGCGGACGTACGGCTTAGGAACTCTGTTTGATACCAGGAAAACTCACTCATGTTCCACAGCTATCTTGAAGGGCACGGTCAACGATCCTACGGAGTTCCCTCCTCCATCAAGAACGCATGGCTCGTATCACTGGGCATTTGAACGCGTTCTTGCTGCCTCCCTTGTTCCCATGACCGCAGCCGCTTTTGTGACCTCTGGGTCATCTTACCCCGTCTTCGATGGACTGCTTGGTCTCAGCTTGGTGATGCACTCTCATATTGGGGTACGTGACCGTTAGAGGTAGTATGCCGGAGGATATAAATGTTGACTTCTTAATGCTAGTTTGACTCGATGATTGTGGACTATGTGCACAAACGCAAATTCCCTGTCCTTAGCCCTATCCTGACCTGGACACTGAGATCGGCCACGGTCGGTGTGCTCGTTGGCGTCTATCAGTTCAACACAAACGACATTGGTGCGATCAATGCTCCTTGTCATGTTCTCACCTGACTTATTTCCTAAAGGCTTGACGGAGTTGATTGCGAAGGTCTGGACAGCATAAAATTATGTAGACTCCGCACTACGACATACTACCAGAGTGTTTAGAAGACGATGAAGAACACAAGCTTGAGAATACTAAACACTCACAATATTTAACTGGTGACCAGTCTACCCCGTTAAAACTACGCAGGTGACGCAAATTCAAACCGTCAAGCTCACCGCGCTTGAGTCATAACCAAAATTGGTCGTCAGAAGCAAAAGAGAGACGCTCAGCATTCATCTTCCTGCGATACCCATATATCGGCGTCGGAATTCACCACTCCATTCCCGCAGCGCCCCCATAACACCATTAATACTCGGTCGCAGCTAGAAGCTCTCCTTGCGAATTCAACTTGTCACCTTTTTGCTGCTCACTTCTTGGAATAGCTGGACGCCATTGAGCAAGAATTGTATGAGCTCGACCTTGAAAGATACCCCCTCATGCGTTTAGGGATCCTGGCTCCAAGCGCAACCCGCAGTTTCCAGATTTTACCGAATAACGATCCTGTCAGCCAGAGGCTAGAGTCTTTCATTCATCCTTATAACATTGTTGATAAACTCTGGCCGCACTCGCAAGTCTATATTTATTCCTCTCATCTCGTCATGATGTGCTCATACTATAACTGTCGGATAGCCCTTCTTCATTGCTCTTCTCCAGCGCAGCCCCAGTAACACGGTGCCGATGCCTTCTTCGTTTGGAAATTTGAGGGTCCAATGGGTGAGGTTTGCGGTCCGAGATTACTCCTCCTTCCTCTGTCACCATCATCTGCAAAGCATACGACACCACCTTCCATGGACTCTCATATGTTCCATTGGACCACGCCCCATCCTTGACGCTCTTAAGCCTTGGCGCCATCGCATGCAGGAACTGCGGAATTGACATCGTCAATTCTGGCGATGAGCGCAATGAGCCCGCGTACACGACAGGTGAGTCCCCGATTTCCAGTTTGGTCAAGTGCGTGTTAGGTTGCAGACCTATTTCGTCCTCGGGTTTTTCATCATCTCTGAGCGCATCGACCTGCACATCCATGCAGAGCGTAACCTCGGACAACTCGCGACAGCGCCTGACGAGGACGTTCAAAGCATACAAGGACACGGGGGTACTCCGCAACCCCAAGTCAAGAATGTGGAGATGGGGGCATCTACGAGCGAGGGTGAGGATATCGGAGTCGGTGAGCATGATCGAGATTGTGCGACCGGGGGAAAGTCTGAGGGTGCTGATGTGTGCAAGACTCGGGTGCATGACTATGGGGCGAAAGTCAAAAGAGGAGGGTGGGAGGCATTGATAGTTGCATGTCTCATTTATAATTAGATGCTCTAGCTTTGTGTTCGTGTGGAGGAGAGAAGGGAGGAATTCGGACCAGGTGTTGGCGGAGCTGCAACCTCCTACATTGAACTGGATTGTATTAAGGTTGGAGGATGTGATGGAATGATTATTGGAAGAATTAAAATTGAGAATTTGGAAGGCGCGTAGGAAAGATATGAAACGGTCCAAAGTGTTATCGAATAAGATGTGCAAGTGGGCGAGTGCGGCAAAGGGCTGGAGGTTGTGGAGAGGTGCGGTAGGGATACTTTTGAGACCTAGCTTTAAGGTGAGGGATCGGAGAGATGGCCAGGGTGCAATGATGTTGAGCACAGTGCTCGGGATATCATGCCGTTGGCATATCAAGGAAAGCTCTGTGAGACCATGGGGATAGCTGATGAGGAGAGACTTAATTTCTGAAAGATTTTTGTTAGTCATGGAGGGGCTGCCCTTGATCTCAAGAGCATTGAGGCGGGGTGCGGAGGTAGGGAGTACAGGGATGATGGCTTCGCAAAATTCAGATGTGAGGTCGAGGGAGAGGATCTCAACTGTGGGTAAGAGGAGTTTGAGGACTGGGATACAGGTGAGAGAACAATCGCGCCATGTGAGGGATTGTAAGTTTGGAAAGAGTGGTGCTTGCTTTTGAGCACGTGTAAGTAAGAATGGGTATACACTGTCATCTTGACATGGTTGAGAGAGAATTCGTATGCGGGAAGTTAGGACCGATGGACGGAATGTATGGGAATGTCTGGATGAGAGAATAAATTTCAGAGTCAGTTTCTCGGATTAGAATAAAGAATGTTGAGTGCTAGATCGCGAAATCCACGACAGGTCAATGCAAGTCGGAAGATGGAACGTCGATCTTGAGTTTCCGGTGATGGTATTAAATCAGGTAATAGGTCCGGGCAGAAACGTCGTCCGTTATCATTGAGCACAAAATAAAAATCACTTCCAGGATCTCACTTACGCAAAGACACTGGTGCATAGTGAGAGTGAAGCAGATGCTGCAGCCTAATAAGAAAAACTCCAAGTTAAAGCCTTTACAAAACAGACCAAAACAACACTTACGCTCTGGTTAGTAGGCACAACTGGCCATCTCAAACTGGTTACATGTATACACATGTGGTGACTTCGCTTAAGTTTGGCGGGGGTCACCAGCGAGGTCACCACGCCCAGGTGGTACCCGGGGGTATACTCTATGTATTTTGATTTTTTTTCCTCAGTATAAACTGTTGACAGATGTACCTGGGACATGGAGTCCCCTCTAGATACGGAGTGGTCAATCGATGCTTGGAGCTCCACGAGTCCAGCTTCTCAAATGTGCTATTTTGAGTCCTCGGAGACTTCTCAGTATTACTGAGAATATACAATATCACAAGCGATCCGTTCACCTTCGGACGACCGAGCGCACACGGATAGCGAGCGCTTGAGCGATTCGGAGCGCATATGGACACAAATCGCTTCCAAGGGATTAAAAGTTCCGTCCTTACATATGTTAGAAGTAGGAAGCGAGGTGTCTCGACGAAGCCACTGAGAGCGCGCTCAGTGCAAAGTTACAAACCTCGGGGTAATCAACAAATCTATGTAATACTTTACTCTACCTAAGTTACGAAGAACGAACTCTACCAAAATAATCCGGGACGAGTTCTATGGGCGACTGTTGGAGACTCTATTATGTAACGAGGTACGAGCGAAGGAATAGAGTAAGGTCTTCGAGCGAACGAGAGGCGCGGGAACGCACGTCTTGCTTCCGCGCCACGTCCATCGTTCGTCACTCCGTAGCTCGTTCTGCTTGCTCTTCTTTTCTTTCAAAACAACATAGTCAATACACTAGCTTAACCTACTAGAACTACCCAATTTCCTCTCTCACTCGCGAAAATGGCCGATCCATCTACTGAAGTCCGCCCAGACTTCGCCGGCGGCCTCTATGCCGGAATAAGGAATGACCTCATGGCGGCCACAGGAAGCACAGAGCAAGAAGTCATAGATCGTTTGGCCGAAACCTGGGACACTGACCACGAAGAACGTGTCCGGGACTGGAACCAGCGACAGGAAGCAGATGCCCTCGCTGCAGAAGAAGCAGAAAGAGCACTCCGCACTCAGCGAGACGAGGAACGCGCCCAGCAGGAAGCAGAGGCTGAGAGGGAACACTTGGAGACGGAGGAAAAAGAAACCAAAGATGAATGGTTTTGACCAATCCGCATCAGTAGGGGACTTCCTATCCCCTCGACCCGCTCAGTATGCCATCCAGAAACTCACCAACTTTGAGTTCGTAGAACTCTGGTATTTCTCACCAGATGGCTGCAAAGAAGCCTTGAAGACCTCGCGGTCCATCGCCGAGAACGACCTTGGCCTCACCAGAATCGACGACCAACTAACTGTCCGTCCAGCGTCAGCCTTCAAAGCTTCGAAAGCTGCCCTCGCCGACCACGAACTATCCTTTTCCACCTTCCTACGGGCTAAGAACCTGTATCTCGTCCAGATCAGCAAGGCCAAATGGCCCCAGACCCACATAGACACCCTGTCCCTTTTCTTCTGGCACCTCGAGAATCACACCATCCGCAACAACAGCGAGATTGGTGACCTGGTCATCCTCAACTACGCCTCCCGTGTTCGCCAAGACTGGCATGACAAGCTCAAACGGAACGAAGGCTTCAATATCGCATCGATTAACGAGAACCTCATCCGCGTGATCAACGAGGAGTTATGGGACAAGATTCGCTCTCGGGCTTTAATTGTGGTGGGTCCCTCTATGTAATACTACGTCTAAACCTTTCCACTAACAAACGGTTTCTTTCCCTACCAACCTTGGAACCTTTTCCTCCACCCCCACCCCCAACATAACCTACAACCCGGCTCAACTGCCAACAACCATCCTTTAACGCCCCGCGATGACATCCCGCGGATGCTCGCGATGACACTCCCGCGAATGCCTGCAATTTGTTCAACGCGGATGCACGACCCTTCTGGCATACGTGGTTACGTGCCACAGCCCACGAGCAGAGCAACCCCAACGACTTACAGCCACAATCGGAGGTCGAGCTATCGTGATCCCAGAGACTCTGGCCACGAGGAGTACCGCTACAGGAACTCTCGTTCACGCTCCCCATCTCGCGGCACCTCCGAGTTGAGGAGAAGCAGAACTCCATCCCCACGGGGCAGCTCCCATAACCGTCAATGACGCGGGGGTTTTTCCCGCAGCGCAGGCTCACGCGGCCGTTCAGCCTGCGCAGTCTGCCTGGGCCGCTTTGCACACGACATCAAAAAGTGCGAATCCACAACTTATGGGACGGATCCAATGGCCACTGTCGTCGAGCCCAAGACGGCCGAATCACCAACCTCCAAGGCCTACCTCTCTGCCTCAAGTGGCAACGCCCCAAAGGCTGCCAAGCCACCAACCACGAGCGTCACACGAATGCTCAGGATGCGGAAGCAAGGAGCACGGAGCCCAGAAGTGCCCTCGAAGCGAGAAAGCTTAAGGCCCACACTCCTTATAACCCAGTTGAATGGCAATGTCTCCTCGAAGAGACGGGCCTTATACATAGATACCCTTTTGTCCCTGCTTGTCTCGCATCTGGTTTCTCTGGGGGGATCCCCCCCCATTACCTGTACATACACACCACCTAATAACCCATCCGTCGAGGAACACTCCGAAGCCTTTGCAAACATCATCAGTCACGAATTTGCAAAGGGTCGTTTTATTGGCCCTTTTAATGCTGCAACCCTCGAATCAATCATTGGTAAATTCCAAACAGCTCCTTTGTCCATTATTCTGAAGCCAGGCAAGCCTGGAAGATTTCGTCTCATTCAAAATCTATCATACCCTATTAGACCCTCTCCCCCCATTAGCTCCATTAATTCTCGTGTCGATTCCGATCTTTTTCCTTGCACATACAGAACTTTCCCCACCATCTGCAGAACAATATGGTGTCTTCCTCCAGGGTCGCAAGGAGCTGTTCGAGACGTGGCAGAGGCATACAGAACAGTCCCCTTGCACTCGTCTCAATGGCCAGGCCTGGCAATCCGTCTCCCAGGGGAAGACACCTTTGCAGTTGACACATCATTTTGCTTCGGGTTCGGCCCATCAGCGGGAATCTACGGAACCGTTGCAGATGCAGGTGCAGACATTTTTGCGCCAAGGGAATTGGCCCTTTATCCAAATGGGTCGATGACCACTTATTCTTCCGAATCAGAAAAGAACACCTGGCCGAGTACAATAAGCGACGTGAAACCTGGGCCAAAGACATTGCCAACAACGAGGGTGTCGTCATTGAAGGTGGGCGCAAATGGTTTAAAGGAGCAACATGGCCAAATGGCTCCACAGAAGAGTTCGACGAAGACGTGTACTTTCCCATCTTGGATTTATCAGCTCGTTCACCACGATCACGCGAAGACCTGCAATTTTCCTTTTGCATGGATGACATTGACCACCTCTCCATACTTCTCGGCATCTTCTGGGAGGTATCGAAGGGACAAACCCTTTAGCCCCACCCCCCCATTCATTGGGTTCACCTGGAGCATTGAAGACCGAACAGTGGCCTTATCAGCTGAGAAGCGTGCCAAGTACCTCACTGCGGTCAACACGTGGCAGTCAAAACGCACCCACACACTCCATGAGGTCCAAAAACTCTACGGAAAACTGCTGCATGCCTGCCTTATCGTCCCGATGGGCCGCGCTTACCTCACGAGCCTGGAATGCATGCTGGGTATATTCGGAGAGCACCCACACCTGCCCAGAACTCCCCCTCGTAGCACCCCCGAAGATATCAACTGGTGGAAAAGCACCCTCAGTTCCCCCAGCCTCATTCGTCACATCCCAGGACCGTGCGTGGTACATGACTTCAACGCCTATTCGGACGCTAGCTCTGGTCATGGCATCGGAATCGTCATCAACGGCAGATGGGAGAGCCTGGGTCCTCACACCTGGTTGGAAGCGAGACGGACGGGACATTGGATGGGCAGAAAGCGTCGGCTTCGAACTCCTCGTTCGCACTATCATCAAGGCCTGCCCCCCCGGGATTCATTTCAAAGTATACGGCGACAATCGAGGGGTTGTGGAAGGATGGTGGAAGGGGTTGTAGTCGCAGCCGCACCACTAATGCCGTCTTCAAACGCATTCATCACGTCGTCGCGAGTACCAAATGCACAGTACTTACTCGATACATCCCAAGCAAGGAAAACCCAGCAGACGGCCCCCTCAAGAGGGATATATCCCCCCACATGTGATGCACTTCCCCCAATCCCAATCCCAAGTGAACTCCAAGCATTCATCTCCGACGTCTCAGAACTCGACACATCCAATTCCTCCACCTGGCCCAGCCATAACTCCCACTTCCCATCCCCAAGCCGCGCTACCAGTCAATCGCTTCGAGAAATGGGCAAAGAACACCTTGACCTCGAGCTCCGACAACCGCGCTTTCATCAACCGCGAGTTTGAGCGGAGGGGAGAAGAGCTCCACCAAGCGTCGCAAGGCTAGTAAGTTGAACAGGCTATTTGGCTCGTGAAACGGCCACTCACATTTCTCAAAATGACAGTGTATAACACTGACCTGACTCCAATCCCATCTGCCCTCCGTCCTCACTGCAGCGCAAAGGATCGGCTCCATCTATGGTTGCCACAATCCTCTCGGTCAACCAAAGACGCGCAAGGAAGACTCGTCCCCTTGGCACCCTCTGACATCCAACGCATCCGCGACGTCATGCTACATGGATACTCAGAAGGGACTCGCGAGTCCTATGGCTCTGGCCTCCTCGTTTACCATGTGTTCTGTGGACAGCAAATCCATTCCAGAGACCCAACGCGCCCCAGCTAGCAGCATCCTAATCGAATCTTTCATATCGGCCATGGCAGGGAACTACTCCCGGAAAACAATCGCCAATTACATCTTCGGTGTGCGGGCATGGCACGTACTCCACAGCATCACCTGGGACCTTAACGACATGCAAATCGAGACGTTACTCAAAGCAACCGTCTCGCTCACCCCAACCAGTGCACAACGAAGCAAACGCGAACCTTACACCGTCGAGCTAATCACAGCCATAAGAGACCAACTAGACCTCAATAACCCACTAGATGCGTCAGTTTTCTCTTGCCTAACGACGACCTTTTACACCACTGCAAGGACCTGCGAATTCACGGTACCCCGCCTCGACTCCTTTGACCCCAACCTGCACGTCACCCGCAACAACGTCTCAGATGTCCGAGACAGACAGAACCTGTTAACGAAGAATTTCCACCTTCCGCGCACCAAGTCAGCATTAGAAGGAGAAGACGTGCACTGGGCACAACAGCACGGCCCTTCAGACCCTGAAGAAGCCTTCAACAACCATATCCGCATCAACGACCCTCCAGCGAATGCCGCGCTATTCTCTTACAGGTTCAAAGACTCCCACCGTCCTCTCACCAAGACAAAGTTCCTGAACAGACTAGCATCTGCAACCAGAGCTGCGGGTCGCAAACCAGTGCACGGCCACGGCATCCGCATCGGTTCCACCCTAGAATACCTCCTACGGAACATTCCTTTCGACGTCGTCAAAGTTTAAAGGACGCTGGGCAAGCGATGCATTCCTCGTGTACCTGCGGAGGCACGCCCAGATCCTGGCCCCCATATATGCAAGCCACTCCCAACATCCAAGAACAATTCCTTCGTTTCACCCTCCCATCAGTGCGCTTGATCGCAACACTGAAACACGCAGATGTAAGTCACCCTCGTCCATCTCCTAAGAACTGGGCACCCGAGTTTCGCTGGATGCGTCGTCGGACTCCTGGTGTATGGGAATCGCAGCTCACCTCTTCTTCCCTTAGGTTTGGACTCTTTCCCTTGGGGCCGGAAAGCGCTGCGCGCCCTTTCGCCCAAAAACTTATCATTACCATCACTCTCCCTTATCGTTACTTCACTTCTCTCAGTTGGGCTTTCGCCAAATGAATATTATTCTTCTACTCCCTACAACGCGCTGGAGTGAACCTCCAAGACTATGACCCATTCTGCATGTGCACCACTGACAGCCGGTCATAGTAGGCCTTCACTTCCATCCATTTATCCCTTAGTCTGGATGTGCTTCAACATACAAAGTCTTCATATTCGGTATGGTCGCCCGCAAAATTGCGCGACAAGTTCAGTGTGCTCAATAACCGAATCCCGGATATTGAGCACCTCCAGGAACTGAGCACCAACCGTACTGAGACCGCCGATCGGTACTTCAGGGATTTCCCTTGCATCCAAGGACAGGTGCACGCGGGTGAGCTGTGGGCAGTATTGGGTCAACGCTGTCAAGGCGTTCAAACTGACGCTGGGAATTATGTAGGACCAAGGTAAGCTGCAGAGTCGAATGTCCTCGAGTTTGTTCCAGGCTTTAGCCGCTGCAATGATGAACTCATCATCTAAATTGAGCGTACCAAGATTGTATACTTGGATGGTGCGGAGATTGCGGCAAGCGAATAGCGGTGCAAATATGGATGGGTAGAAAACAAAAGGAGTGTCGGCAATTGTGTTAGTTCGCATATTGTGTCGGAGAGAAATTGAACGAATAGACGTGCCGATGGCACTCAAGAATGAAGTGATGACGGAAGATTGTGCTTGGACGTCGTAGGAGACGGAAACATCTTCTAGCTGTGGTGAGGATATAAGCGATACAATAGATGTACACTGGGGAAGGTCGTATGCCGTGAGAATGAGACGCTGGAGAGCGGGGAAGGTACTATTATTTGCCCTATCGCGTAGTATGTCGACGTCGAAATTAGGGTGAAGATTCAAGGAGAGCTCCTGAACATGACGAAGTGATGCGATATTCAGCACACTCTGTGCAGATATACGAATAGAGCTGGAGACGACCAACCGACGTAAGTCTGGTAGTCCATGGGACGAAATGTTCAATTCAAATGGCGTCACTGGAAAGAAGATGAAATTGTGAGGTTTTCGAGGCGAGTAGCCTTCCGAGGAAGATCTTCTAATACCCCGCAAATGCCCTGAAGACACATCTTTCGAGGGAGGGTAAAGGCGAGGTTTGTCATTTTTGGGGAGAGAAAGTCCCGGATTAAGGTGAAGTTGGAGGAACTACACGACAGGATGGAGAAGTCGAGCGAGGAAAGTGACGGGAACAGAGACTGCGGAGGGCGTTCAGCAAAAAGGAGTGGGAGCGCGTCCTCGTGTAGTCTGATCATTTTCGTTTGTTTTGGGTATGAAAAACTCTTCACACGACGTGAATACATGTCAAATCTTGCCCACTCAGATTCAGCAGGTGGTCTCGTGAGATACTATAGGAACTGCAATTATGAAATTGCATACCCATAACGAAATGAAACTTACAAGTATATTGCCAGAGTGAATATCCCAAGTGCCTCTTGGCAAGCACATGATGAGAGGACTTAACGAATGTTGAGTTCGCCAGAGGGTGTCAAGAGCACATTCCATAAAGCAACGGCATGTACGAGCTAGCCTAGCAAGGCCGCTTGTATTTTCCAAGCGCTTCAGGTCCCGCTGACCATCGGCAGCGACGAACTGAATGATATGAGAAAGAATCTCGTCAATGAGCAGAGACTGATGCATGGTAAACCACAATATTTAGAAAGTTCAAAACTCTGCAGAGTTTTAACAGAAGTGGATCAGCCAAGGCAATCAGCTACATCCATCTTGGATTCTGAATATTAAATAGGCTCACCTCCGACGACGATGCCCCGGGCCAAAGGCTGTCAGTGTTGAAATTCAAGTTGAGAACGGGAGTCGAACGGAATGAAAAATTTCTCAAGCCGGTTATAATAACTTACCTCATGATAAACGAGGGAAGACTATATGACTGACCAAGCGATAAGGAATAGCATTCTTTACGTGATCCGCAGTGACTCCGAGTCTGTGCTGGTACGTGAGCACACATCCAAGAGCTTTTCGGAGGCTAGGCTCCAACCGGTGTTAGACACTGCTACTGCATATTATCGCAGCGTTGCAGAGAATGACTCTTGACTGGGTACTTGATGCGGCTGTCCGTCGATGAGTCGAGTATATAACTACTACTGCGCTTATAGGATGGCTCGTAGTAGTAAATTCCTTGCCAAGGACGGAACCTTTGATCCCGCGGAATCAATTTGCGTCCGCATGCGCTAGGCGCTCACTAGCACTATCCGCGCCGCTCGGCAGTCTCCTATTTGCGTGTGTTGTTCGCTTATCTCCGTGTCTCTTTTGCAACTGTACTCTACCTTTTCCAATGCGTAACATCGCTCATTTATCTCCTAACTATACTCCTGTTCTTAAGAGTGCGATATCGGTGAGGCATTCGAACGCTTTTGCGAGAAAAAGACAACAACAAACGTAATATACAGGCATCTTTATTGTAATTCACAGTCGAAGATGAACGGAGCGCTTGTACTTATGTATAACGCACCGCGGAGTCACGGACGATGAGTTGATAGGTGGGAACTTGCTCCAGAACAGAACCTCCATGAATGCTGTGAATATTAATATGTGCTCATTCCTTCTAGGACATTTTGGAACCAGCGTAACAACGTCAATGACTCGGATGAATGGCATGCGTGAGCTACGTCAACGTCCGAGTTGGCACAGCTAGTTATATCTCGATAACCACCCCACAGCTCAGAAGACAGGGGAACTTGCGACATTGGTAACGGGTCGCTTAGCTCTTCAAAGGAGTTACGTTTCGCATAATTATTATAGCGTCGTTCGTACTATCCATGCTTCGACTTGTGTCAGGCGGCTTCGTAACAGGCTAAATATGCGTGCCGCGTGCATTCGAAGTTTCTCACCATTTTCAAACATGTATGACCAGACCGCACTGGAGCGTGCATGCCTTCCGTGCCTCGCAGCTGTCTAGTTGCGGTGAAAATTCCTGAACGACTTTGTCGCACGTGTAGATGAGTAGGGAGAGTGTTGCGAAAGTGAGTACTGTCATCGCGACAAAAATGACATGGTGATTAGGGGCTAGCAACTGTATTGTTGGAGTGATGCTGTCGAAAGAAGTTCGACGTACACATGAACGTGTCGTACACGTGGATGGCTAAGCGAGTCGCGAGAGAAACGCGTGTCAGACGTCTTCATGTTAGGTATGTAAAAGTCTTTCATCTCGCGTTCACTCGTCACGCGTCAGTTCTTTTATTAGTACATAGTACTAGTTTGAGACATCCGCGTATATCTAGTCGGACGGACAAAAACACTTCACAATGACTAACACGTCGAGTTCTGCATTACCTACAGGTGTCGAAGGAAAATAGGCTCATCCAGCCTGGAGTATACTGCGGTACTACCACGGACAGTCGCGCACTCAAAAACGTGGTCCAGACTGGTGTAATTACGAGTCTAGGAGGAAGCACGAGATCGATATTATAAGAGCGCATTATATGCGACTCGCAAACCTAACACTCTTGGTGTGATTAATACCTATAGCCATGTTGGTAAATTTATTATCCATCACAGCTTCAGAGATGAAGCGTGTGAGTGCTGTTGTCTTCAGAATTTAAATCACTGGAAATTCATAGAGCTGGTACATGACCTATGGGATGCATCAGCTGGGCATGACACTTATAGACAGTGAACAAATCGACTAAGTTCCGCTCGCGCTGGAACCCGAACATCATGCATGTATTAGGTGCTGAAATTCGAAAGTGTACATGCTAGCATGTACAGTGACATATGATTATACTATACAATTTTTCTATGTGGAAATCAGTCATATTATAACACTCCTAGTCAGCTTCACAACATGCACGCCCAAACTTTCTCCCACCCATCACGAGTATACCAGCATATGCGGGACTCGGACACCTTTAAACGAATACCATTTGATCGAATACATTCC